AAATCAGATTTTGACGCCTTTGTCCATTTAAGGTCATAACTTGGCAATTTATGGTCAAAATTAATTCGTTTTTGCACAAAATGTGCTTGAGAAGTGTACCTTTATTTCAACGGTTAAATGGTGCCTGTAAGTCTAGTCTAACTGACGCAATTCAATTCTAAAAAATTAGTGACAAACTTTATCGGTCATACCTTAATAATGGAGAAAAATTGCATAAGCTGAATTGAATATTTCCACATCGGTGTAGTTTCTGAATGATCGCTAAAGATTGATAAACATGCTGTCTAATCGATATACATTAGTCTCAGATTTCATTTCAGTGTGTGATTTATCGTTTAAAGCATCTGCTCGCAATTGATGTGTCACTTATTGATGTGCATGAATTTAATTATATTGATTGTCTTATAACAAAGATTAACTGAAGTAAATTCATAGACAGGTTACCGAGAAGATTTATCATTTAATCGCATTCAACTCACTTCTATCATGAAGTGATATTATCGTTAAACTACAACAAGTCAAGCTACAATTTTGTCCTTCACGTTAATTGTATCAGTTTTTAATCAACTACTATCTAGAAGTGATCAATTCAAATTTTTAAGCGAATAACATTGAATGACAACTCGTTCATTGTTTAATACACCGAACGAATTGTAGAAGATCATGAGTTGAACTTGGTTTCGCTTGAATTGAAAACATATGCAAACACAAATTTAATTAAGAATTGAATAAATAATAGAATCAAAATAATCAATTGGCCAAGATAAGTTTAAATCGCAATGAATTGGAGATGTTGAGTCTAAAAAGCCATAGAAGTATAAAAGACAGTATCTGTCATCTGAAAAAAGTATTTATTGAAAGAAATATATTTTTAGCAAGTATCGAGAATATTATAGATACTAATCAAAAAATGATTGTTGAAAATATTGCAATAATAATGAGATTTTCGAATTATTTTTACATCAACAAGTAAATAGAGATCTTAAAATAATAGACAAAAAGTTGAGTCTTTAGACATTTCATTTCTGCCTTTTGAAAGGCCCTTTTCTGTTATTTTGTTACATTAAGATTTGTCCTTTTCAAGTGGTGACATCTATGCCAACTACGGAGGGAAATTATTAAATTTTACAGTTTTAACAATTAGTCCACTCTGATGACTCCCCCTGAAGGGAAAAGGGTGAAAGGCTAAAGGGAATCACTAGACTTTAGGAAATACTGTAATCTATTAAAAAAATTAAGTAAATAATAATTTTTAGGCTATTCTGATGCGAATTATTTCTAATTTTAATGATCTGAGGACTTAGTAACGTGTTAAAAACATTAGAATGTCAAAAATAAGGCAAAAAATATAAATCTAAACAAGAAATAGAATTGGAAAAGTATCGATAAGTATATCAGATATTAAGATTGGTATCGATAATATTGCTTTAACACTATCCCGAAACATTTTCTCGTTTGCTAGCAAGCTCTACCAACAAGCTAAGCTACAAGTTAACGACTCAATCCCTATTGAAACCTATTTAGCAGTGATTTATTAACAAAATAGTGAATTATTTTTATACTAAAGCAAATATGGATACAGTTGGCCGATTGAAGCGTCCAATTACAGAGGCAAGTGATCCTTTAAAAATGTTGATCTGCAAAAATTGTAGACAAGATGAGGTTGTTTTAAACCTCAGAACTTGTGGATGCATTCTATGTGAATCATGTCACGATGATTCTCCCGATAAATGTATCTCTTGCCGATCTAACGTTGATCCAAAGATGAAGTTATCATTCTCAAAGAATTTAAAATGCAAGTTCTATGATATCCACAAGTGCTTCAATAGTGCCGAATACAGATGTAAATGTATTCAAAGCTTTCTCTGTGGTCTATGTCTCCACTCCACTCACAAGAAAAAGGTGCGCGGATCTTGTGATCCTGAAATTTTGAGACCCAATGTTACCAGTGCGAATGAAACATGTGAAATGTGCAATGAATTTATCGCTGAGTTCAAAATGGTTTCGGAACCATTCACGAAAATTTGCTTCAACTGTAGGGTAAATAAAAACATTGCATGTGTTCCATATGAAAAAAAATGTAATACAGATTCAGAATGGAATCAGTTTTATAAAGATTTTGGAGAATCTTCCCAAATGACTTCCGATAAAATTAAAAAAGTCAAAAAAGTATTGGAAGCAAGCGGTTTAGTTCGTGAACAGGAGATAAAAAAATGCAAAGATGCAATATCAGCTATGCAGAAATGTTTGGACGAATTCACCGAAAAATATGACAGACACATTTTAACAGTCAAACAGAAGCTCGACAGTTTCAATAAGGTAAGTACTATCGTTAGTAGCATTTTCAGACACTAACTGACTTATAATACATTTATTGGTTTCATCTTATACATCATTTTATCAGATTTTGAACATCCTCAAGCCTGATGGTAAATTTAAAACTATTGTCGATCAACTCAAAAATGAAAAATTGATCTTACATGGAGAAGAAGGAAAAGATCAAATTGACAATTTTTTGGAATATTATCGACAAAAAAATAACTATAATCCTTCAGCTGAACAAATCAAGACATTTGTTATACAAAACAATTCCAGCAGGACACATATTTTGAAGTTTCCGTTGCCTTCCTCACCGAACGCAGGTGTTCCAGGGAAGTCAAATGTAAGCGTCCAAGAAATAATCGACAATGGAGTTAAGCCGTTTTTCATTGCGGTTGAAGTGCAAAATTCAGTATCTAAGCGTAAAAAAATACTTCAGGATATTGAGAGACATAAAGATAAATGGGTACGCAAAAAAAAAATTGCTGCGTACGACATTGTGATTATATTTGATGCTGATGCGAAGGGCCCTCACAAATACAAACGGGCTAAAATTTTGAAAAAAGAAGCGAGCACGTCCAAAGTCTCGCTCCTTGACTTTGGCGGCTTTGAAGTTACAGTCGAAAATAGTTCAATCGGTGAAATTCAGGAAATCTCTATCGATGGGCACAAAACTTCCTTCCTTGCTACACTAACGGAAATTGTTGATGTGAAATGTGGCATTGAGCGCGAGAGTTGGATTTCCAACATTCCCGCGGATAATTCGCGTAAGGCTACGCACATACATTTAATTGATTAGTCAGAGCGAAGCTTTTTTTATTTTTTTTACAATTCAAACATTTTTTCCATTCTGGATGTTCAGGTCTCAAGTTATTGAACTTATATTTTAATATTCGTTTCTACAGCAAAACATTTTTCGATTCTCATAATAATAGAATCTGAACAAAATGGAAATAACATAATAAGCAAACCAAACTCACAATATTTTTTATATCCGTCAGTATTTTGTTTATAACAAAATATCAAAAGCCCAATAATTTTATTCCATCTGGATAAAGTTACCGGTTCTTAACTTTTTTAACTTACAATGAATTACTTAATGAACATTCGTTGCCTACATATTTAATTTAACCCTATTGTAAAAAATTCATGCATCAAAAATTATAACCTGTCATCTTATATCATAATTTATCTTCCAACAATGAATAAAGAAATTATATTATTTATAATAAAACGACAGAATGAAGTTTTTTTCTTTTCCTTTTTTATAACGGAGATAAGTTGAATCAGATTCATAAGCATGCTGTCTAATCGACTTACCATTGGCTCAGATTTCATTTAGGTGTGTGATTTATCGTTTACGTTGATACAATAACAGAAACGGTTTCCTCGACTGCTTACAAAAATGAAATAATGCAATAATATTTATGTTTGAATTACAAGAATTTTTGGAATGAAACGCCTAAGGCTCAGCACATAAATGTTATCAGTTAGTCAGAGCGAAGTTTTTCGCAATGTTTTACTATTGAATTATTATTTCGAGATGTCTCTCTAATTAAGTTAAGATAAATTCTGAATTTTATTGGTTGTGTGTTAAATCGAATGATGACATTGCTAACATGACCATGACAATCTTACGATAGCATTTATTGTTACTAACTCACATTTATTGTCAGTAGCGAAGCGGCGTTGCCTGAGCTAGCGTTTTGTTATTAAGTATGCTAGATAATAATATGCCAAATGTGTAAATCGAAACATTGATTACATTCAATTTCGTCTTAAGCTGACTCTTCATAAAACAAAATATGTACTACAGCTCAAAAGTTTGGAACCAGAGATTTTCATCCGAAAGTCAAGATAAGTTTAGATCTCAAACCCGAAAATGTTGAGGCTGAAAAGCTATAAAAATATAAATATCAGTTTCTGTCCTCTGACGCGATTATGTTGGTTGATATCTGAAAAAAGTATTTATTGGAAGAAATATATTTTAAAGATTACTAACAAGTAAATATAATAGAGATCATAACATAAAAGACAAAAAGTTCAGTCTTTGGACATTTCATTGTCAGTCTTTTGAAAGGCCTTTTAATTTTGCTACATTAAGATTTGTCTTTGCGAAGTGCTGACATCTATGTGAACTAAAGGGGGAGATAATTAAATTTTACAGTTTTAACAATTAGTTCACTCTGAAAAGGGTGAAAGGCTAAAGGGAATCATTAGACTTTAGGAAATACTTCAGTCTATGACAAAATTAAGTAAATAGTAATTATCGGGCTATTCTGATGCGAATTATTTCTAATTGAAATGATTTGAAGACTGTTTAACGTGTAACAGAACATTAGAATGTCAAAAATATGCCAAAATATAAATCGAACAGACAATATTACAGAAAGTATCGATATAACCTGTTCGGAAAAAAGATTGGACGACAACTTTGCGAGGCTGTAAATGAGCTAATATGCAGACAAAATATAAAATTTTTAGATCAGTTCATCTGTCAAACATTCGCGTTTACACTTCATGACATTTTACCGTTTTACTCAGAATAGGTCTCTTTTGAGACAAAAATTTTCATTTGACGGCAGAAATATGGTTTGTCAAATAGTTTATACCTATTTTTGGCCTTTCCAATTCGACCATTTTGATAATTGACCTGTGAATGGCCATATTCACTTATTGCTACTTTAAACATCATTTTCTTTCCAAATTTCGGTTTTTCACGAAACCTGACCGCATCAGGTACATTTTCAATGCGCTAAGAAAAATACAAAAAAATATAAAATGAAAAAACATTTCCTTGATCTGCGCTGTTCCATGTTCGATAACTAACTGAATCTTCTGTCAAGAAATTTCAAATTTTCGCCAGACATTTTTCATACTCTTATTTACAAATTTACAAAAAACTGTTGAAATATTCTCAAAATTTTAACGGCTACTTCGATTTGCCACATCAAAGTTAACGTCCAATCTTTTCTCCGAACAGGTTATATAACAGATATTGAGATTGGTATCGTAATATTGGTTTACACTATGACGAAACATTTGCTCGTTTACTAACAAGTTCTGCCAACAAGCTTCAATTGTATCTTTTTCTTAAATTGTATCACTCATTTCATATTAAAACCTACTATTAGTATTTAACAGTGATTAATTATCAATAAAATTTATTTTTTCTATACTAAAGCAAATATGAGTACAGTTAGTTCATTAAAGCGATCATTAACAGTGCCAATTGACCCTCTAAAATTGTTGGTTTGCAAAAATTGCAGAAAAGATAATGTTGTTTTGAACCTAAAAACCTGTGGATGCCTTTTCTGTGACTCTTGTGACGGTGATTCTCGCGATAAATGTACTTCTTGCCGATCTAACGTCGATCCAAAGATAAAGTTGTCATTCACGAAGAATCCAAGATGCAAGTATTATGAACACAGCAAGTGCTATAATATTGCCGAATACAAGTGTAAATGTATTCAAAACTTTGTCTGTGGTTCATGCCTTAACTCCACTCACAAGAAAAAGGTGCGCGGATCTTGTGTTCCTGAAATACTAACCCGCGAAATTACCACTAATGATGAACTATGTCAATTGTGCAAAGAATTTTATGCCGAATTTAGAATGACTTCACGACCGTATTCAAAAATTTGTTTGGATTGTAAAACAAATAATAATGCTGTATGTAATCCAATTGAAGAAACCTCTGTTGCCACAGATTGGAATCAATTTTATCGAGAATATGAACAATCAATCAAGAATGTGTCAAGTAAAATTAAAAAGATTGAAGATGAACTAGAATCAAGCAGTTTAGCTCGTGAAGAAGAGATAGAAAAATGCAAAGATGCAATATCTGAAATACAGAAATGTTTGGACAAATATACTATTCAATATGATGTACACATTTTTTCACTTAATAAGCAACTTGAAGATTTCAAAAAGGTAGGTGCTAATTCAGAAGAAACATTTAAAAAGACTAACTGACTTCTAATTTATTCATTCGCTTCTTCTTATAACAGATTTCAAACATTTTGAAGCCGAATGGTAAAGTTAAAACCATTCTGGATCTACTCAAAAACAAACAATTGACCTTACATGGAGAACAAGGAAAAGAGCAAATAATTAATTTGTTGAACTATTATCGAGAAAAAAATGACAACAATCCTCGGTATCCGGTAACTGAACAAATCAAGACATTTTCTATACAAAACGATTCAAGTAGCCAACATATTTTAAAGTTCCCATTGCCTTCCACACCCATTTCAACTGCTTCAACGGATTCGGTAGTAAGTGTCCAAGAAATTATCGACAATGGAGTCAAGCCGTTTGTTATCTTGGTTGAAAAACCATCTACAGTAAATAAGCGTAAAAAAATAATCAAAGATATTGAGAAGCATCAAGATAAATGGGTACGCAAAGAAAGTTTTTCTGTCAACTCTAAAGTGATTATATTTGATGCTGATGCGATTTCCAGTCCTAGATACAAGAGGGCTAAAATTTTGGAACGAGGAAACAACACGTCCAAAGTCTTTCTGCTTGACTTTGGTTTTGAAATTACAGTCGAAAATAGTTCAATCGGTAAAATTAATGAAATCAAAAGCGATGGAAAAAAAACTTGTTTCTTTGCGCAACTCTCGGGAAGTTTTGATATAAAATGTTATTATGACAAGCAAAAGGATTTGATTTCCAAAATTTTCCAATTCCAAAATGAATATCCTAAGGCTCAGCACTTACCTGTAATTCCTTAGTCAGAGCGAAGTTACTTTTCAGTTTTTTGCCAATTCAGACATAATTTCGAGACTGATTGCTCAGGATCAAGATTGAAGTTATTGGACTTATATTTTAACATTTTTTTCTTTAGCAAAACATTTTTTGATCATTATATCAAATGAATCCAACGAAATGATCCAAACTCATAAAATTCAACAAGATATCGATTTAGTATTGGTTTAGGTTTCATTTAGTTGTGTGATTTATCGTTTACATTAATACTACGGGCAGCAAAACATCCGCTCACAATCGATTTAACACTTGAAACGTATGTAAACAATCCGAAGTAAAACAAATTTCAAAAATTTTTAATTAAAATACTGTAAAATACCCGATTAAAGCAATTTTTTAGCACACATAAATGAGTGTTTTCAATCACCCAAGGCTTAAACCATTTTTTATAAGACATTGATATAAGTAATGATAAGACTCTGGGCATCTTCACGGAAGGCCTAGGATGGCGCAATTAAAGACGTAATTTGAAGATTACTGAAAATTTTAAATTATTATTACTTCTAACAAGTAAATTGAGATCATAAGATAAAAAGTTCAGTCTTTAGACATTCTATTTCAGCCTCTTCTAAATTTTCAAAAATTACTATTCCCTTGGAAAAAATTGTTCATAAAGATCCAGATTGGAATCAGTTTTATAAAGAGTATGAACTAAATGTGTCGGACAAGATTAAAATAAGTGAAACTTTTTTGGCATCAAGCAGTAATACTGAACAAGCTATAAAAAATGCAAGAATGCTTTATATGAAAAACTAAAATTATTAACCGATTATGATCGACAAATTGCATTAATTAGAGAGCAACTTGACAATTTTAAAACGGTAATTAAATTGGTCCAATTTAACCTCTTCGAGAAACTAAATTCATATATTGGTTTCGTCTTCTAACAGATCTCAAACGTTCTGAGTAGTACAAATAAAATTATTCTTGAGCTACTCAAAGATAAACAACTGAACTTGCATGGAAAAGATGAAATAGAATAAATACGTGATCTGTTGAACTATAGTCGTAAAAACAATAACTGGTTTCATCTGCCGTCTGTTCTTGATCAAATCGGGACGTTTATTGAACACAATTCCAGTCTCTATTCACCTTCATCATCCATTCCAGATATTTCAGGGAATTCGGGTGTAAGTGTACAAGAAATTAGCGATAATGGAGTCGAGCCGTTTTTTATTTTGGTCGAGAAAAGATCTGCAGTAAATAAACGTAATAAAATACTCAAAATTATTCCGAAACATGAAGCTAAATGGGTGCTCAGAGAAAGTTTTGCTGTGAACGACACTGTGATTATATTAAATGCTGATGCGACTGATAGTCACAAATACAAGAGGACCAAAATTTTGACAGTTCTGAGGTCTCTCTCCTTGACTTTGGCTTGCAAACCACAGTCCCAAATTGCTCAATTGGTGAAATTAAGGGAATCAATATTAATGGGAAATCAACTTGTTCCATTGCCCAACTCACTGGAAGTGTTAATTTAAATTGTGACTTTGAGCAAATAGATGGACTACCTAAGGCTCAGAACATATATTAGAGGTGTTCCAATATATTTCGACGAAAATCGATATTTAGGTTTCGATATATTCTGACATTTCGTCAAAAAAATCGATAAATATTCGAAAAAAATCGCTGCAATTCTCGGCTGTATTTCCTCAGCTCAGCATATGCTCAATTCCGTCGAAAGTATCGTAGTAGATTTCGAGTTTAAACAATTCGATGGATTACCTAAGGCTGTGTGCATAATTTTTCAGTTCAAGTGAGTTGGGCTTGATTTCGTTCGCATTTATAGCTGCAACTAACACGATTTACTATCATCGACTGAACCCGAGATTGTTTACGTTTCACCAGATTGCTGAGACTTCTAGCGGCAGTTAGTTAAATAATAATTATCTAATAGTCACGTCACAGAAGAGATTAATCTTTTACTCACAGTTTCTGCTTCCCTCCATCATGTGATAATACTATCGTTTTAATACAACCAGTTAAGTATCAATTGTGTCTTTCCCTTCAATTGTATCACTCTATTCATATTGGAACCTAATTAGCAGTGATTATCACATTTTATAATAACTTATTGACAAAAGTTGGTTTATTTTCAAGCCAAAGGAAATATGAATGCAGTTAATCCATCAAAGCGTCCATCACCAGTGTCAATTGACCCTTTGGAATTTTTGGTTTGCAAAATTTGTGATAAAGGTGATGTTGTTTTGAACTTGAAAATTTGTGGATGCCTTTTCTGTATTTCTTGTGACGGTGACTCTCGAGATATATGTATCTCTTGCCAATCTAACGTTTTTCCAGGCATAAAGGTGTCATTCACAAAGAATCCAAGATGCAAGTATTATGAACACAACAAGTGCTATAATATTGCCGTATACAAGTGTAAATGTATTCAAAACTTGCTCTGTGGGTCATGCCTTGACTCCACTCACAAGAAAAAGGTGCGCGGACCATGTGTTCCTGAAGTTTTGAGACCCAAAGTTACCACTAATCATGAAATATGTCAATTGTGCAAAGAATTTTATGCCGGATTTAGAATGACTTCTGCACCTTATACAAAAATTTGCTTGAATTGTAAAACAAATAATAATGCTAGTATTGACTTGGAAATTATCAATGAAGAGCCAGTAATGGGATTGAATCGAAAATTGGATTGGAATCAGCTTTATAGAGACTATGAACGATCTTGCGAAAATATGTCGAATAAAATTAAAAAGATTGAAGATGAATTAAAATTAAGCAGATTAGTTCGTGAACAGGAGATGCAAAAATGTAGAGATGCGTTATCTGAATTAAAAAAATTTTTTGTCGAACGTATTAAACAATATAATCGGTACATTGCTGGACTTGAATCGCAACTTGAAAACTTCAAAAAGGTATGCACTATTAGTCAATGTAACCTTTTCAAGAGACTAACTGACTTCTAATTCATTTATTGACTTCATCTTATAACAGATTTCAAATATTTTGAAGCCCGATGGTACAATTAAAACTATTCTTGATCAACTCAAAAATGAAAAATTGGCCTTACATGGAGAACAAGGAAAAGATCAAATAATTAATTTGTTGAAATCTTGTCCAGGAAAAGAATTCACTGATTCTATCTATAATCATACATTCAAACTTGTTCAGATATTTGTTGCAGAAGAAGATTCCAGGAGACGCTACGTTTCATACATTTCACGACCTTGTCCGGCAGATTTTTTGAGTGCAATTATTTCTGCAGACGTCAGACCGATCTATTTATCAGTCGTGAAACCATCAAAAGTAAATGAACGTTTGAAATTGAGTGAAGAAATCAAGAAGCATCAAGATAAATGGGTACGCAAAGACCATTTTGATGTGAATGACATTGTGATTGTATCTTTTGGATGTAAAGATGGCACCAAAACATTCAAAAGAGCTAAAATCTTAAGCAAAGGGAATGACGATTCCACAGTCTTGCTCCTTGATTTTGGCTTTCAAGCTAAAGTCCCAAATAGCTCAGTTGGTGAAATTAACGGAATCAAAATTAATGGCAAACCAACTTGTTTTGTTGCTCAACTCAGCGAACCCGACGAACACATTTTTTCATGCATGTATAGTGGGTTAAATAAGTTCGATGGACTACCTAAGGCTATGCAAATAATGTACAAGTGAAGACTTCTATTAGACCTGCGAGTTTAACTTGGTCTCGCTTGCATTTAGAACGAACGCATTTTATCTATTGAAGCACAAATACAGTAAAAAATAGCACAGATGCAAACGACGCTAAAAACGTCCAATAATGAACTTATGTTACCTTGTAACTATAATTTGAATTTAAAACCAATGCACCGCAAGTTATGCATTGAAAAAGTACAACCTGTCATCTAAATATTAATAAACAAATTATTGTATAATAATGGAGAAAAATTGAATAAGCTGAATTGAATATTTCCACATTGGTGTAGTTTCTGAATGATCGCTGAAGATTGCATGCTGTCTAATCGATATACATTAGTCTCAGATTTCATTTCAGTGTGTGATTTATCGTCTAAAGCATCTGCTCGCAATTGATGTGTCACTTATTGATGTGCATGAATTTAATTATATTGATTGTCTTATAAAAAAGATTAACTGAAGTAAATTCATAGACAGGTTACCCAGAAGATTTATCATTTAATCGCATTTAAACCACTACGTTTAGGGTAACCAGTATTTAATCAAATGGTTATATTGTATAATCTGACGCTATTTTGAAATTGGTTAACTTGATGGTTAACTAACACTGTTAACTAAATATGCACAGTTTGGTCAGAGATAAAGACAGAGATAAAGAGAGTGATTAGACCTGATAAAAAAAGTCAAAATGAAAAATGAAAATAGGAAAACCCATTGAAAGCAATGGAAAATCAAGACAAAAATGTGTCTTGAAAATTAAAAAAAGTTTTGAGATTAGATTACATAGTGGTTTAAATCAGTTAAACCACAATATCTCGAAGTTATGAGATAAAACACTCGGGCTTCGCCCTCGAGTTTATATCTCATAACTTCTCGATGCAGTGGTTTAACTATCACTTAACTCACTTCTATCATGCAGTGATATCGTTAAATTACAACAAGCCAAGTTACAATTTTGTCCTTCACGTTAATTGTATCATCAGTTTTTAATCAACTACTATCTAGAAGTGATTAATTCAAATTTTTATGCGAATAACATTGAATGACAACTCGTTCATTGTTTAATACATCAAAAGAATTGTAGAAGATCGTAAGTTGAACTTGGTTTCGCTTGAATTGAAAACATATGCAAACACAAATTTAATTAAGAATTGAATAAAAAATAGAATCAAAATAATCAATTGGCCAAGATAAGTTTAGATCACAATGAATTGGAGATGTTGACTCTAAAAAGCCATAGAGGAATAAAAGACAGTATCTGTCATCTGAAAAAAGTATTGATTGAAAGAAATATATTTTTTAGCAAGTATCGAGAATATTATAGATAAATTATTGTTAAAAAGATTGTAAAAATAATGAGCTTTTTGAATTATTATTACTACAAACAAGTAAATAGAGATCATAACATAAAAGACAAAAAGTTCAGTCTTTGGACATTTCATTTCAGTCTTTTGAAAGGCCCTTTAACTTTGTTACATTAAGATTTGTCTTTATCGGGTGGCGACATCTATGTGAACTAAAGGGGGAAATGATTAAATTTTACAGTTTTAACAATTAGTCCACTCTGATGACTCCCCCTGAAGGAAAAAGGATGAAAGGCTAAAGGAATCCCTAGACTTTAAGAAATACTGCAATCTATGAAAAAAATTAGTAAATAGTAATTTTTGGACTGTTTAGATGCAAATTATTTCTAAGTTTAATGATTTAGGACTTTTTAACTTGTAACAGAACATTGAAATGTCAGAAATAGCAAAAAAATATAATCGAAACAAGAAAACCACTCAACTACCCTCTTAAGGCAACAATTTTTACTCTCTCTCTCTCTCTCTCTCTTACACGACTTACTCTTACTTACTCTCTTACTTTGTTAGAAGAAAGGGTTTTCTTAAGAGGATAGTGGCGAAAGTATCGATAAGTATACAGATGTAACAGATATCGAGATTGGTATCGATAATACTATGACGAAACATTTGCTCGTTTGCTAACAAGCTCTGTCAACATGTAAGATACAAGTTAACGACTCAATTCCTATTGAAACATATTTAGCAGTGATTAATTTATATTTATAATTTATATTTACAAGTTGTTAGAATTTCACATTGTTAGTATTTTTATATTAGTGCAAACATGAATACAGTTAATCCAATAAAGCGACCATTACAAGTACCAATTGATCCTTTAAAAATGTTGCTTTGCAAGAATTGTAAACAAGATGATGTTGTTTTGAACCTAAAAACTTGTGGATGCCTTTTATGTGACTCTTGTGACGGTGATTCTCAGAATATATGTGTCTCATGTCGATCTAAAGTCGACCCAAAGATAAAGTTGTCATTTACAAAGAATTTGAAATGCAAGTTTTATTATATCAACAAGTGCTTCAATATTGCCGAATAACCTGCTCGGAAAAAGTTTGGTACAAATTGTTAAGATGAAATTTAACTATTAAGCGATAGTAATCATTAAACATTTTATATATCAATCAAAAGCTGAAAATCAGTATTTTCTAGTAGGGCCATTTAATCCGCCCTCAGAGACAGGATTAACGCTTTTTTTTCGTATTTTGCCATAGGCTTCAAAATTTGCCCTAAAAACATTTTTTCGAAGAGTTACTTTAATTATTTGTCTGTATTATTTGATTGCGATAAGTTTTGAGTCCTAAAAATTACCAGCATATACTTCGAGCTTCAGGTGATTACAATAGGTTTTTAAAAAAAGAAATTTATGAAGGCAATAATAATTACATGACCTGAAACCTAACTCATGGAAAAGGGTATTCAGAAATTCGGCATTTTGGCTGAATGAAACGCAACTAATTATTGGAGAAATCTAATAAACTAATCAAGCTATTTTTCTGAAATTTGAATCGAATAGAGATACTATCATTATGATCATTTCTAGAAAGTTTCAAATCTATTGAACAAATAGTTTCGGAGAAAAAATATTAACTAACTTGTACCAAACTTTCTCCGAGCAGGTTACAAGTGTAAATGTATTCAAAACTTTCTCTGTAGTTCATGTCTGAACTCCACCCACGGAAAAAGATTACGTGAATGTTGTGTTCCTGAAATTTTGAGACCTAAAGTTACAAGTGCCCATGAACCATGTGGAATGTGCGATGAATTTATTGCTGAATTCAAAATGGTTTTGGATCCATTTACAAAAATTTGCTTCAATTGTAGGGTAAATAAAAAAATTATATGTGTTCCATATGAAAAAAGTTCTGATACAGATTCAGAATGGAATCAGTTTTATGAAGATTTTGGACTATCTTCCCAAATGACTTCCGATAAAATCAAAAAACTTAAAGAATTATTGGTATCAAGCAGTAACTTTCGTGAACAGGAGATGAAAAAATGTAAAGATGCAATATCTGAACTACAGAAATGTTTGGATGAATACACTGAGCAATATGACCGACACATTGTTACACTCAAACAGCAGCTCGACAGCTTCAATAAGGTATGTACTAACTGTTAGTAACATTTTCAAAAGACTAACTGACTTCTAATACATTTATGGTTTCATCTTATAACAGATTTCAATCATTTTCAAGCTTGATGGTAAATTTAAAACGATTCTTGATCAACTCAAAAATGAAAAATTGACCTTACATGGAGAACAAGGGAAAGATCAAATAATTAATTTTTTTAAATATTATCGAGAAAAAAATAACTACGATCCTTCAGCTGAGCAAATCAAGAGATTTGTTATTCAAAAGAATTGCAGTAGGACACATATCTTGAAGTTTCCGTTGCCTTCCACATCCATTTCAGATGTTTCAACGGATTCAGATACAAGTGTTCAAGAAATCATCGACAATAAAGTCAAGCCGTTTTTTATTTTGGTTGAAATGCAATCTACAGTAAATAAGCGTCAAAAAATACTCGAGGATATTGAGAAACATCAAGATAAATGGGTTCAAAAAAAAGATTTTGATGTGAACGACATTGTGATTATATTGGATGCTTATGCAAAAGACAGACACAAATACAAGAGGGCTAAAATTTTGAAACGAGTAGCGAGCACGTCCAAAGTTTCTCTCCTTGACTTTGGCTTTGAAATTACCGTGAAAAAAAGCTCAATCGGTGAAATTAAGGAAATCAATATCGATGGAAAAAGATCTTGTTACCTTGCTCAACTCACGGGAAGTGTTGATGTAAAATGTGGCTTTGAGCAAGAGAGTTGGATTTCCAACATTTCCCCATGTCAAAATTTATTACCTAAGGCTCAGCACATACATTTAATTAGTCAGAGCGAAGCTTCTTGTTAATTTTTTACAATTCCAACATTGTTTCCATACTGGATGGTCAGGATCAAGATTCAAGTTATTGAACTTATATTTTAACACTGCTTTCTACAGCAAAACACTTTTCGATTCTCATATTAATAGAATCTGAACGGCAATAACCGGAAAGCGAACCAGACTCATTATTTTGTTTGTAACAAAAGATCTAAAAGCCCAATAATTTCATCACATCTGTATAAAGTTTACCGTTTTTAATTTTTTAGCTTTTTTGTAAAGTGTATATGTAGCTCTATGAATAGCTTAAAATAAGGCTATTTCATGGCAGTGTCATTATAAACAAAACGAGTGTATGCTGTTCAATAATGGGCTTTTTTTGCCTTCAAATTTAATTTAACCCTATTGTAAAAAATCATGCATCAAAAATTATAACCTGTCATCTTATATCATAATTTATCACCCAACAATGAATAACGAAATTATAATATTTATAAGAAAATCACAGAATGAAGTTATTTGTCTTTTCTTTTTTTATAACGGAGAAAAGTTGAATCCGGACCATGAGAATGCTATCTAATCGATTTAGCATCGATTTAGCACCGGCTCAGATTTCATTTAGGTGAACAATGTAAACAATTCGAAGTAAAATCAATTTCAAAAATTTTTCATTAAAATACATATAAATATATGATATTTAATAAAAAGTTCATCAATTGAAACACAAATAAAATGAAAAAATAGGCAAAAACAATGATAGTGATTTCATAAGTGCATGAGTTATGTGGCGAAAATGTAGATAAGAATTGAATAAGCTAAAGAATCAAAATAATCAATTGGTCAAGATAAGTTTAGATCTGTCAGCAGTCGAAAATGTTGAGACTGAAAAGCCATAAGAATATAACAAATCAGTTTCTGTCCTCTGACGCGATTGTGTTGCATGATATCCGAAAAAAGTATTTATTGTAAGAAATATATTTTAAGATTGCTGAAGATTTTTGAATTGTTTTACTTCAGACAAGTAAGTGAATAGCAATCATAACATAAAAGACAAAAAGTTCAGTCTTTGGACATTTCATTGTCAGTCTTTTGAAAGGCCCTTTAATTTTGCTACATTAAGATTTGTCCTTATCGAGTGGCGACATCTATGTGAACTAAAGGGGGAAATAATTAAATTTTACAGTTTTAACAATTAGTCCACTCTGATGACTCCCCCTGAAGGGAAAAATGAAATGAGTTTAATGTTTAATGATTTGAAGACTTTTTAACGTGTAACAGAACATTAAAATGTCAAAAATAGCAAAAAAATATAATCGAAACAAGAAAATCACTCCACTACCCTCTTAAGGCAACGTTTTTTACTCTCTCTCTCTCTCTCTACTGCTACAGCCTTGCCTAATATTGCTCAAAAAATACACTAGATTCACGCTTAAGAAAATTTTTTTATAAGCGCCGTCTACTATAATATCAATGGTATTATTAAGCATCTTATTTATAGTAGATGGCGTTTGTCAAAAAATATCCGTGAAACTAGTGTACATGTATTGCTTTAACACTACATGATGCAACATTTGCTGTTTGTAAATAAGTTAAGCTACAAGTTAACGATCCAATTCCTAATGAAACATAACTAGCAGTGATTATTTATATTTAGTATTTTTGTATTAGTGCAAACATGAATACAGTTAATCCATTAAAGCGACCATTAACAGTACCAAGTGATCCTTTAAAAATGTTGCTTTGCAAAAATTGTAGACGAGATGATGTTGTTTTGAACCTAAAAACCTGTGGATGCCTTTTATGTGACTCTTGTGACGGTGATTCTCAGAATATATGTACCTCTTGTCGATCTAAAGTCGACCCAAAGATAAAGTTGTCATTTACAAAGAATTTGAAATGCAAGTTTTATGAAATAAACAAGTGCTTCAATATTGCCGAATACAAGTGTAAATGTATTCAAAACTTTGTCTGTAACTCATGCCTCAATTGCGTGCATGAAAAAAGAATACGTGAATGCTGTGTTCCTGAAATTTTGAGACCCAAAGTTATCAGTGACCATGAACCATGTGGAATGTGCCATGAATTTATCGCTGAGTTCAAGATGGTTTCGGAACCATTTACAAAAGTCTGCTTCAATTGCAGAACAAATAGAAACATTATATGTATTTCATGTGAAAAAAATGCTGATACAGAATCAGAATGGAATCAGTTGTATGAAGATTTTGGACAATCTCTTCAAATGGCTTCCGATAAAATTAAACAACTTAAAGAATCATTTGAATCAAGCAGTACAGTTCGTGAACAGATTAAAAGATGCAAAGATTTAATATCTGAATTTCAGAAATGTTGGGACGAATTCACTGAACTATATGACAGAAACGTTGTAACAACCAAACAGCAACTCGGTAGTTTCAATAAGGTATGTACTAATTCAACTGACAACTGTGACTAACATTTTCAAAAGACTAACTTACTTATCTATTTTTCTTTGATTTCATCTTATAACAGATTTCAAACATTTTGAAGCCTGATGGCAGATTTAAAACTATTGTTGATCAACTCAAGAATGAAAAATTGACCTTACATGGAGAACAAGGAAAAGATCAAATAATTAATTTTTTGAATTATTATCGTGAAAAAATTCGATCCTGTAACTGAACAAATAAAGAAATTGCTTTCCTCATGCAACTCAGCGAAATTGGGTTTAAATGTTAACAGTGTAGGAGTTAGCGACAATGGAGTCGAGCCGTTTTTATTATATTTTGGTCGTGAAACAATCTGCAGTAAATAAGCGTAATAAAATACCAAAAATTATTCCGAAACATGAAGCTAAATGGGAGCGCAAAGAAAGTTTTGCTGCGAACGACATTGTGATTATATTGGATGCTGATGCGACTGACATTCCCAAATACAAGAAGGCCAAAATTTTGACAGTTCTGACAGAAGAGGACAGTTCTGAGGTCTCTCCTTGACTTTGGCTTTCAAACTACAGTCCCAAATAGCTCAATTGGTGAAATTAATGGAATCAATATTAATGGGAAATCAACGTTTTCATTGCCCAACTCACTGGAAGTGTTAATTTAAATTGTGACTTTGATAAAGCAGATAAAATACCTAAGGCTCAGAACTTATATTAGAGGTATTCCGATATATCAGTATACCTGATAAAAGCTGGAAAGCCATAAGAGTATAACAGACAGTTTCTGTCATCTGACACAATTGCTTTGCTTGATATCTGAAAAAAAGTATTTATTGAAAGAAATATATTTTTTCGCGAGCATTGTTAATATTATGTATACTATTATAATTCAATAAATTATTGTTGAAAATATTGTAAAAAATGAGCTTTTTTAATCATTAATAATACTAACACGTAAATAGAGATCATAACATAAAGACAAAATTAAAGTCTTTAAACGTTTCATTTCAACCTTTTCCGTAATTTTGCTACATAAAGATTTTATTTTTCAAGTAGTGACATCTATGTGAACTACGGGGGGAAATAATTTTATAGTTTTACCAGTTAGTCCACTCTGATGACTCCCCTGAAGGGAAAAGGGTAAAAGGCTGAAGGGGAATCACTAGACTTACACAGTATGACGAAACATTTTCTTGCTTGCTAACAAGCTCTGTTAACAAGCTAAGCTACAATTGTATCTTTAACTTGAATTTTATCACCTGGTTCCTTTTTAGCAGTGAGTGATTCAAATCTTCTTATAACAACGAATTAACAAAAGTTGCTTTATTTTTATATCAATGTAAACATGGATACAGTTAATCCATTAAAGCGTCCATTACCAGTGCCAAGTGATCCTTTAAAATTGTTGGTTTGCAGTAATTGCAAAAAAGATAATAATGTTGTTTTAAACCTGAAAACTTGTGGATGCCTTTTCTGTAACTCTTGTGATGGTGATACTCGAGATATATGTGTCTCATGTCAATCTAAAATCGACCCAAAGATAAAGTTGGCATTTTTAATAAATTTAAAATGCAAGTTTTATGAAATAAACAAGTGTTATAATATTGCCGAATACAAGTGTAAATGTATTCAAAACTGTTTTGTCTGTGGTTCATGCCTTAACTTCATTCATGAAAAAAGAATGAGTGGATGTTGTGTTCCTGAAGTTTTGAGACCCAAAGTTACCACTAACCGTGAACCATGTCAACTGTGCAAAGAATTTATTGCTGAATTTAAATTGATTTCGGAACCCTTTACAAAAATTTGCTTTAATTGCAAAATAAATAAAAAAGCTATGTGTACTCAATATGAAAAAAAATCTGAGACAGATTCAATCTGGCATCAGTTTAATAGCGATTTTGTACAATCTTCCCAATTTGCTTGCGATAATATTAAACAACTCAAAGAAGTATTGGAAGCAAGCAGTTTAGTTCGTGATCAGGAGATCAAAAAATGCAAAGATGCAATATCTGAAATACAAAAGTGTTTGGACGAATATACTCAACAGTATGATCAACAAATCTTAACACTCAAACGGCAACTCGACAGCTTCAATAAGGTATGTACTAATTCAACTGACAACTGTGATTTTCAAAAGACTGACTTCTAATCTATTTATTGATTTCATCTCATAACAGATTTTAAAAATCTTGTCGCCTGATGGTAAAGTTAAAACTATTCTTGACTCACTTCAAAATGAAAAATTGACCTTATTTGGAGAACAAGGAAAAGTTCAAATAATTAATTTTTTCAAATATTATCGAGAAAAAAATAACTATAATCCTGTCACTGAGCAAATCAAGAGATTTGTTATTCAAAAGAATTGCAGTAGGACACATATCTTGAAGTTTCCGTTGTCTTCCACATCCATTTCAGATGTTTCAACGGATTCAGATACAAGTGTTCAAGAAATCATCGACAATGGTGTCAAGACGTTTATAATTGTGGTTGAGATGCCGACGTCAGCAAATGAGCGTGAATGCATACTCGAAAAAATTGAAGAACATCGAGATAAATGGTTACGCACAACAGATTTTCGTGTCAACTCTAAAGTGATTATATTTGATGCTGATGCGACTGACACTCACAAATACAAGAGGGCTAAAATTTCAAAAAAAGGACTGAAAACGTCCGAAGTCTTTCTCCTTGACTTTGGCTTTGAAATTACCGTCAAAAATAGTTCAATCGGTGAAATTAACGAAATCGATATTGATGGAAAAAAATCTTGTTTCCTTGCTCAACTCACTGGAAATGTTGATGTGAAATGTGGCATTGAGCAAGAGAGTTCGATTTCTCAAATTATCCGAACTGGCGATACATTCGAATTGCCAAAGGCTCAGCACATACACTTTCTTGATTAATAAGAGCACAACTTATTTTTAATTTTTTTTACAATTTAACCCTATTGTAACAAAATTCATGCATCAAAAAAATATAAACTCATCTTATAATTTTACACCTAATAATGAAAATCCAAATTATTTGAAACAAAATCACAAAAAGAAGTCATTATTAGTCTTTTCTTTATGCTGGTGAACTTTATACTGTAGGGAGGAACCTATTGAAAAAAATTGGCTGAATAATTTTGGGTTCAATAGATCTGTGAAACTTTTTGTCCCAATTATTGAGTCAGAAATATTGCTTTCCGGTTATCTGTAATTTTAGTTCAAACTTCCGACAACAGAGACTTTCAAAGGCCAGTCAATATAAGTTTAGATCTCAAAGCAGTCGAAAATGTTGAGGCTGAAAAGTCATAAGAATATAACAAATCAGTTTCTGTCATCTGACGCAATCTGTAATTTGAAGATTACTGAAGATTTTTAATTACTTCTAACAAGTAAATAGAGATCATTAGATAAAAACGAGAATTTTACTTAAGTACAATTTGTTTATTTCCTGAAGATTTGTCTTGTTGAAGTGGTGACATCTATGTGAACTACAGGGGGAAATAATTAAATTTTATAGTTTTAACAGATAGTTCACTCTGATGACTCCCCCTGAAGGGAAGAGGGCGAAAAGTTTAAAGGGAATCACTAGACTTTAGGAAATACTGTAATCTATGGAAAAATTAAGCAAATAGTATTTATATCTAATTTTGCTTATTTCAGTACTTTTCAACGTGTAACAGAACATTGGAATGTCAGAAATAGCCAAAATATATAAATCGAAACAAACAAAACTATTGCAGATAGTATCGATAAGAATAACAGATATTGAGATTGGTATCGATAATATTGCTTTAACACTATCCCGAAACAATGTTTCGGAAACATTTTCTCGTTTGCTAACAAGTTCTGTCAACAAGCTACAATTGTATCACTCATTTCCTATTAAAACCTATTCAGCAGTGATTAATTAACAAAGGACTGATTTTTTTAATACTGTTAAAAATATGAATACAATTAATCCATTAAAGCGTCCATTAACAGTGCCAAACGACCCATTGAAATTGTTGGTTTGCAAAATTTGTAAAAAAGATAATGTTGTTTTGAACCTGAAAACGTGTGGATGCCTTTTCTGTGACTCTTGTGACGGTGATTCTCGCTATAAATGTATTTCATGCAATTCTGAGCTTGATCAAAAGATAAAGTTGTCATTCACAAAGAATCCAAGATGCAAGTATTATGAACACAACAAGTGCTATAATAGTGCCGAATACAAGTGTAGATGTCTGCCAAACTGTTTTGTATGTAGTTCGTGTCTTAACTATATTCACAGGAAAAAAGTGCGCGGATCTTGTGTTCCTGAAATGTTGACCGTCGGAATTACCACTAATGATGAACTATGTCAATTGTGTAAAGAATTCTATGCTGGATTTAGAATGACTTCACGACCGTATTCAAAAATTTGCTTGGATTGTAAAACAAATAGTAATGCTGCATGTGCTTCAATTGAAGAAACTTCTGATACAGAAGTAGATTGGAATCAGTTTTATAAAGATTTTGAACAATTTTCACAAAATGTGCCAAATAAAATTAAAAAGATCGAAGATGAACTAGAATCAAGCAGTTTAGCTCGTGAACAAGAGATAGAAAAATGCAAAGATGCAATATCTGAAATACAGAAATGTTTGGACAAATATACTATTCAATGTGATGTACACATTTTATTACTTAATAAGCAACTTGACGATTTCAAAAAGGTATGTACTAATTCAAAAGGATCATTGTAACATTTACAAAAGACTAACAAACTTACAATCTATTTATTGGCTTCATCTTATAACAGATTTCAAACATTTTGAAGCCAGATGGCAAAGTTAAAACTATTCTTGCTCTACTCAAAGATGGAAAATTGGCCTTACATAAAGAACAAGGAAAAGAGCAGATAATTAATCTGTTGAACTTTTATCGAGAAAAAAATGACAACAACCCTCGGTATCCGGTAACTGAACAAATCAAGACATTTTTTATACAAAACGATTCAAGTAGCCAACATGTTTTGAAGTTTCCATTGCCTTCCACACCCATTTCAACTGTTTCAACGGATTCGGGTGTAAGCGTCCAAGAATTTATCGAGAATGGAGTTCAGCAGTTAATTTTGGTTGAGAAACAATCTGCAGTAAATGAGCGTAAAATAATACTGAAAAATATTGAGAAAAGTCAAGATAAATGGGTACGAAAAGAAAGTTTTGCTGTGAACGACATTGTGATTATATTGGATGTTGATGCGACTGACAGACACAAATGCAAGAGAGCAAAAATTTTGAAAATAGGAGATGACAGTTCTGAGGTCTCTCTCCTTGACTTTGGCTTTCAAACTACAGTCCCAAATAGCTCAATTGGTGCAATTAACGGAATCAATCTAAATGGAAAATCAACTTGTTTCATTGCTCAACTCACTGGAAGTCTTAATTTAAACTATGACTTTGATCAAATAGATGGATTACCTAAAGCTCAGAACATACATTAATGGTGTTCCGATATATCTCGATGAAAATCGATATTTAGGTTTCGATATATTCTGATATTTTGTCGAAAAAATCGATAAATATTCGAAAAAAATCCCTGCAATTCTCGGCTGTATTTTCCGAACTCAATATATCCGCCACTCATGGAAAGAATTGTTGTTGCCCCCGAGTTAAATCAATTCGATAAATTACCTAAGTCTACGAAAATACTCTATGAGTGAGTTTAGCTTAGAACGCATACAGGCCATGTAAGCAGTTCGAAGTTAAACACAGTCTAAAATATTATGGTTGAACTCAACGCGCCAGGTTACAATTGCATCTTTCTCATTCATTGTATCACTCGAAGTATCAGTAAAATCCATTTACTAGTAGAAGTGATGAATTCATAATTAATCCATAATTTGAAATAACAAATAAACAAAAGTTGCTTTATTTGTATATCAATGCAAACATGAATACAGTTAATTCATTAAAGCGTCCATTGCCAGGGCCCAGTGACTCTTGTAAATTGTTGGTTCGCAAAATTTGTGACAAACTTGATAATATAATATTAGGCATGAAAACATGTAGTTGACTTTTATGTGACTCTTGTGACGGCGATTCTAGAGATCTATGTATTTCATGCCAATCTAGAATTGAATCAGAGATAAAGTTGTCATTTACGAAGAACTCAAGATGCGAATATTACGAACTCAACCAGTGCTATTGTAATGATGAATAAAAGTGTAAGTGTATTACAAATTGTTTAGTTCGTAGTTCGTGCCTTAAATTCACAGGAAAAGGTTACTCGGATCTTGTGTTCCTGTAGTTTTGAGATCCAAATGACCTAACCATGAATCATGTCAATTGTGTTAGAATTTTTTGCTAAATTTAAAATGACTTCGGACCTGTATACAGCAGTTCGATTGTCAAACAAATATAGCTAATATTCAATTGGAAAAAATTGTGTGTTAAACCGAATGATGACAATAACATAAAATTATTATCACATACTCACAAGGGAAGTGAGGGAAGTGGTACGATTAGAAGCGGCGTAGTCTGAGCCAGCGTTTTGCTATTAAGTATGCTAAATAAAATGTACAATAAGATTCCAATGCAAAATGTGTGTATCCAAACTTGATTACATTCAATTCCGTCATAACTGGACTCTCATAAAGCAAAATACCCTTTAGCTCAAAAGTTTAGAGCTGGTGAACTTTATGCTGTAGGGGCGAGCCTATTGAGAAAATTTTACTCAATATTTTAGGGCTTAAAAGATCTGTGAAACCTTTTGTCACAATTATTGAGTCAGAAATATTGCTTTCCGGTTATCTGTAATTTTAGTTCAAACTTCCGGCAACAGACTAATTAGCTCAAAAGTTTGGAACCAGAGATTTTCAAAGGCAAGTCAATATGAGTTTAGATCTCAACGCAGTCGAAAATGTTTAGGTTGAAAAGCCATGAGAATATAACAAATCAGTTTCTGGCGCGATTGTGTTGCATGATATCCGAAAAAAAGTATTTATTGAGAGAAAAATATTTTAAGATTACTGGGGATTGTTAAATCTTTAATACTACTGACAAGGGAAGTGACCTTTGCTTGTATGTCATTTTCAATTTTTTTGGGGCTTGTATTGTAGAGGACGAAAAATAATTAGACACGTATTTTTGCTTTTTTACGCCGGCAGCCGCTTATTGATGTTTAGGCCCTTATAAGTGTGGATATTGTATTGAAATCTATTGGAGTCACTGAAAATGATTCACAATTTTCATTGACAACGGAACAATGGAACTAAACGAGATACCTAGAACCGATTTGTATGAATGAGGTGTCGATAGATAGAGGACATTGTGAGATATTTTCATTTTTTGCTTTTCATTTGTTTTATGTATTTCTCAGTGACCGCAATGCATTACTATCTTTACTTGAAATGCCTAAATATCAATAAGCGCGCACCGTGTCTAATTTCGTCTAATCGTGTCTCTTGCTCGTCCTCTACAATACAAGTCCAAAAAGTTGAAAATGATCATACAAGCAAGGTCACTTCCTTGTGAGTAAATAAGATAAACGACAAAAAGTTCAGTTTTTAAATATTTCATTCCAGCCTTTTGCTACATAAAGATTTTATTTTTTTCAAGTGCTGACATCTATTTGAACTAAAGGGGGAAATGATTAAATTTTACAGTTTTAACAATTAGTCCACTCTAATGACTCCCCCTCAAAGGAAAAGGGGAAAAGGCTAAAATGGAATCACTAGAATTTAAGAAATGCTGTAATCTATGAAAAATAAAATAAATAATAGTTATCAGGCTGTTCTGATGCGAATCGTTTTAATTAAGCGTATTTGAGTTATATGACTTTTTAACATGTAACGGAACAAAAAAAATATGAATCTAAACAAAAGATACTATTGCTGAAAGTATCGATAAGTATAACAGATATTGAGATTGGTATCGATAGTATTCACAAATAAAATATTGCCTTGCAACTACATGACGAAACATTTGCTCGTTTGCAACAAGCTACAATTGTATCTTCAACTTAAATTGTATCACTCATTTCCTATCTAGCAGTGCGTAATTCAAATCTTATAACAACGAATCAACAAAAGTTTATTTAATTATAATAAAACAAATATGAATACAGTTAATCCATTAAAGCGTCCATTAACAGTGCCAAACGACCCATTGAAATTGTTGGTTTGCAAAATTTGTAAAAAAGATGATGTTGTTTTGAACCTGAAAACTTGTGGATGCCTTTTCTGTGACTCTTGTGACGGTGATCCTCGCTGTAAATGTATTTCATGCAATTCTGAGCTCGATCAAAAGATAAAGTTGTCGTTTAGAAAGAATCCAAGATGCAAGTATTATGGACACAACAAGTGCTTTAATAGTGCTGAATACAAGTGTAGATGTCTGCCAAACTGTTTTGTTTGCAGTTCATGCCTTACCTACATTCATAGGAAAAGGGCCCGCGAATCTTGCGTTCCTGAAATGTTGACCCGCGAAATTACCACTAATGATGAATTATGTCAATTGTGCAAAGAATTTTATGTCGGATTTAGAATGACTTCCCCACCGTATTCAAAAATTTGTTTGGATTGTAAAACAAATAGTAACGCTGTATGTACTTCAATTGAAGAAACTTCTGATACAGACGTAGATTGGAATCAGTTTTATAAAGATTTTGAACAATCTTCACAAAATTTGTCAGATAAAATTAAAACAATTAAGGCTGAATTAGAATCAAGCGAGATAGCTTTTCAACGGCAGAAAAGTAACTGCGAAAATGCATTATGTGACATTCAGTGGTGTTTGTACAAACATGATTTACAATATCAAATGAACATTTTTTTACTCAAACAGCAACTTGACAACTTCGAAAAGGTATGTTCTAATTCAACTGAAAACTGTGAGTAACATTTTTAAAAACTGACTGTCTTCCTTTTTATTCATTGGTTTCATCTTATAACAGATTTCAGACATTTTAAAGCCTGATGGCAAAGTTAGGACTATTCTGGATCTACTCAAAAATAAACAATTGACTTTACATGGAGAACCAGGAAAAGAGCAAATAACCAATCTGTTTAACTATTATCAAGAAAAAAATCCTCGGTGTCCTGTCACTGAACAAATCAAGACATTTGTTATACAAAACGATGCAAGTAGGCAACATCTTTTGAAGTTTCCATTGCCTTCCACACCCATTTCAGATGCTTTAACGGATTCAGATGTAAGTGTTCAAGAAATTATCGACAATGGAGTCAAGCCGTTTGTAATTTTGGTTGAGATACAATCCAGAGTAAATAAGCGTAAAAAAATACTCGAAGACATTGAGAAGCATCAAGACAAATGGGTGCGCCAAGAAAGTTTTGCTGTGAGCGACATTGTGATTATATTGGATGTTGATGCGACTGATTGTCACAAATACAAGAGAGCAGAAATCTTGCATGTAGGTTATCCCGATTGTACAGTCTTTCTGCTTGATTTTGGCTACAAAATCAAAGTCAAAGCTAGTGCAATTGGTAAAATTAACGAAATCAAAATTGATAGACAAAAAACTTGTTTCCTTGCTCAACTCACGGGAAGTGTTGATTTAAAGGCTAATACGCAAAAGGATTTGATTTCCGAAATTTTCGAATCCCAAAATGAATATCCTAAGGCTCAGCACTTACATGTAATTGATTAGTCCAAGTGAAGCTTCTACATTTAATTTTCTACATTTTCTACATTTTCGAGACTAATGGGTCAGGACCAGGACTCAAGTTATTCAACTTATCTTTTAACATTGTTTTCTACAGAAAACACTTTTCGACTTTCATATTAATAGTATCCGAACGAAATGATCTAAACTCCTTAAATTCAACAACAAGATTGATAATTCTGATAATTTTATAGCTTTTAGCTTAAAATAAGGCTATTTCATGGTAGTGTTATTATAAACGAAACGAACGTATGCTGTTCAATAATGTTGCCTTCAAATTTAATTTAACCCTATTGTAAAAATTGGTAGATAAAAAAAGTATAACCTTTCATCTTAAATCATAATTTACATAATAAAGAAATTATTTATAATAGAATCACAAAATGAAGTTATTTGTCTTTTCTTTCATTATAACATGGATTCAGATTCATAAGCATGCTATCTAATGGATTTAGCATTGGCTCAGATTTCATTTAAGTGTGTGATTTACCGTTTAAGTTAATATAACGTGCAGCAAAACATCTGCTCGCGATTGATGTATCTGAAACATATTTTGAACAATTCGAAGTAAAACAAATTTCAATTAAAATACATATGATAATTCTGAAACGGTTAACAAAAAGTTCAAACACAAACAGTGAAACACAAATAAGATGAAAAATAGACAAAAACAATGATAGTGCTTTCATCCGTGCATATGTTAAGTGGCGAAAATGCAGTTAACAATTGAATAAATGTTAGAATCAAATTAAGCAATTGGTCAAGATAAGGTTAGTCTCAACGCAATTGAACATGTTGAGTCTAAAAAGGTTAATCTTAAAATGCAAGAAAGATGATGATGTCCTGAACCTGAAAACTTGTGGATGCCTTTTATGTGACTCTTGTGACGGTGATTCTAAAGATCTATGTGTTTCATGCCAATCTAGAATCGAATCAAAGTTAAAGTTGTCATTCTCAAAGAATCGAAGATGCGAATATTATGAACAAAACCAGTGCTTTAGTAATGCTGAATACAAGTGTAATTGTATTCCAGACTGTTTTGTCTGTAGTTCATGCCTTACCTACATTCACAGGAAAAGGGTCCGCGAATCTTGTGTTCCTGAACTTTTGAATCCTAAAGTTACAACTAACCATGAATCATGTCAATTGTGTTAGAATTTTTTGTTAAATTTAAAATGACTTCGGGCCCATATACATCGGTTCGATTGTCAAACAAATATATCTTATATTCGATTGGAAAAAATTGAATTTTATGGTGTAAGGACGCACCTATTGAGAAAAATTGGCTCAATATTTAGGATTTAAAAGATCTGTGAATGTTTTGTTACAAACAAAATAGTGAGTCTGGTTTGTGCTCCGGTTATCGGTAATTTTAGTTCAAACTTCCGACAAACGAAACTAATTAACTCAGAAGTTTGGAACCAGAGATTTTCAAAGGCAAGTCAAAATAAGTTTAGATCTGAACGCAGTCGAAAATGTTTAGGCTGAAAAGCCATAAGAATAAAACATATCAGTTTCTATCCTCTGCCGCGATTGCGTTGCATGATATCCGAAAAAAGTATTTATTGAATGAAATATATTTTAAGATTACTGGGGATTGTTAAATCTTTAATACTATTGAGTTAATAGAGATCATAAAATGAACGACAAAAAGTTCAGTCTTTATACATTTAATTTTAGCCTTTTCCGTAATTTTGTTACATTAAGATTTGTCCTTTTCAAGTGGTGACATCTATGTAAACTACAGGGGGAAATAATTAAATTTTATCGTTTTAACAGTTAGTCCACTCTGATGAGACCCCCTGAAGGGAGAAGGGTGAAAGGCTTAAGGAATCACTAGAATTTAGAAAATACTGTAGTCTAAGAAAAAAATTAAATAAATAATAATTATCAGGCTGTTCTGAAGCGAATTAATTTTAATTGAGGACTTTTTAAATGTGTAACGGAACAAAAAATAAAAAATATAAATCGAAACAACAATCGCAGAAAGTATCGATAAGTATAACAGATATTGAGATTGGTATCGATAGTATTATTCACAAATAAAATATTGCTTTGCAACTACATGACGAAACATTCGCTCGTTTGCAACAAGCTACAATTGTATCTTCAACTTAAATTGTATCACTCATTTCCTATTTACAGTGCGTAATTCAAATCTTATAACAACGAATCAACAAAAGTTTATTTAATTATAATAAAACAAATATGAATACAATTAATCCATTAAAGCGTCCATTAACAGTGCCAAACGAACCTTTGAAATTGTTGGTTTGCAGGATTTGTGAAAAAAATGATGTTTTGTTGAACCTGAAAACTTGTGGATGCATTTTCTGTGACTCTTGTGACGGTGATCCTCGCTATAATTGTAAGTCATGCAAATCTGAGCTCGATCAAAAGATGAAATTGTCGTTCACAATGAATCCAAGATGCAAGTATTATGGACACAAGTGCTATAATATTGCTGAATATAAGTGTAAATGTCTTAACTGTTTTGTTTGCAGTTCATGCCTTATCTACAATCACAGGAAAAGGGTCCGCGAATCTTGTGTTCCTGAAATATTGAACCGCGAAATTACCACTAATGATGAAATATGTCAATTGTGCAAAGAATTTTATGCTGGATTTAGAATGACTTCACAACCGTATTCAAAAATTTGTTTGGACTGTAAAACAAATAGTAATGCTGCATGTACTCCAATTGAAGAAACTTCTGATACAGAAGTAGATTGGAATCAGTTTTATAAAGATTTTGAACAATTTTCACAAAATGTGCCAGATAAAATTGGAAAAATTAAGGATGAATTAATATCAACCAAATTAGCTATTATACGGGAGAAAACTAAATGCGACAGGGTAACAGATGACATTCAGAGATTTTTCTTCAAACATAGAGCACAATATGAAATTTACATTCGCTCACTTGAACAGAAACATGAGAATTTCATAAAGGTATGTTCTAATTCAATGTAAAATCATGATTACATTTTTGGAAGACTGACTGGTTTATAATTTATTAATTCATTCTTCATCATTTTAACAGATTTCAGACATTTTGAAGCCTGATGGCAAAGTTAAGACCATTTTGGATCTACTCAAAAACAAACAATTGACCTTACATGGAGAACCAGGAAAAGAGCAAATGATTAATTTGTTGAACTATTATCAAGAAAAAAATAGCTACAATCCTCGGTGTCCTGTCACTGAAAAAATCAAGACATTTATTGTACAAAACAATTCCAGTAGGCAACATCTTTTGAAGTTTCCATATCCTACCACATGCAACACACCTATTTCGGATGTAAGTTTTCAAGAAATTGTCGACAATGGAGTCAAGCCGTTTGTTATTTTGGTTGAGATACCATCTAAAGTAAATAAGCGTAAAAAAATACTCGAAGATATTGAGAAACACCAAGATAAATGGGTTCGCAAAGAAAGTTTTGATCACGGCGAGATTGTGATTATATTTGATGCTGATGCGCTTGCCGGTCCTAAATACAAGAGGGCTAAAATTTTGGAACGAGGAGATGACAGTTCTGAGGTCTTTCTCCTTGACTTTGGATTTGAAATAACAGTCGAAAATAGTTCAATTGGTAAAATTAAGGAAATCAAAATTGATGGACAAAAAACTTGTTTCCTTGTTCAACTCACGGGAAGTGTTGATTTACAAGCTACTACGCAAAAGGATTTGATTTCCAAAATTTTCCGATTCCAAAATGAATATCCTAAGGCTAAGCACTTGCATGTAGTTGATTAGTCAGAGCGAAGTTTCTTTGCAATTTTTTTTACAATTCAAACTGTATTGCAGACTGAATGGTCATGATCCGGACTCAAGTTATTGAACTTATATTTCAACATTGTTTTCTATAGCAAAACATTTTTCGATTATCATATTAATAGAATCCGAACGAATGATCTAAACTCATGAAATTCAACAACAAGATAGTTTTTTAGGTACATAATCATACCTGAAGTTTGATTGTATTCTGATGATTTTTAACACTTTAATAGCTGCAGCTTCAAAAAAGGCTATTTCATGGTTGTATCATTATTAACGAAACGAAATTATACTGTTCAATAATGAACTTTCGTTGCCTTCAAATTTTATTTAACCCTATTGAACAAAATTCATGCATCAAAAAAGTATAACCTGTCATCTTGTATCATAATTTATCATCATAAAGAAATTATTTATAATAAAATCACAGAATGAAATTAGTCTTTACTTTCATTGAAATGGAGAAAAATGGATTCAGATTCATAAGCATACTTATATTCACAGGGAAAGGTTACTCGGATCTTGTGTTCCTGAAGGTTTGAGACCCAAAGTTATCACTAACCATTAATCATGTCAATTGTGTTAGAATTTTTGCTCAATTTGAAATGATATCGGACCCTTATACAGCAGTTCGATTGTCAAACAAATATAGCTAATATTCAATTGGAAAAAATTGTGTGTTAAACCAAATGATGACATTGTTAATCATGAAAATATTACGATAAAATTATTATCACATACTCAGTCCTGAAGCGGCGTAGTCTGAGCCAGCGGTATGCTAATAAATAAAATGTAATAAGATCCCAATGCAAAATATGTACATTCAAACTTGATTACATTCAATTCCGTCATAACTGGACTCACTATTTTGTTACAAACAAAATTGGAGCCTGAGATTTCAAAAGGCAAGTCAATATAAGTTAAGATCTCAACGCAGTCGAAAATGTTGAGGCTGAAAAGCCATATGAATAAAACATATCAGTTTTTGTCATCTGACACAATTGTGTTGCATGATAGCCGAAAGAAGAGAGATAATTATTGAGAGAAAAATATTTTAAGATTACTGGGGATTGTTAAATCGTTAATACTACTGACAAGTAAGTAAATAGAGATCATAAAATGAACGACAAAATTTTAGCTTTTAGACATTTCATTTCAACCTTTTCCGTAATTTTGCTACATAAAGATTTTATTTTTCAAGTAGTGACATCTATGTGAACTACGGGGGGAAATAATTAAATTTTATAGTTTTACCAGTTAGTCCACTCTGATGACTCCCCTGAAGGGAAAAGGGTAAAAGGCTGAAGGGGAATCACTAGACTTTAACGCTATGACGAAACATTTTCTTGCTTGCTAAAAAAGCTCTGTTAACAAGCTAAGCTACAATTATATCTTTAACTTGAATTTTATCATCAGATTCCTTTTTAGAAGTGAGTGATTTAAATCTTATAACAACGAATTAACAAAAGTTGATACTAAGACATGAATACAGTTAATTCATTAAAGCGTCCATTACCAGTGCCAAGCGATCCTTTGAAATTGTTGATTTGCAGTAATTGCAAAATAGATAATGTTGTTTTAAACCTGAAAACTTGTGGATGCCTTTTCTGTAACTCTTGTGATACTCGAGATAAATGTATTTCATGTAATTCTGCGCTCGATCAAAAGATAAAGTTGTCATTCACAAAGAATTTAAAATGCAAGTATTATGAACACAACAAATGCTATAATAATGCCGTATACAAGTGTAGATGTCTGCCGAACTGTTTTGTTTGTAGCTCATGCCTCAACTACATTCATAGGAAAAGGGCCCGCGAATCTTGTGTTCCTGAATTGTTGACCCACGGAATCACCACTAATGAAGAACTATGTCAATTGTGCAAAGAATTTTATGTCGGATTTAGAATGACTTCACAGCCGTATTCAAAAATTTGTTTGGATTGTAAAACAAATAGTAATGCTGTATGTACTCCAATTGAAGAAACTTCTGATACAAAAGTAGATTGGAATCAGTTTTATAAAGATTTTGAACAATCTTCACAAAATTTGTCATATAAAATACAAACAATTAAGGCTGAATTAGTATCAAACAGATTAGTATCAAGCATCAAGAAAAGTAAATGCGAAAAGGTAATATCTGACATTCAGAGATGTCTGTACAAATATGATGTACAATATCAAGTACATTTTTCATCACTTGAAAAGCAACTTGACGATTTCATAAAGGTATGTTCTAATTCAACTAAAAACTGTGTGTAACATTTTTAAAAGACTGACTGACTTTCACCTTACAACAGATCACAAATATTTTGAAGCCTGATGGAAAAGTTAAGACTATTCTGGATCTACTCAAAAATAAACAACTGAACTTTCACGGAGAACCAGGAAAAGAGCAAATAATTAATCTGGTGAACTATTATCAAGAAAAAAATAGCTACAATCCTCGGTGTCCTTTAGCTGAACAAATCAAGACATTTATTATACAAAATGATTCAAGTAGGCAACATCTTTTGCAATTTCCATTGCCTTTATCATTCAACTCAGCGAAGTCGGATGTAAGTGTTCAAGAAATTGTCGACAATGGAGTCAAGCCTTTTGTTATTTTGGTTGAGATACCATCTACAGTAAATAAGCGTAAAAAAATACTCGAAGATATTGAGAAACATCAAGATAAATGGGTGCGCAAAAAAAAGTTTGCTGTGAACAACATTGTGGTTATTTTTGATGCTGATGCGCTTTCCGGTCCTAAATACAAGAGGGCTAAAATTTTGGAACGAGGAGATGACATGTCCAAAGTCTTTCTCCTTGACTTTGGCTTTGAAATCGTAGTCGAAAATAGTTCAGTTGGTAAAATTAACGAAATCAATATTGATGGACAAAAAACTTGTTTCCTTGCTCAACTCACGGGAAGTGTTAATTTTAAAAGTTATTATGATAATCAATGGCATTTTATCTCCAAAATTTTCCAATTCCAAAATGAATATCCTAAGGCTCAGCACTTACATGTAATTGACTAGTCAGAGCGAAGTTTCTTTTCAATTTTTTTTATAATTCAAACTGTATTGCATACTGATTACTGATAATTTGATTGCAACTTTCGTTGCCTTCAAATATTAACCCTATTGTAACAAATTCATGTATCAAAAAGGTATAACCTGTCATCTTATATCATAACCATCATAAAGAAATTTTTTTAATAAAATCACAAAAAGAAGTTATTTGTCTTTTCTTTTTTTATAACGGAGAAAAGTTGAATCAGATTCATAAGCATGCTATCTAATCGATTTACCATTGGTTCAGATTTCATTTAGGTGTGTGATTAATCGCCTAGTTAATATTACTTGTAGCCAAACATGTTCTCGCAATCGATGTATCTTTTAAAACATATTCGAACAATTCGAAGTAAAACAAATTTTAAAAATTTTCAATCAAAATGAAAATAAATATATGGTAATTCTGAAATGGTTAACAAAAAGTTCATCGATTGAAACACAAATAAGATGAAAAAATAGGCAAAAACAATGATAGTGATTTCATAAGTGCATGTGTTTTGTGGCGAAAATGTAGTTAACAATTGAATAAATAATAGAATCAAAATAATCAATTGGTCAAGATAAGGTTAGTCTCAACGCAATTTACAATGTTGAGCTTAAAAAGCCATAAGAGTACAACAGACAGTATCTTTCATCGAGCGATCATAAATGAAACTAAAAATACGAAGGAAAGCTTTTAGTTGTTAGTCTTTGATAATCTCATAGTTAAGATTAATTGAAATATATTCATAGTCAGGTTATCCAGAAGACTATTATTTACTCACAATTTATGCTCACTTCTATCATGTGATGATATTATCGTTAAACTAGTTAAACAAGTTACAATTGTGTCCTTCACGTCAATTGCACCAAAGATTAAGGTATCTTGATCTTTGATTGTATCACCAGTCTTCAATCAATACTTACTTATTCTTAGAAGTGAATAATTCACATTTCATAATAAAAAAGTTGATCTATTTTAATACCAAAACAAACATGAATACATTTAGTTCATTAGAGCGTCCATTGATAGGGCCAAGTGATCCTTTAAAATTGTTGGTGTGCAAAAAATGCAAGAAAGATGATGTTGTCCTGAACCTGAAAACTTGTGGATGCCTTTTATGTGACTCTTGTGACGGTGATTCTAAAGATCTATGTGTTTCATGCCAATCTAGAATCGAATCAAAGTTAAAGTTGTCATTCTCAAAGAATCGAAGATGCGAATATTATGATCAAAACAAGTGCAATAGTAATGCTGAATACAAGTGTAATTGTATTCCAGACTGTTTTGTCTGTAGTTCATGCCTTACCAACATTCACAGGAAAAGAGTCCGCGGATCATGTGTTCCTGAACTTTTGATTCCTAAAGTTACAACTAACCATGAAACATGTCAATTGTGCAAAGAATTTATTGCTGAGTTTAAAATGGCTTCTGAACCTTATACGAAAATTTGCTTCAATTGTAAAAAACGAAAAAATGTTACCTGTACTTCAATTGAAACAGATTCTGATAAAGACACAGATTTTGATCAATTTTATGAAGAGCTTGGACAATGCTCACGGAGCGTTTTAGATGAAATTAGCGATATGAAATCATTGGGAACAAGTAGACCTGAACAGGAGATGCAAAAATGCATGTCTGCACTATCTGAAATACGAAAAAGTATGGCTGAACATACACAATTTGTCGAACACAAAAGAGACAGCTTCAAAAAGGTATGAACTAACTGTTAAACTGACAATGGAACCTTACTACATGTCAGAGTCTAAAGCACTCAAAATTTTACTAACATAGAGAGAAAGTGTTTGAGCCAATGGCACTTTACAAAAGACTGACTTCTAATCTATTCATTGGCTTCGTCTAATAACAGATTTCAAACGTTTTAAAGCCCAATGGTACAATCAAAACTATTCTTGATCTACTCAAAAATGGACAATTGGCGCTACATGGAGAAAAAGGAAAAGCGCAAATACGTGATTTGTTGCATTATTACGAAGAAAAAAATAACTATTCTCGTTTTTCTTTAGCTGAACAAATCAAGTCATTTGTTATACAAAACGATTCCAGTAGGCAACATATTTTGAAGTTTCCATTGCCTGCGTCGTCCAACTCAGGTGTTTCGACAGATTCGGATACAGGTGTTCGAGAAATTAAAGACAATGGAGTAAAGCCGTTCTTTGTTTTGGTCGAGAAACCATCTCAAGTAAATGAGCGTAGAAAAATACTAGAAGATATTCAGAAACATGAAGATAAATGGGTACGCAAAGAACGTTTTGATCACGGCGAGATTGTGATTATATTTGATGCTGATGCGACTGATAGTCCCAAATACAAGAGAGCGAAAATCTCAAGAATAGGAAATCGTAAATGCAACGTCTCTCTGCTTGATTTTGGCTATAAAACCCAAGTCGAAAATAGTTTAGTTGGGGAAATTAAAGATTTGCAAATTGATGGAACACCAACTTGTTTCCTTGCTCAACTCACTGGAAGTATTAATGTAAAGTGTATGAATCCAGAGGTGACTGAGTTTTTTCAATTACCCAAGGCTTATACCATTTTTTTATAAGACATTGATATAAGTAATGATAAGACTCTCGACATCTTCACGGATAGCCTAGGATGGCGCAATTAAAGACGTAATTTGAAGATTACTGAAGATTTTAAATTATTATTACTTTTAAAAAGTAAATAGAGATCATAAGATAAAAAGTTCAGTCTTTAGACATTTCATTTCAGCCTTTTCTGTTATTTTGTTAACAAAACTTGTAAATAAAGATTTTATTCTCGAAGTGGTGACATCTATGTGAACTAAAGGGGGAAATAATTAAATTTTACAGTTTTAACAGTTAGACCACTCTGATGACTCCCCCTGAAGGGAAAAGGATGAAAGGCTTAAGGGAGTCACTAGACTTTAGGAAATACTTCAGTCTATGAAAAAATTAAGTAAATAGTAATTAGCAGGCCGTTTTAATGCGAATTGTTTCTAATTTGAGGACTTCTTAACGATTAACAGAACATTGGAATGTAAGAAATAGGACAAAAAATATAATCGAAACAAGAAATACTCGTAATGCAGAAAATATCGATAAGTTTAACAGATATTGAGATTGGTATCGATAGTATTACTCAAAAATAAAAAATTGCTTTAACACTATGACGAAACATTTGCTCGTTTGCCATCAAGTTCAGTCGAAAAGCTAAGCTACAATTGTATCTTTAACTTAAATTGTATCACTCATTTCCTATTTAGCAGTGCGTAACTCAAATCTTATGAAAATCAACAAAAGTTGATACTAAAATATGAGTACAGTTCATCCATTAAAGCGTCCATTAACAGTTCCTAGTGATCCTTTAAAATTGTTGGTTTGCAAAAATTGTAGAAATGATAATGTTTTTTTGAACCTGAAAACTTGTGGATGCCTTTTCTGTGACTCTTGTGACGGTGATTCTCGTGATAAATGTATTTCATGCAATTCTGAGCTCGATCAAAAGATAAAGCTGCTATTCACAATGAATCCAAGATGCAAGTATTATGAACACAACAAGTGCTACAATATTGCTGAATACAAGTGTAGATGTCTGCCGAACTGTTTTGTTTGTAGTTCATGCCTTACCTACATTCACAGGAAAAGTGTGCTGGAATCTTGTGTTCCTGAAATGTTGACCCGCGAAATTACCACTAATGATGAACTATGTGAATTGTGCAAAGGATTTTATGCCGGATTTAGACTGACTTCACCACCGTATTCAAAAATTTGTTTGGATTGTAAAACAAATAGTAATGCTGCATGTACTCCGATTGAAGAAACTTCTGTTAAAGACGAAGATTGGAATCAGTTTTATAAAGATTTTGAACAAACTGTACAAAATGTGTCAGATAAAATTAAAATAATTGAGGATGAATTAGTTGCAAGCAGTTTAGCTCGTAAACAGGAGATAAGAAAATGCCAAAATGCAATTTCTGAAATACAGAAATGTTTGCACTTATATAATATAAAATATCAAATACACATCTTGTTACTTAAACAGCAGCTTGACGATTTCAAAAAGGTATGTACTAATTCAACTGAAAACTGTGTGTAGCATTTTTAAAGACTGAATGACTTATAATTTATTAATTCATTCTCCATCTTATAACAGATTTCAGACATTTTGAAGCCTGATGGCAAAGTTAAGACTATTCTGGATCTACTCAAAAACAAACAATTGACTTTACATGGAGACGCAGGAATAACCAATCTGTTGAACTATTATCAAGAAAAAAATCCTCGGTGTCCTGTCACTGAACAAATCAAGACATTTGTTATACAAAACGATACAAGTAGGCAACATCTTTTGGAGTTTCCATTGCCTACCACAGTCAACACACCTGTTTCGGATGTAAGTTTTCAAGAAATTATCGACAATGGAGTCAAGCCGTTTGTAATTTTGGTTGAGATACAATCTACAGCAAATAAGCGTGAAGAAATACTCGAAGATATTGAGAAACATCAAGATAAATGGGTGCGCCAAGAAAGTTTTGCTGTGAACGACATTGTCATTATATTGGATGTTGATGCAACTGACAGTCACAAATACAAGAGGGCTAAAATTTTGGAACGAGAAGACAACACGTCCAAAGTCTTTCTGCTTGACTTTGGTTTTGAAATTGCAGTCGAAAATAGTTCAATCGGTGAAATTAACGGAATCAATATTGATGGGCAAAAATCTTGTTTCCTTGCTCAACTCACAGGAAGTGTTGATTTAGAATGTTATTATGATAAGCAAAAGGATTTGATTTCCAAAATTTTCCAAATCCAAAATGAATATCCTAAGGCTCAGCACTTACATGTAATTGATTAGTCAGAGCGAAGTTTCTTTTCAATTTTTCTCCAATTCAAACATAATTTCGAGACTGATTGGTCAGGATCAAGATTGAAGTTATTGAACTTATATTTTAACTTCATTTTCTTTAACAAAACATTTTCCGATTGCCATATTAATAGAATCCGAGCAAAATGGAAATAATCGGAAAGCGAACCAGACTCATTATTTTGTTTATTACAAAAGATCTAAAAGCCCAATAATTTCATCTCTACTGCATAAAGTTTATCGGCTCTTAACTTTTTAGCTTATTTGTAAAGTGTATGTAAGTCTATGTAGCTCTATGAATAGCTTAAAATAAGGCTATTTCATGGTAGTTTCATTATAAACAAAACGATTGTATGCTGTTCAATAATGAACATTCGTTGCTTACATATTTAATTTAACCCTATTGTAAAAAATTGACGCATCAAGAAGTATAACCTGTCATCTTATATCATAATTTATCATCCAACAATGAATAATGAAATTATTTTAATAAAATCACAAAAAAAATTATCAATCTTTTCCTTTTTATAACGGAGAAAAGTTGAATCAGATTCATAAACATGCTACATGTTACATACAGTAACCTACCAGATACCACTCAACAACACTCGTAAAATAGCTTAATTACACTAATCGTCGGTCAGCGTAATTCATGATTTTAAATCTTCAATAGATCAAATTTAGGCCAAAATCTCGTTTTAAACTGTTTTGAGAGTTTTTGGATTGATATTACACTAATGAAAATTGATTAAGCCAATTAATAATGATAGTTAGTATAATTCAATTGTATAATAAAGTTGTATGATAAAATCTGTTTATAATAGATTTGCCATTTGCTCAAAGTTCATTTCAGTGTGATTTATCGTCTACAGCAAAAATTCATTCACAATTGATGTTGATTTGATCACTTAAGCATATCATCTGACAGTATAATTGCAAGTGTGATTTACTTTTCTTATTGATGTGCATGAATGTAATTATATTGATTGTCTTATAAAAAAGATTAGCTGAAGTAAATTCATAGACAGGTTACCGAGAAGATTTATCATTTAATCGCATTCAACTCACTTCTATCATGAAGTGATATTATCTTTAAACTACAACAAGCCAAGTTACAATTTCGTCCTTCAAGTCAATTGTATCATCAGTTTTCAATTAATACTTATGCAGAAGTGATTAGTTTGCATTTTTATAACAACAAAAGTTGATTTATTTTTATACCAAAGCAAACATGAATCCAGTTAGTTCATTAAAGCGTCCATTGACAGTGCCAATCGACTCTTGTAAATTGCTGGTTTGCAAAAAATGTGATAAAGATGATGTCGTTTTGACCCTGAAAACTTGTGGATGCCTTTTCTGTGACTCTTGTGGCAGTGACTCTCGAGATGTGTGTATTTCATGCCAATTAAAAATTGAGCCAATGATGAAGATTTCATTTACCAAAGAAAAGAAATGCAAGTTTTATGGTGAAAAGTGCAATAACTATGCAGAATACAAATGTAAATGCATCGAAGGCGTTGTCTGCCTACATTGTCTGTTTCACATCCACTCTAAACGTATCAACGGACTGTGTAATCCTGTGCCCTTAAGTCACCAAGTAGATCATCTTGTACCATGTCAGGATTGTAAAGATTTTATAGCTGAATACGAAGCAATCCAATCCGGTAAAAAGATATGTTTTGTATGCAAGTCCAAAAATCAAAGTATTGGTGAGTGTAAGAAACTTGGAACAGAACCAGATTTGAAATTGATTGGGGAAGAGTTTTCATTGTCATTGACTAAAGTAAACGCCGATCGACAAAAAACCCTAGAGTTAATGAAATCAGGAGATTTGGAATGTGGAAAGAAAATGGACAAACTTAAAACAATTTTGGAAGAGGCCGTCAACAATGTGGCCAGTTATGCCAATCAATGTGATCAAAAAAAGTTGAAAGATATTCATGAGGTCAGTCCAAGTCACATCATACCAAAGACAACATTTATAAAGATATTTATTGATAAAATTTCTTGTCATCGCAGATTTGTGTAAATTTTAGGACTGGAAGTAACTTGCGAATTATTTTAGAGCAACTTAAACGGAAAAAACTGAAGCTACTCGGAGGACAAGAACAATTTGTCGATTTTTTACGCTATTGTCGAGATAAAGAATCTATTTCTCCGATGCAACGAGTCAAAATTAATCAATTGTATGGTTTAAATGAACATCTTGATATTGTTGATGGCCTGTTAAGCAAAAGTGTTCAAGTGATTATTGGTAAACGAAGTGAACCATTTTATGTTATGGTAGAGAAACCAGGTACACTGAATAAACGCGCAAAAATACTCAAAGATATAAAGAAACATGAAAATAAATGGGTGAGAATTGAAGAGTTTCAAGTGAATGACATCGTGATTATATGTGATGTACATGAAATTGATAATCACAGATTCAAGAGAGCTGAGATTCACAACATAAACCGACAAAATGATGCCATTGTTGTCTTACTCCTTGATTTTGGCTTTGAGATCACAATCAAAGCTAACGCGATTGGTAAGATTCCCGATGTCAATATTGCTGGACAATCAACATGTTTCATTGCTCAACTAATAGGAGATGCAAATTCAACTCATGAGATTCCGCGAGGATCGAAGGGAATACCTATTGCCAAGCACCTAATGATTTAAGAAGACAATTAAACTGAAATTGAACCAGAAACTTGTTCCTCAAATCTTGAGGCCAAATTTACCACTTACCATGAACCTTGTTTTTTGAGCATCAATTGCTGATTTCAAATGACTTCGGATCAGTATACGAAAATTGCTTGGATTTTAAGACAAATGTTGATAAAATTTAAAAAAATTGTCAATAAAGAGTCAGATTTGAATTAGTTTGATAGAAAGTTTCAAAGTTGAAACTTCCATCGCTTTTTGTACAACTGTGTAACCAGATTTTTCCATGAAACTCATTTCAATGATGTAAATTTTGATGGACAATCAGAAAATGACCTTAATGCACTGAAATAAAATTACCTATTTTCTTAAAAGACATTAAATCGATCGATTTTGAATAAACAAAACATAGAAACTCAGCATATAAAAGGTATACAATGTAAAAATCTGGTAGACATTCAAGAAAGAACAATAAATTAACATTTTTGGGCTTAGCTCTGTTTTTTCCTAACTTTTAAATAATGAATCTTGACTTCAGCTGTCAATCTTGAACCCCTTAGGGCAATCATGCTGGTTTTTGATTTTATAAACAAATCACAAAGTTGGCGAACGATGATCGATCTATCGATGATTGAATCGATCGTTCATAAACATCAGAACGAGCTCCTGTCAACAAGTAAGCTACAATTGTGTCTTTCGTTGTAAATAGTATCATTCATTACCTATTAAAACCTTTTTAGCAGTGATTGCTTCGCAATTTATGATAACAAATTGGAAAAAGTGAATTAATTTTAATATGAGTGCAAACATGAACACAGTTAGTTCATTAAAGCGCCCATTAACAGTGCCAAGTGACTCTTGTAAATTATTAGTTTGTAAAATTTGTGAAAAAGATGATAATATTTTAGGACTGAAAACATGTGGCTGCCTTTTATGTGACTCTTGTGATGGTGATTCTCGGAATAAATGTATTTCATGTGATTCTGAAGTTGATCCAAAGATAAAGCTGACATTCACAAAGAATCTAAAATGCAAGTTTTATGAGAGCAACAAGTGCTATAGTTTTGCTGAATACAAGTGTAAATGCATACCAAATTGTTTCGTCTGTGATTCGTGTCTTAACTTCATTCACCGTAAAAGGGTGCGTGAATCTTGTGTTCCTGAAATTTTGACACCCAAAGTTACCAATAATCCTGAACCATGTCAGCTGTGTAAAGAATTTATTGCTGAATTTGAAATGACTTCGGAACCTTATACAAAAATTTGCTTCGAATGTAAAACAAGCAGTAATTCAAAATGTATTCCATATGAAAGAAATTCTGATGAAGATTTAGATTGGGATCAGCTTTACAAAGAATTTATCTCTTCCTGTGTATCTTCCGATAAAATTAAGAAAATTGAAGATGAACTAGAAGCAAGCTGTTTAGATCGTGAACAGAGGATAAGACAAGGCAAAGAGTCAATATCTGAAATGCAGAAATGTTTGGACGAATATACCGAACAATATGACCGACACATTGCTTTGCTTAAACAGCAACTTGATAATTTAAAAAAGGTATGTATTAATACTAATAGTCAATATAAATTTTCAAAAGATCAGCTGACTTCTAATTTACTCATTGATTTCGTCTCATAACAGGAGCCGGCCTATATGAGGCCCGATGGTACAACTAAAACTATTCTTGATCTTCTCAAAGCTAAACAATTGATGCTACATGGAAAGAATGGAAAAGAGCAAATAATTAGTTTTCTGAACCATTATCGGGGAAAAAATGACTCCAATCCTCGATATCCTTTAGCTGAACAAATCAAGACATTAGCTGTACAAAACGATACCAGTAGTCAACATGCTTTGGAGTTTCCATTGCCTTCATCATTAAACTCAGTGAAGTCGGAAGACCACAGTCCCTCAACTTTACCTTCATCACCCATTCCTGGTATTTCAGCAAAGTCGGAGTTATGTGCTCAAGAAATTAGCAACAATGAAGTCAAGCCGTTTGTTGTTATGGTTGAGAAGCCATCTACAGTACAACAGCGTAAAAAAATACTGAAAGCTATTCAGAAACATGAAGATAAATGGGTACGCAAAGAGCAATTTGCCGTTCACGAAAATGTTATTATATTCGATGCTGATACAACTGACACGTTCAAATGCAAGAGAGCTAAAGTTTTAAGCAAAGGAAATCGTCATTCCACAGTCTTTCTTCTTGATTTTGGCTTTGAAATCACAGTCAAAAATAGTTCCATTGGTCTAATTAGCCACCTCGAAATCCCTACAAATGGAAAAAAAACTTGTTTCCTTGCTCTATTCACGGGGAGTATTAATGTCAATTGTGACTTAAAGCAAAAGGATTGGATTTCCGAAATTTCCCAAATCCAGAATGGCTTTCCTAAGGCTCAGCACATAAATATTATTGATTAGTCAGAACGAAGATTCTTGTTCATTTTTTTTACAATTCAAACGATATTCCAAGATTGCACTCTATTTGTTGACATTGAATTTGACTTCGTTCGCAAATATAATATATGTAAATAGTTTTATACTCATTTACACGAGTTTTAGTAGACTTGGGGCCAATTGTATCCAAAGATTAAGGTACCTAAATAATTGATTGTACCAGCAATTACAGTTAATACTTCACGAATAATTAGTATAATTATCAGGAATGAATAATTCACACTTTATAATAACAAATTAACAAGAGTTGATCTATTTTATATCATACATGCAATTGATTAGAGCGAAGCTTCCTCTTGATGAACAAAATGACTCCACTGTTGTCTTTCTCCTTGAATTTGGCTTTGAAGTTACAGTCAAAAATAGTTCAATCGGTAAAATCAAAGAAATCAAAATTGATGGACAAAACTTGTTTCAACAAAGGTGTTCAGTTTGAATATCCTCATGACTTTAGATAAAAGCTGTTAAAAAATAATTAGAATGCAATCAAAATAAGAGTTCAGAGTTCATTTCAGTGTATGATTTATCGTCTTCAGCAAAACATCTGCTCGCAATTAATATATTACTTGAAAGGTATCATCTCCCAGTGTTTTATTGAAAGTGTAATTCAGTTCACTTATTTAGCTAAATGAAGATCATAAAGACGAAAGTTTAGCTTTTAAACATTTCAACCTTTTCCGTAATTTTGCTGGTCTATGAATATTTTTTTCCTGGATAGTAATTACAATGCTAATCTACTTCAAACGGTTCTTGATTTTGCTATTTTAAGGCCTTTTAATGTGTAACAAATATTGAATGCATATCAAAAGAAACAGATGATATTATTCCAATAATATTTTATTCTAATATTAGTATCCATTCGGTACTACCGGTAATATTATTACTTATTATAATAATACTAAAAAATAAATATTGCAAATGTTTCATCATAGTCTATTACGAAACATTTAGGTGAAGAGCGATTTTAGAATCTAAAATTTAGATTTCAGGTTTGATCGATTTAAATTAGAAATTCGATGTATCGATTTTTACTGTAAACAAATCATAGAAACTCAGCATATAAAAGGCATAAATGTAACAATTTGGTAAAGATTTGATGAAGAATAATAAATTGACATTTTTGGGCTTAGTTCTGTTTCTTCCAAACTCTTAACTAATGGATCTTGACTTCGACAATCGTGAACCCCTTAAGGCAATCATGCTGGTTTTCGATTTTATAAACAAATCATCGATCACAAAGTTAGCAACAAAGAGTAAAGAAGCTTCTTTACTCTTTGAAGCAAGCAATGATCGATTTTATCGATAATCGAATCAATCGGTCACTGACATCATAACGTTTTCTCGCCAACAAGTTAAGCAACAATTGTGTCTTTCTCGAAAATTAAATCAATCATTTCTAATTAAAACCTATTTAGCAGTGTTTGCTTCAAAATTTGTAATAACAAATTAACAAAAGTGAATAAATCTAATTATAAGTGCAAAAATCAACATGGTTAGTTTATTAAAGCGTTTATCTACAGTGCCTAGTGACTCTTTTAAATTGTTAGTTTGCAAAATTTGTAAAAAAGGTGATAATATTTTAGGTTACAAAACTTGTGGATGCCTTTTATGTGACTCTTGTGACGGCGATTCTCGGGATAAATGTATTTCATGTGATTCTGAAGTCGACCCAAAGATAAAGTTAACATTCACAAAGAATCTAAGATGCAAGTTTTATGAGCGCAACAAGTGCTATAGTTTTGCTGAATACAAATGTAAATGTCTTAACTGTCCTGTCTGTGAATTGTGCCTTAACTTCGTTCACCGGAAAAGGGTGAGTGGATCTTGTGATCCTGAAGTTTTGACATCCAAAGTTACCACTAACTCTGAACCATGTCAATTGTGCAGAGAATTTATTGCTGAATTTAAAATGACTTTGAAACCATATGCAAAAATTTGCTTCAATTGTTCAACAAACAGGAGTTCTATATGCATTCCCTTTGATAGAAATTCTGATGGAGATCTAGATTGGAATCAGCTTTACAAAGATTTTGAACAATCTTCCCAAATGGCTTCCGATAATATTAAAAAATCAGAACACGTATTGGAAATCAGCATTTCAGCTCGTGAAGAGAAGATAAAATTATGCAAGGATTTAATATCTGAAATACAAAAGTGTTTAGACGAATTTACTGAACAATATGATCGATCCATTGTAACACTCAAACAGCAACTTGCCGATTTAAAAAAGGTATGTAATAATAGTCAATGTAAATTTTCAAAAGATCAGCTGACTTCTAATTTACTCATTTATTTGGTCTTTAACAGGATGCGGACTATTTGAGACCCGATGGTACAACTAAAACTATTCTTGATCTTCTCAAAAATAAAGAATTGACTTTACATGGAGAAAATGGAAAAGAGCAAATAACTAATTTTTTGAACTATTATCGAGAAAAGAATAACTACAATCCTGTAACTGAACAAATAAAGACATTGCTTTCCTCATTCGACTCAGCGAAGTTGGGTTTAAGTGTTGATAGTGTAGGAGTTAGCGACAATGGAGTCAAGCCGCTTGCTATTCTGATCGAGAAGCCATTTACATTAAATGAGCGTAAAAAAATACTCGAAGCTGTTCGAAAACATGAAGATAAATGGGTACGCAAAGAAATTTTTTCTGTGAACGACACTGTTATTATATTTGATGCTAATTCAACTGACATGTTCAAATGCAAGAGAGCTAAAGTCTTAAACAAAGGAAATCACAATTCCACAGTCTTTCTTCTTGATTTTGGATTTGAAATTACAGTACAAAATAGTTCCATTGGTCTAATTAGCCACCCCGAAGTCCCTACCAATGGAAAAAAAACTTGTTTCCTTGCTCAATTCACGGGAAGTGTTAATGTAAATTGTGGCTTAAAGCAACAAGATGGGGGTTTTGAAATTTCTCATATCCAAAATGGATTTCCTAAGGCTCAGCTTTTAAATGTTATTGACTAGTCAGAACGAAGCTTCTTTTTCATTTTTTACTATCCAAACATTATTTCGAGACTCCACTCTATGTGTTAACATTGAATTTGATTTCGTTCGAAAACCTATGTAAATAATTCGAAGTAATAATTGTAGTCTTACTCCTTGTTTTTGGTTTTGAAGTTAAATCGAAGATAATGAAATTGGATTTTGATGTCAATATAGCTGGACAATAAACTTTTTCATTGCTCAAAAAATGGGTAAATTCAACTCATGAAATTCCCTCATTCCTATTGCTCAGAAGCCAATCATTTAAAAAGACAATTCACCTAAAATAGACTAAACGCAACATATCAATCATTCGTAGACTTTTGTAATTTTATTGTTTTCACTAACAAGTGGCTAAAGTAGACGAAGACAGAGACTAACAATATAAAACTATTTCATGGTAAAGCAAATGTCTGTCTAAGTTTATCTAATCTTATGAGCTGGATAGATGAATAATTGGTCAAATGAAGAGACAAAATATAAGAGGGGAAACAAGTGAGTCCAACCAAATTATTAGAGCTAATCCCCTCACAATGATATCAACACTAAACTGCAACAGGTTAAGTTGAAATTGTATCTTACACATAAATTGTATTATTGATTTCTTATTAAAACATATTCAGAAGTGATTAATTAATATTTTGAAATAAAAAATTAACAAAGTTAATTTATTTTTATATCAATGCAAACATGAGTACAGTTAATTCATTAAAGCGTCCATTACCAGAACCAAGTGACTCTTGCAAATTGTTGGCTTGCAAAACATGCGAAAAAGATGATGTTGTTTTGAACCTGAAAACGTGTGGATGCCTTTTATGCAAGGCTTGTGATGGTGATGCTCGAGATAAATGTATCTCTTGCCGATCTAACTTCGATCCAAAGATAAAGTTGTCATTCACGAAGAATCCAAGATGCAAGTTTTCTGAACTCAACCAGCCACAGTCATCGGTTTCCTTTAGCTGAAAAATCAAGACATTTGTTATACAAAATGATTCCAGAAGACAACATCTTTTGGAGTTTCCATTACCTTCATCATCCAACTACGGTGTTTCAACAATTGATTAGCATGATTGAAATTATATTGATTGTCTTATAAAAAAGATCAACTGAAGTAAATTCATAGACAGGTTACCGAGAAGATTTATAATTTACTCTCAATTTAGCCTCACTCCTATCAGTGGCCAGGATTTGACTAAAGTAACAAGAAGTAATTGAGTTTTCTAGGAACGCAGGTTCGTTAGAAAACATATTCAGGGTGATGGGAAAACAATCCATATTGAAAAGCATTGTCGAGGTAAGCAAATTATTTTTTAGTTTAATTATGCTATGTTATCGGAGTCCGTTTGTTTAGTTAGGTGATGATCTAAATGAAGATCATGAAATAAAAGACAAAAGTTCAGCTTTTAGATATTGCAACCTTTTCCGTGTTTTTATGCTCTATGAAAATTTTTCAACCTGGATAGTAGTTATAATGCATATCTACTTCGAATGGTACTTGATTCTGCTATTTTAAGGCCTTTTAATGTGTAACAGAACATTGAATGCATATCAAAAGAAACAGATTATATTATTCAATAATATTTCATTCTAATATTAGTATCCCTTCGGTACTACCGATAATATTACTTAAAAGTGAAATATTGCAAAATGTTGCATCATGATCTATGACGAAACAGGCGAAGTGATGGGCGATTTTGGATTTCAGATTTCGATTTAAACTAGAAATGTGATTAATCGATTTTCATTGTAAACAAAACATGAAACTCAGCATATAAAAGGCATAAAATGTAGCAATTTGGTAGAAATTTAAGAAAGAATAATTGATTAACATATTGGGCTTAGTTCTGTTTCTTCCAAACTCTTAACTAATGGATCTTGACTTCAGCTGTCAAGCTTGAACCCCTTAGGGCAATCATGCTCGCTTTCGATTGTCGATTTTATAAACAAATCAAATAATCGATCACAAAGTTGGTTAGCGATGATCGATTTTATCGATAATCGAATCAATTGGTTACAAGCATCATAACGTTTTCTCGTCAACAAGTTGAACTTCAATTGTGTCTTTCGTTGAAATTACATCATTCATTCACTATTAAAACCTATTAAGCAGTGATTGCTTCAAAATTTATAATAACAGTTTAGCAAAAGTTAATTAATTTTTATATATGTGACAAAAATGAACACGGTTAATTCATTGAAGCGTCCATTTACAGAAACAAGTGATTCTTGTAAATTGTTAGTTTGCAAAACATGTAAGAAAGATGAACCTGTTGTCTTGAACCTGAAAACATGTGGATGCCTTTTCTGTGAATCTTGTGACGGTGATTCTCGGAATAAATGTATTTCTTGCGACTCTGAAGTGGATCCAAAGATAAAGTTAACATTTACGAAGAAACTAAAATGCAAGTTTTATGAGCGCAACAAGTGCTATAGTTTTGCTGAATACAAATGTAAATGTCTCAACTGTTTTGTCTGTGAATTGTGCCTCAACTTCGTTCACCGGAAAAGGGTGAGTGGATCTTGTGATCCTGAAGTTTTGACACCCAAAGTTACCAATAGTCCTGAACCATGTCAATCATGCAAAGAATTTATTGCTGAATTTAAAATGACTTCAGCACCGTATTCAAAAATTTGCTTCAATTGTTCAACAAACAGTAATTCTGAATGTATTCCATATGTAACAAATCCTGATGAAGATCTAGATTGGGACCAGTTTTATAAAGATTTTGTACAATCTTCCCAAATGGCTTCCGATAAAATTAAAAAAAACAGAAGAAGTATTAGAATTAGTCAGTTGGGATCGTGAACAGAAGATAAAAATATGCAAAGATTTAATAACTGAAATACAAAAGTGTTTAGACGAATATACTGAAGTATATGATCGACACATTGTAACACTCAAACAACAACTTGAAAATTCCAAAAAGGTATGTACTGATTCAAAAAGTAAATGTAACCTTACCAAAAGAACAACTGACTTCTAATTTACTCAATGATTTCGTCTTATAACAGGATTATTTAAGACCCGATGGTACAGCTAAAACTATTCTTGATCTTCTCAAAAATAAAGAATTGGCTTTACATGGAAAAAATGGAAAAGATCAAATGACTAATTTGTTAAACTATTATCGGGAAAAACATAACTACAACCCTCGATATCCTGCAACTAGCCGAATAAAGGCATTGCTCTCCTCATTCGACTCAGCGAAGTTGGGTTTAAGTGTTGATAGTGTAGGAGTTAGCGACAATGGATTCAAGCCGCTTGCTATTCTGGTCGAGAAGCCATCTGCAGCAAATCAGCGTAAAAAAACACTGAAAAATATTCAGAAACATGAAGATAAATGGGTACGCAAAGAAAGTTTTACTGTTAACGACATTGTTTTTATATTTGATGCTAATACAACCGACACGTTCAAATGCAAGAGAGCAAGAATCTTGAGCAAAGGAAATCGCAATTCCACAGTCTTTCTTCTTGATTTTGGCTTTGAAATTTCAGTCAAAAATAGTTCTATTGGTCAAATTAACCACATCGAAGTTCCTACCAATGGAAAAAAAACTTGTTTCCTTGCTCAACTCACGGGAAGTGTTAATGTAAATTGTGGCTTAAAGCAACAGGATTGTATTATATTTCCGAAATTTCCGAAATACACAATGGATTTCCTAAGGCTCAGCAGATAAATGTTATTCATTAGTCAGAGCGAAGTTTCTTTTTAATTTTTCACAATTCAAACAATATTCCAAGATTGCACTATACGTGTTGACATTGAATTTGATTACGTTCACATCGATAACCCATGTAAATAATTCCAAGTTAAATAATTGTAGTCTCTTTGTTTTTGGTTTTGAAATTAAATAAAATATAATGACATTGGTTTTTCGATGCCAATTTAGCTGGACAACCAACTTTTTTCATCGCTCAAATAATAAGTAAATTCAACTCATGAAATTTCCTCATCCCTATTGCCCGTTACCTAATTATTTAAGAAGACGATTCGACTAAATTTGAACCAGAAATTGAATCAACGCAACGTATCAATCATTCGTAGACTTTGCAATTTTCTTGTTTTCAACTAAAATTGTAAGTAGACAAAGACAGAGACTAACAATATAAAACTATTTCATGGTAAAGCAAATGTCTGTCTAAGTTTATCTAATCTTATGAGCTGGATAGATGAATAATTGGTCAAATGAAGAGACAAAATATAAGAGGGGAAAGAAGTGAGTCCAACCAAATTATCAGAGATAATTTCCTCACAATGATATCATCGCTAAACTAAAGGATGTAACAAGTTATAGCTTGCAAATGCAGAAGATAACAAACAAATTTAACTCGCCGTTATCTTTAAATTTGATGGTAGCGATGAAGATGCTAACAAATATGTAAGATGATTGTTCATGCAAAGATTAATGTACATTACATTAATCTTTGTTGTTCATGTCTATGGTTCTTTATTATCAATATCATCAATTTTAAAGATAACGGCGAGTTAAATTTTCGTGTTATCTTCTGCATTTGCAAGCTATATAACTTGTTACATCCCTTACAACTGGTTGAGGTAAAATTGTGTCTTACATATAAATTGTACCACTCATTTCCTAAACCTATTCAGAAGTGATTAATTCATATTTTGGCATAAAAAATTAACAAAGTTAATTTATTTTTATATAAATGCAAACATGAGTACAGTTAATTCATTAAAGCGTCCATTACCAGAACCAAGTGACTCTTGCAAATTGTTGGCTTGCAAAGCATGCGAAAAAGATGATGTTGTTTTGAACCTGAAAACCTGTGGATGCCTTTTATGTGACTCTTGTGACGGTGATTCGCGCGATAAATGTATCTCTTGCCGATCCAACGTCGATCCAAAGATAAAGGTGTCATTCACGAAGAATCCAAGATGCAAGTTTTCTGAACTCAACCAGTGCTATAGTGATGCTGAATACAAGTGTAGTTGTATTCCAGACTGTTTTGTTTGTAGTTCATGCCTTACCTACATTCACAGGAAAAGGTTCCGCGGATCATGTGTTCCTGAAATTTTGAGACCAGAAATCACCTTTGAACACGAACCATGTAAATTGTGTGAAGAATTTATTGCTGAGTTTGAAACGACTTCGGAACCGCATACAAAAATTTGCTTCAATTGTAAAACAAATGGAACAATTCAATTCGAAAAAATTGTTTATAAAGATCCAGATTGGAACTTGTTTCATAAAGTGTGCATGAAATCTTCACAAAATGTGTCAGATAAAATTAAAACAATTGAGGATGAATTGGAATCAAGAATTTTAGCTCGTGAACAAGAGATAAAAAAATACAAAGATGCAATTATGAAAATACAAAACTGTTTGACCGAATATACTGAACAATCTGATCGACAAATTGTAGCTCTTAAACAGCGACTTGAAAATTTCAAAAAGGTATGTACCAACCTAACTGACTAGGAATACATGGTCGAAACTTACTTTCAAGCCTAGAAACGTTCAAAATTTTCGTAACAACGACCATTTATTTCTCGTGAGTCAACTTTTCTAAGACTAACTGACTTTTAATTTATCCATTGGCTTCCTCTTGTAACAGATTTCAAATATTTTCCAGCCTGATGGTACAACTAAAACTATTCTTGATCTACTCAAAAATAAACAATTGACCTTACATGGAGAACCAGGAAAAGAGCAAATAATTGGATTTTACAATTATTATCGAGATAAAATTAACTCCAATCATCGGGTTCCTTTAGCTGAACAAATCAAGACATTAGCTATACAAAACGTTTCGGTTTCGTTTCGTCTCGCCAACGGAGTTGGTGAGATTCCCGATGTGAATATTGTTGGACAACCAACTTGTTTCATTGCTCAACAAATGGCAGATACAAATTCAACTCAGGAGATTCCGACTCCAAAGGAATGCCTATTACCAAAGCCTAAATGATTTAAGACGACAATTCAACTAAAATTGAACCAAAAACTTGACTCAAAGCAACTTAATAATTCCTAGGCTTTCGTGAAATAATTGCTTCTAACTAATTAGACAGCGACGAGACTGTCTGTCTAAATTTGTCTGAATCCTTTGTTTAAATTCAGTCTGAATGCAATCTCAAAGGAGTTGAATAATTGGTCAAATGAAGAAACAAAATATTAGAGGGGAAAGAAGCAAGTCTAGCCAGTTATGTAAGGCTAACAAAGATTAAGGTAGCTTAATCTTTGAAGGCTAATCCCATTACAGTGATAACGGCGCTAAACTACAACAGGTTAAATTAAAATTGTTACACAAAAATTGTATCACTCATTTCGTATTAAAACCTATTTTGCAGTGATTAATTTTGATTCACATTTTGAAATAACAAATTAAAAAAGTAGCTCATTTTTATTTCAATGCAAACATGAAAACAGTTAATTCACTAAAGCGTCCATTAACAGTGTCAAGTGATCCTTTGAAATTGTTGCTTTGCAAGATATGTAAGAAAGATGATGTTGTCTTACATCTGAAAACTTGTGGATGCCTTTTCTGTGACTCATGTGACGGTGATTCTCCCAAAATGTGTATTTCATGCGACTCTGAAGTTGATCAAAAGATAAAATTGTCGTTTACAAAGAATCCAAGATGCAAGTTTTATGAACACAACAAGTGTTATAACAGCGCTGAATACAAGTGTAGATGTCTGCCGAACTGTTTTGTTTGTAGTTCATGCCTTACCTACGTTCACAGGAAAAGGGTCCGTGAATCTTGTGTTCCTGAAATGATGAGACCCAAAGTTACAACTAACTATGAACCCTGTGAATTGTGTAAAGAATTCATTGCTGAATTTAAAATGACTTCGGAGCCGCATACAAAAATTTGCTTCGATTGTAAAACAAATAAAAATGCTAAATGTACTCCATATGAAAAAAAATCTGATAAAGACGCCGATTGGAATCAGTTTTATAAAGATTTTGAACAATCTTCACTAATTACTTCGGATAAAATCAAAAAATTAAAAGAAGTAGTGGAATCAAGCAGTTCAGCTCGTGATCAGGAGATAAAAAAATGCAAAGATGCAATGTTTGAATTACAAAAATGTTTGAATGAATATACTGAACAATATGCTCGACACATAGCAACACTCAAAAAGCAACTTGACAATTTCAAAAAGGTATTTACTAAACTGACAACTGTTAGCAACATTTTCAAAAGACTAACTGACTTATAATTTATTTGTCTTCATCTAACAGATTTCAAATATTTTGAAGACCGATGGTACAATTAAAACTATTCTTGATCTGCTCAAAGCTGAATTATTGACCTTACATGGAGAGAAAGGAAAAGAGCAAATAATTGATTTGTTGCTCTATTTGCGAGAAAAAAACAGCCACAATCATCGGTATCCTTTAGCTGAAAAAATCAAGACATTTATTATACAAAATGCTTCCAGAAGACAACATCTTTTGGAGTTTCCATTACCTTCATCATCCAACTCCGGTGTTTCAGCGAAGTCAGGTGTAAGTGTTCAAGAAATTATCGACAATGGAGTCAAGCCATTTGTTATTCTGGTTGAGAAACTAACTGAAGCACATGAGCGTAAAAAAATACTCGAAGCTATCCAGAAACATGAAGATAAATGGATACGCAAAGAACGTTTTGGTATGAACGACATTGTGGTTATATTTGATGCTAAAGCAACTGGCAGTCCCAAATGCAAGAGGGCTAAAGTCTTAAGCAAAGGGAATCGCACTTCCACAGTCTTTCTCCTTGATTTTGGCTTGGAAATTACAGTCAAAAATAGTTCCATTGGTGAATTCAGTGATATCATTTTTCATGGAAAGAAAACTTGTTACCTTGCTCAACTAACGGGAAATATTTTTTTAAATTGTGACTTTAAGCAAACGGATTGGATTTCCAAAATTCCCCAAATCCAAAATGGATTTCCTAAGGCTCAGCACTTACATGTTATTGATTAGTCAGAGCGAAGCTTCTTTTTAATTTTTTACAAACATTATTTCGAGACTGAATGATCAGGACTCAATTTGTCGAACCGTTATTTTAATATTGTTTTTAATGGTAAAACAATTTTCGATTGCCATATTTATAACCAGAATCCAAACGAAATGATATTAAATCATGAAATTTATCAACAAGACAAGACGAAGCAAAACATATGCTCGCACTTGATGTATTACTTGAAACTTATTATCTATTACAATGTATAATTGAAAATGTAATTCACTTTCTAATTGATGATCATGAGTGAAATTAAATTGGTTGTCTTATAAATAAAATTAACTGAAGTAGATTCATAGACAGATTAACGAGAAGTTTATAATTTACTAACAATTTAGCCTCAATTTAGTAGGGATATTATGGTTAAATTATGAATAGATTGATTGAACTTGAAAACTTGTGGATGACTTTCTGTGACAGTGATTGTCAAAACATAAAGATGCCATTCACAAGAAATCCAAGAGTCTTCCAAAATGCTTGTCTACCTTACTTACAATATTAATTTGAACCGTGACATTGATCAAAAAGGTGCTTTACCCAAAGCCAAGCACATACATGTAACTAATTAGTCAGAGTGAAGCTTCTGGTTAATGGGCAAAATGATTCCATTGTAGTCTTACTCCTTGTTTTTGGCTTTGAAATAAATCAAAGCTATGAAATTGTAAGATTCTGGATGTCAATATAGCTGGACAACTTTTTAAGCGCTCAAATAATGTGTAAGTTCAACTCATGAGATTCCCTTATACTTATAGCCAAACACCTAATAACTTAAGAAGACAATTCACCTGAAATTGAACCAGTAACTTACAAAATCAGTATTTTTTAAACTTTACAATAATTGCTTCAGAAACCAAGACTGTATCTCATCTTAAAGCAAATGTCTGTCTAAATTTGTCTAAATCTTTTGCTTAAATACAGTCTGAATGCAATCTCTAGAGAGTTGAAAAGTTTAATAATTGGTTGAAGATAAAAATCTGAGAGGGTAAAGAAGTGAGTCTTCCCCTATGATGAAAGGCTAATCCCCTATCGATGATATCATCGTTAAACTACAACAAGTTACAATTTTGCCCTTCACGTCTATTGTCACCAGTTTTCAATTAATGCTTATTTAGAAGTGAATAATTCACATAACAAAATAACCAAAGTTGATTTATTTTCATACTCAAGTAAGAATGGATACAATTAGTCCATTAACAGTGCCGAGTGACTCTTGGAAATCATTGGTTTGCAAAATATGTAAGAAAGATGATGTTGTTTTGAACCTGAAAACTTGTGGATGCTTTTTCTGTGACTCCTGTGACGGTGATTCTCAAAATATATGTGTCTCTTGCCGATCTAAAGTCAATCCAAGGATAAAATTGTCATTCTCAAAGAAGCCAAGATGCAAGTATCATGAACTCAACCAGTGTTTTAATAATGCTGAATACAAGTGTAATTGTATTCCAGACTGTTTAGTCTGTGATTCCTGCCTTAGCTTCATTCACGATAAAAGAGTGCGTGGATCTTGTGTTCCTGAAATTTTGACACCCAAAGTTACCACTAATTATGAACCATGTCAAATGTGCGAAGAGTTTATTGCTGAATTTAAAATGACTTCGGAACCGTATTCAAAATTTTGCTTCGATTGTAAAACAAAAAGTAATGCTATTTGTATTCCATTTGAAAAAGATTCTGATCAAGATTCAGATTGGAGTCAGTTTTACAAAGAGTATGTACAATGCTCACGAATGATTTTAGGTAAAATTAAAAAAATCGAAAAAGCGTTGGAATTGACCAGTTTAGATCGTGAACAGAGGATACAAAAATGCAAAGATGCATTATCTCAGATACAAAAATGCTTGATCGAAAATACTGAGCAATCTGACCGACAAATTGCAGCTCTTGAACAGCAACTTGACAATTTCAAAAAGGTAAGTAACTATTCAATCAAGAATCAAGAATCCACTGTTTTTTTCATTTTTCACTAACTGACTTCTAATTTATCCATTGGCTTCATCTTCTAACAGATTTCAAATATTTTGAAGCCCAATGGTACAATGAAAACAATTCTTGATCTACTCAAAAATAAACAATTGAACTTGCATGGAAAAAATGGAAAAAAGGAAATATGGAGTTTCTTGAACTTTTATCGAGAAAAAAATTACTACAACCCTCGGTACCCTAGAGCTGAAAAAATTAAGACTTTGTATGTGCGAAACTATTCCAGGAAACAATATCTTTTGAAGTTTCCATTACCTTCCAACTCATCAGTATCATCCAACTCAGGTGTTCCAGCGAAGTCAGATGTATCTGTTCAAGAAATCATAGACAATGGAGTCAAGCCGTTTGTTGTTTTGGTCGAGAAACCATCTACAGTAAATGAGCGTAAAAAAATACTCGAAGATATCCAGAAACATGAAGATAAATGGGTACGCAAAGAACGTTTTGATGTGTTCGATATTGTGATCATATTTGATGCTGATGCGACTGACAGTCCCAAATACAAGAGGGCTAAAATTTTGAACCGAAAAAAAGACGTGTCCAAAGTTTTTCTCCTTGATTTTGGCTTTAAAACTACAGTCAAAAATAGTTCAATCGGTGAAATCAACGAAATCACTATTAATGGTAAAAAAACTTGTTTCCTTGCTCAACTCACGGGAAGTGTTAACGTAAATTGTGACTTTAAGCAAAAGGATGGATTACCTAAGGCTCAGCACTTAGTAACTAGTGTGAGATGCAAATCCAACTCATGAGACTCCGCGAGGATCAGAAGGAATACCTATTGTCAAGCACCTAATAATTTAAGAAGACATTTCACCTAAAATTGAACCAGAAACTCAACTCAACATATCAGTAAATCCGTAAATTTTCATTATTTTTATAATGATTTTTTTTCATTCACTTGCAACCTTGGATAATTTAAACCGAACAATCAATCGAATTGAAAGGAAAGGAAACTCAACATCTTCAAATCTTCAAAAGCAGCAACTAATATAATATTTACCCTGAAATTAGACTATGAAATGGCAATGATGGAGATGATGCTGATGAAATAGAAATTATGCGATTTTAGTTACAAACCAATAATGAGATTAATAAATGAAATGTTAATAATCATTTTTAGGTCGATCCTTCAAATTAAATTCATAATGAAAGTAATTGACAAAAATAGAGGCCTTCAAGGTTTCATGAAAGTCAAGATGAACAAGAGAAGATGATATCGATGTTGGTATTGGCAGTACATTGAAAGGTGGTAACGTTGTTGGAGGCCAAATCGAGGTAGTGATGATGGACAACAAATAATAATTATAATGAAATAATGATAATCACAATAAAATGTAATACGATAATTACTCCGCCTTTAATTTGTAATTTGGATGACCCTGAAACCGATACAAACAAGTAAAGCCTCTCCTGGTCTAATAAAATTGGACCGGACTGTTGTCAGGGACTTTCTCTAACTCTCTTTCTTTGTCTTCCCTGATTCTCCTTCTCTCCTTCTCTCTCTTATGCCATGTGTGAGTTAACCTCATAACATTATTATACTTTTCTGACTCTCAATATATTTATATATTTTTTTGTTAATTAACATTATTTTATTAAACAAATCGAAAGGAAGTTTTGCTTAAGAAAATTGAATAAATAAACGACAAATTAGGTCAACTATCATTCGAAAATGGCGCGTACAGAAGTTACTCAGGGTAAACAGAAAAGTGGGAGAAGTGAAAGAGAAGAGGAAAGTTGGGAGAAAGAGAGAGAAAATGAAATGAAACTAAAAAGGAGAGAAAAGAAAGAGAAGATTGGAGGATCATGAAGATAAAGAGAGAGTGAGAGAGAGTTTCTGGAGAAAAGAAAGATTTGTTTTTGGTTTTTTACTTTACTTACTTTACTTTTTTTTCATGAAATTAAACATCATATGATGAAAATGGCCAGTACGAGATGAGGGGCTAATGTCTATCTCTTTCAGACATTATTTGCCTTTTTTACTTTCAGTGAATTTAATTTGTGTTTGTATCCACCATGACCGGAATTAATCAATTGCCTGATGAGATACTTGAAATTGTGTTCAATAAAATTATTTGGGTTGAGGATCTAATAAACGTTTCTGTTGGTAAGTATTGCTTTTTGCTTTTCAATGTTGCTATATAAACATGCTTTTTTGTGTAACAGGAAAAAAAAGAAGTTAATTGAAAATTTTCTTTATTGCCTGCTAATTGATGGCATTAAAAACAAAGCAAACTTATCTTTTTGCTTCATCTTTTCATTCCTTATTTTTTTGCTCTTTGATAGTTTGTCAACGTTGGTCGTTTCTGGTTCGCCGCCGATTATCACAGATTCGGGTTCTTCTTTGTGAGACAGTCAATGATGGAGGTTTGTATTGATGTCAATTACCATATTGGCCTTGGAATTAAAGTCATCATGTGCAGTTAGTGTTAACTCCTTTCGTGTCAGGATCCAAAGATTTAACTTGTTTATTAATATTTTACTGGCAAACGGGTTTATGTTTGTGATCATCGTCCAATTTACCTGTGAAACATCGAAAGTCCTTGAATCTGGATTTAAACTTTCACTGTGATTAGTGTTACGGATATTTAAATCTAAATTCAAAAACCTTTATACTTCATCTTCAACTTTCGCATGGGTTAGGTGTGATGAGCTATGTAATGAATCTTAATCTGGTCCATAATCAAAAGTTTTGAAAATTACCCAATTTGGATTAGTTAGTAACTCGATTCAATAGGTTTAATCACGAGATGGCGTTTATTTTGAAAATTGTTCATTTCCATCAGAATCAGAATTTCAAAATTTTCAGCAATTTTAGCACTTTAATCATCTCATCATATACTTACTAGTACTTGAGCTATAAAGTTTGCAGTTTAGTGTTGCTTCGTAATCATTGATAATTTTTTGCTAATTATTTAATTTCTTTCTATTTCCACTTTGTCACCATGATTAACCAAAAAAATGTTAAAATTACTCCTCAATTTGAATCAGTTATCGATGCAAACCTTTAGCCTTCATGTTATTTTTCATTTCCTTATTCTGTGAAAATCCATCAACATTGTCCTCTGCAATGAACTGGTCGTTTTTACTTTCCATTATTTGATTATGTTTAGCTGTTGATTCAGTTAGGGTGTCACTTGAATCTAAGGAACTCAGTCATGCTCCATTCTGACTCCTTTAAGAGGACAACCTTCGGTTCGCTATTTATCATTATTTTTTAATAAGGTCGTCCTAATCACAATTGAAAAGTGTCCCTGGCCTAATCAACCAACCTAAACTTTCAAATAATCATAAAAAGTTATTGTTTAGATAAGGTAAGCTTAGTAAGTGTTAGTTTCTTTATCAATTATTGTTAACCTTAAAATATCGTCATTGAATAATCGTTAATGTTCTTTAAAACAAATTAACTGAACATGTTAATAAAACTTTGGAATGACTTTTAATTTGATTTATCCTCTTCTTGTCAAAGTTGATTATTTTAATTTCTTATCTTTAATTTTCTTTTCAACATCTTTTATTTCTAAATTATATCAGATTCTACATGATAATCGACTTTACTTTCATTCCAATCTCGTTCTTGATCATTTTTACTCATTATTAAAAGTAAAATTTTGTATTAACTTCAATCTTTTTCTTTCTTCGAATAGAGGATGATGACCTTGAACCAGTGCCAGATCCTGTTGTGACCACGGATACTCTCTTCTATCAGGAACTAATCGAAGATAATTCCAGAATAGCTGAATATTTAGATTTCCTACCAAACCTTAAAGTTATCGAGATTAATGGTAATGCAGAACCAATTCAACCTTATATTGGTAGTCTTTTAAATTGCCGAACAAATATTATTGGCCTTCAGTACAATCATCCTTTCTGGTTATCAGTACCTCATGGACTTAAACACATTCAAATGTTTTCATCGTATTCTATCGGAACTGAGGTAGAAGAATGTTTTTCTGAAGTTTGTGAACAGCTTTTTGTTAAATTTGCTCGTGATTCTTTATGGAAGATTTTGTCTGATTTTAGATCTCTTAAGAGACTCCATGTGGGTGAATTTAGAGGTGAGATTAATTTCAATTCATATTTTTTCCATCCAACCAATATTTCTAATATTGTTTTGTTTTAATTTTAATTTTAGGAGAACCTCTATCAGGGTATAATGGCCCATGTTCTCATTCAATTGAAATATTGGAGTTAAATATTTGCCATTATCGTCCTGATGTACCTACTTGCTCACTTCATGACCCACCATATGGATTTGGAGCTTTAGTTGATCTGTGTCCTAGATTGAAGAGTTTGTTTATTCGCTTTCAATCTATTTTTTCTTATCAACATGTCCCTAATCGACCAAATAATTTACTTCAAAATCTAGTTTTGGAATACATGGTAATTTTGATTTTTTTAAACGATTCATTCTTTGTTTATTTATTCTAATGCCTTTTTATTTATTTCCTTTGTGCAGCCAAACAGTTTACATAATTGGAGTACGCTGAGGTGTATTATTTTTAATTTTCCAAATCTGAAGAATCTAGCAATTCGTGGTAATTTAGAGCTTTTGGACAGTCATGTGCATGATATTTTATCTAATTGCGTTAGATTGGAATTACTAGATGTTCGAGGTTGTCCAAAAATAACAAATAGAGTCGAAGATAGTAAACGCTATTTCTCAAAATATACTAATCGTCAAATCAGAATATTTAGAGGTGAATTTCCAGTCTCATGTGCTCCATCAAATCATCGTCAAGTTGCAGATGGTCTCGACTTCATGCGAAATATTTTTTATCAATCTTTCAAAACTATTCCTGTATTTATGCTCCCAGAATGTAAAAAACGCTGATAATCTTATTTTGTTGCCACTGAACAAACTTTTTTGTCTATGTGTTCATTCTTAGTCCACTGATAATGTTTCTTATATGCCACACAAAGATTTAAAGGTAAGTTTAAAGATTTAATTCTTCAACTTTTTTAATTGTAGCTAATTTTGTTTCTCTTTCATTTTTCTAGCTCAAAGAAATATCTTTTTTGCTCATCCTCATTTTCAAATTCACCAGAAGGTTTAATCTCTTGATATTCCCATGGATCAACAACTAATGAACAAATGAAGCTGCTTGATGTAATTAACTGCAAACCTCGTTATCAAAATTATTGGTATATTACAATCTAGCGGATATTAGAAATTTTAGAGCTTCAATAAGATCTAGTATCCATTCACATGCTGGAAAATAAGCTTAATCATGACCGCTTATTTTTATTTTTTTAACATTGTAAAATTTTGCATAGCAACTAGTTAATAGTTGCAAATCAAATCATATTTTCATTCAAATTGTTAATGTACAGTCTAAATAATATGTAGATATTATCAAAACTATAGCGCGCTTCATTAAATGTGAAGTTTTAAAATTAAAGTTGTAATATTTTTTCAATTATATTTTGTGAATGTGTTTGATTTTATACAATTGTTCATGAATCATTTAAAAAAAAGTGTTTTTATCAGTTGATTAATCGAGCATAGAAGCAAACTAGACTGGTCATTAAATATTGATGCCATAATTTCAATCTAGACAACAAATTTCAAAATGAAGTAACAAGATTATAAATCATTTCTATTAATTAATATGATACATGTATTGAGACTATATGATGACCTGGAACCATAGCCAGACCCAAGCTTCGTGGCTCTTCTTTTTCACCACACTCTGCAAGAAATGGCAATAAAATTTTGAATTAGCACAATAAAAACAGATGAACTGTAGATTTCAACTCACCTTCAAATTTAAGGTATTCTAAGCAGGAACCAAGAATCACATTTCTATGACAATCAGTACATAGAAAGATACCAATAAGAACTCTTTTATCACTCATTTCAATTTTCATTTTTCGATTGAGCCATTGCCGTAATTTACTTTTACCATCCATAGTAAAAACTTTCTTAGTTGATTAGAAAGTGAACTAAAAGAGTAAAATAATGTACAGTGAATAACAAAACGAAATTGTCATTTAAAAAAAGGCTGTCAATATGTATTTCTATGGTTACTCTAGGAGCGCCAAAAACAATCTGATAGCACGATTAAATGCTTCAATTTATCGCGTTTTAATGGACTTAATTTAACTTTTATTCGTGAAATTTTAATCAAAAGAGTCATGAATTTAGTCCAAAATGAGAGCCTCAGTGAAAATAGGTCTATTAAGTGAGATTGAAAATCATGAAATTTACTAATCAACAAATAGTGAGAATAAGCTTTACCACATTGGTACAGTTTCTGAGAAATCACTGTAGTCTTCATTCCAATCATTTTTCACTGATTTGCTGATTAAATTAACAAATCATCAATCATCATTACTGTTGGACTACAAAAAATTGAGTTAAATAATAAATATATCTAAATATTAATATTAGCGTTGTAGTTATATTTAATATTGGATTTGACCGAAGTGAGAATTGACCGGATATTGACTCGCTGAATAATTTATTATAATATTTATTTTCCAGATTCATGATGCGATTCAAAATTTTTCATCCATCTTCCCCGAAGTCGGTTAATAAATCGAAAAGAGATTGATAATGGTGTTCAAAAAATCAATCTACATAAATTGAAATGATTTAATTTCGTCCAACTTGAAATGTTCAGAATCTTTGGAAATGCAATTATTTACAAAGAGAATCGGTTAAAAGTTAAGTTTTAGTGCAGTCGAATAGTAACTGACGAAAAATTAATAGTAAAGAGGGTAGGGCACAGATGAGTCTCTAATGTCCCTGCCTGGATAAGGATCCCTCACATCTCTTCCGTGGAAGGGTACAGGTGGATGCTCTCTAACATCCCGACCAGGGTAAAGAACTGGAACAGAGTCTCTAACATCACGACCAGGACCAGAACTTTGACCTGAAGTTTGGCCTGATACTCTCTGGACGGGAAAACCAGTACTGATGCCACCAGGCTTGCTTGGGCCTGTTTGTATGGGGATTAGTGACGAGGTAGACGGATGAGGGGGTCCTACAAGTGATTGTGCTCTTATTTGTTGTTGATAATCATAACGAAGTTTGCTTGCCTCATATTCAGCTGCTTCGATTTGTTGATTTTCAGTACTAAATGGACCACCACTTGGAAAGATATGGTAAGGGTTGCCTTTCACATCACATGCAATCTGTGATGGAGTTCCTTGAGGGTAATATAAATAGCTACCAGATTGAGTTGTTCCTGGTAAAAGAGAAATATTTCAAGTTAAAAGCGTTCAAAGTTAAATAATAGAAAAATGACAGATCAACATGGAAACCGATCAATTTTGTTAGTGAGTATTGTTTAAATTCGTGATCAGAATGAAAATCTAAGCCCTAAAATTAATTACATTGAATAATAAAAAAACCAACTAAATAAATACTAACAAATGTAATACATATTCATGATTCCTTTCAAACTACTGCAAGAAAGCATTCAATGATCTTTCAGTCAGTGTTCATCTATGTTTATGCTGTAAACTGTTCATTCTTACTGGCGTTTCGTTAACCTAGAAAAACAAATTCAATTTCTTTAGTCAAGGTTATGATGCCGGATAAAGAGTCAACATGTAAACAAAGAGCAAATAGATGATAGCAAATAGATAATAGGTTTCACTGTAGGCTTAATCAAGGTGAAGGATTCCCTAGTTGAAATTTGTAAGACATTTTTAAAATGCACATACTTGGTAAGGCTGGTGTATACGACATTGGATTCTTATAAACCGGGAGTATTCCTGTATAAGGCACACCAGGTGGTGAAGGACTTTTCTCATAAGACCTTTGCATTGGTCTTTTGAGGGAATTGGCTGGCGATGATGTGACACCGGGCACTGAATACATAGAAACCGGTACAACTTGAGTATGATTGGTTGCTTGTTGAGACATAAAATTACTATTTGAAACTATAGGAGACATTGGAACATTGAGAGTAGGATTTCTATGGTACATTGGCGGTTGACAGTTGGCTACACTAGCCGCAGACATCATACTGGTTGAGATAAAATATGGGTGATAAACATGATTGTTCAATGGTTGAGGTCCTGTTAATTCGGGTTCCCTCTCTCTAGGCTTTTTACGTACAGCCGGGCCTTCATTCAGCACCTTTTTCAATTGTGAAAACAGTTCAGTCTTTTCTTTTCTCATATCTTTTAATTTAGTCTCTAATTTATTCAGCTGATCTTTAATCTCTTCCAATGTCATAGCATCTTTTTTACGCTTAAGCTCTTGCTCCCGACGAAGTCTTTCCTGTTCAGCATCTTGTTCTTGTTCTAGATTGTCCACAATAAATGATAAAAAATAGTATGAAAGACAAATAAAGAAGATAAATACATTAATATGTGCTAAAACAAATAAAGATGCACAAAGAAAATATACATAAAGGTTTTAAACTTACCTTGTTTCCTTTTTTCTCGTTGCCTTATAATGTGAACTTTTAGCTTTTCCCACATCTCACTAGACATTTTAGAACGTTCTATAGCAATTAGAGAGGGCATTTTCGTCTAAATAATTGATATACCAAACACAAATTTAAATTAATTACCTACTATTAACAAAGAGCTGAGTTTAGTGGAGTAACCTCAAACCAGATTCAAGAAAAATGAATGGTTCCAGCTGATGTTCTTTTTTATCTTTACTTCAACATTAACCTCGCGGGCGACATTTTCTTTCAACCTTGATCAAATTTAATTTGTTTACACCGTCGATTGTCAACCTTACATTAAAGTTTGTGGTGAAATTAATTAACCAACTAAACAAGATTGTGAATCTGTGGAAAATATTAATTAGGAAATTACAATCTATAACTAATTGACTGGTTTATTCATTGAAATTGATCCATTGTTAGTTTTTCTTGTGAACCTCAGTTGACTGCTAATTGTGACAACTTATTAATTGGTCAATATCGGAAATTATAATGTCTAAAGGTAAATCACAATGATTATTATTTAAAGCCTTAATAAATATTAATTTTAATCATTTTATAGATGAATGCAAAAGGCCTTCAGAAGATAGTGAAACAACAGTGAAAAAAATGAAAACCAAGAATGAGCCTAACAAAGATGATGGAAAAACAAGACCAAGAGAGGAAGACAATGATCAAAACTGTGTTCAAGCCAAAAAGATTAAATTAGAGAAAATTGTCGATGAATGGAACTTAGGAATGGGCTACACACCGCGAAGAATATCCAAGCTAAATATCCAAAAACAAGAATTCTTTGATTACATCAGCACACATAAAGCTTTATCCACAACCAATTTACTCGATATCCGTGGCTATGGGAATCTTACAAGGAAATAATACTCATTGAAAGCAATACAACCCTTCCTAAATTTACTACTATTTTTTGTATTTATGTTATGTGATGAGAGCTCATCTGTACTTGCTTAACTCTCAAACCATTCTTGACTCTAACTATCAAGATGTTTACTAGATTTATCGGATTTCAGAGAGACAGATTTCCAACGCAATACAAGGGACCTGATGTTTTTTCTCGAACTCTAATCAAGTCAAAGTCAAAAGTCTTCCTTTTTTCAAGTTTCTTCGATTTTTGTTAATAATCGAAGCGATTATTTTAAATGGAACAAAGTTTTATACTGTTGTTGTGAGTTTGCTATAATGTGATATCAATTTGATAAAGTAAACTAGATAAAGTCTGTTAAATTCACAAAGCTCTGGACTTCTGTGACATTTTAATCGAAAACAATAAAGTTTAGATTCCTTAAACGTAAGAGACAATGAAATCATGAAATGTATATGAATTGAACGAGCTTTTAGCTGATTTCCTATCATTCTCTGTGTCCATTAAAATTAAGTTGGCTTGAGTCAATCTTTACAAGTGAATTTGCAGTTAAATTGTCTCTCAAACTATGTTAATAGAGAAGAAGGAAGGATTCTTTTTTTGGAACTATTTGTTCAAATGGTGAAGCAGAATATTCACCCAAAAAAATTGCATCAGTTATCGATGGAAGCTAACAAATCAACAATCACTCCTCCCAGATGATCTCCAAATAAGGCTTAGAGACAAGGATCATGATGGAAGAAAGAAGCTCATTTTTTTGCGAAAAAATCAGTGAGAAGTTCAAAAAGCAATCATATATTTCCTCCTTCAACTTTAAAGGTTTTCACAGAACTCCTCCGCATCCCTAACTTTTCCTGTAACCTCCAGGTTTGGTCTCAATTGATTTCCCCAACTGAGCAGTTTTCTTAACTCTCTGTGATCATTTCTTTTCGAGCCTCCTTCTTTTACAATCGTCGATTCTCGTTATCCCAGTCATTTACTGTACTGCCTCGGAAATTATCAAACTTTCAAGATTAGGAATCTTCACCTAAGAATTGTTCAATCTTTTTAATTAGTTTTAATTCGTGTTAAAAAGTTAAAATTTATATCAAACAATCAAAATGAGCAAAACTCGAAGTGATTCATCAAAAAAACGAGCAACACGATCAACATCCAATGTGTTCGCTATGTTTACCCAAAACCAGATAGCTGAGTTTAAGGAGGTAAGTTATACACAACATTTACATTTGAATAAATATTAGCTTCCAATTTTGCAGCAAAACATTATTTTTGATACCAGAAAAGATCTAATTTGGTTATAATAAAGTTAATTTAAGTGAATCTAACAAACTGTGATTCCCAATCCTCTTGATTGACTATTATATTACAATTTAAGATCCTCATTATGATTTTTGCTGATAAATGTTTGAATGATTTATTATTTGTAAAGATTCTTAGGAAGTCGATTAGGTTTCATGAATAATCAGCTGCTTGTTATCTATCCAAATCAAGTTGATATGTTGCGGTAATCACAGATCAAGATTAGCTGATAATCTTGCCAATGTTATCTGAGTATTATTGACAGAAAAAGGTTGAATATTCGCTCTCTTTCAATCATTTGTCAATAAATTGAGTGAAAAAACATCATTTTTCATTTTTAACTCAACACACAGAATGTAAATTATTTGGATGAAGTCCAAGTAACGAGCTGACTGAAAGTGTAAATATTACAACTACTGAGATAACAGAATATTGAATAAACTTTAAACACTCGTCTGATTGACTCAATTCATGGTTGATTTAATCGAAAGATTGTACATGATATAATTAGCATGAAGCCTGATTGAAGTTAACTAATTTCACTTTCTCTTCTCTCAGGCATTCCAATTTATCGACTCTAATAAGGATGGGATTATTGACAAAAATGATCTGAGAGCGACTTTCGATTCACTTGGTAATTATTCACATTAAATGAAGAAGATGATTTTATTTACAAATTATTTTTATTAAAGGTCGCATGTATCCCGATGAGCAGTTACAGTCAATGTTGTCCGAGGCTCCTGGTCCATTGAACTTTACCATGTTCTTGAGTATCTTTGGTGAACGAATTGCTGGTTTGTATTGAAACATTTTGTAATCATATTCAATGTTATTTCAATTTTCTTTTTCTATTTCTTTTTCCTTCTAGGAACTGATCGCGAAGATGTTATTCAAGCTGCTTTCAGGACATTTGATGCTGACCAGACGGGTAAAGTTCATGAATCTGTTTTGAAAAAAGCCTTAACAACTTGGGGTGAAAAACTTACCGACGATGAAATTGAAACAGCATTCAGAGAGGCCCCAATTGACAAACGAGGTTTTGTTGATATCAATGGTTTTGTCAAAACAATCAGTGGCTCTGCGGAGGAGGAATAATTTTTTGACGATTGTTCACAATAAATATAAACTATTCAACAGTTATCAAAAATCTAATGTGAAAGACATTTTAAAATCAAATTGTTACCATCAACAATGTTACTATGAGAAATGAATTGATTTGCATGAGAATCAAGTGTTCAATGAGCTTAACTCGCTTATTTGCAAAATGTATTCACTCATTTAATTAAACTGAACTTTGTCTCAAAAATGATCAATTTTCTTTCAAATCTTTCTTCTTATTTTTCAATACTGTTTTTAATTTTAAACTAACAGTTGAAGGGAAATGCTTGAATCGCGAAATTGAATTGGAAATATGGACTACAACATGATAATTATCAACAGATAATAGTTTTCAACTACAAAATATTTGATGATTAACTTTGAATTCATTGTCCAATAGGTTAACTTTCATTGATTGCTATTAAAAGTCGATACAAGTGTTTATTGATTGTTTTTAGAAAATTTGTATTTACTTTCACCTGGTTCATCGTATTTTAATGATATTTATTGATTCTTATCTTTTTATCAGTTCTGGTTGAACCAGCTAAAATACTCATGACACACCTTGTACTTGGAATTGATTTGCGCGGGCTTACTTTTTGCTTACTTTCTTTGCCAAAAGGAAACTCGATTTCTTGTCAGATGGTTTGTTGTCAAATAATATTTCATGTTTTCAGATTATCTTATGTTTAATTGTTGTTAATTAAACTGGATTTATAAAGTTATTTACAAACTAATCTCAATATGCCTAATCTGAGGGACTATGTGGACCGAGCTAGACATGGTGCTCAATCCAGAATGCAAACAATCGGAGTTTATATCACAACCTTTCTTGACTCCTTCAAAACCAGATCAAATAGGCCAAGAAGACGCAGTTCAAGAGCTAGAGGACGACAAAATCATATCTTAGGACCACCACATCTACAAAGAACCCACAATTATCATGATCATGGATCAAATAGGCATCACTTAGCTTCAAGTTTCTTTGGTAAGACCTTAATATTTTTATCATTTTACTATGTTCTTTAGGCCTTAAGCTTGCCACTTTTTTGAATGCCAATTTTAAGGTTTACAAGTTTGAAACAATAAGCAATTAATCCTCACTCGGAAAACCAATTGCATATATAATTGTTCGTGCTTGAAATCTATCAAACTCGAAGCATAATAAATTATCTCTAGTGTTCTTTAGCATATCTTGTCATTCTGTAACTAGGTTTCCTCGAACTGTCAAAAGTTATTCGTAATATTTTTATTGATTATTGTATAGTCTAGATCTTACTTTCTTATTATATTTTCAAACTAGGTTAAGTTTAGAATAGAAGGGAATTTCATTGATCAGACGGAAATAATATCTGCTCTAAAAGGTTCTGAAAATATTGAATAGCATTAGAACACACTGTTATCAACTTACACCAGACTTGAAATTAGACTACCAATCAGACTACAGTATTTGCAAATATACTAACTTGCAAGAAGCACAGTTAACTAATAGATATTGTATGATTCTTGATTGTTTTACTAATCTAATTCTTGTTAATTATTGTTTTATAACAGATTCCAATAGATGCGGAGAAAGAAATTTATGGGCTGCATTGATGAGTTTACTCGTGATTGCTACTCTGTCTGCTGCTATTGCTCAACCTAAATGGTTTCGTATCAGAGGTGGACGATGTGATCGCGTTTACATAGGCCTACAAGAATTTTACAATGAACCGTTTACTTTCATCTCACATAACTACGGTCTAGCTGACAGTGTTGATAATGGTAATTCATTAAATCAACATGAACGACAGAAAATGAAATTACCGTACACCAAAAGAGAAGCTGATATTTTATCTAATAGCCTATTGAACAATGGAACTATTCATCAACGAAAAGAGATGATCAATCGTGATTCATACGGAAATCTCTATCCCAGCATTTCCATGAGAAGTGGGAGAACCCATATCAGCTGTTTAACTCCAGAAATAGCTGATTTACAGAAGGCAATAATTATTTTATGTTTTTCAAGCCTTTTACTCAACTTATTTCAATTTTTTCTCGACACATTGGGTACTAGACGAAAGTATCTCGAGCTCATGCGACGTCACGCACTCGCTAATTTATTAAGTGTTGTTTCTTGTATATTTACCCTTGGTATTGCTTATCTAGTTGCGGATCTTTTAGAAAGAGAACAAAGACGACGAGTCAACAGAACTCATTTTCTCAGTGCAATCAGTGATCATCCATCCAACGTAGAGATCCATTTTGAAATCAGCTTTTATTTGATCAGTTTAGCGGGTTTGCTCGGACTGATCGCTGCTGCTTGCAATCTCCTCGCTAAACCTGATCCCTACTTTTTCTCATCTTCACTCCATTTCTCATCTCCTCATGACTCTGAGGCTAATAATTTATTGGGGGAGACAATCTCAACACGCTGGCAATCACCGCCACCAGCAACTTTATCTTCACTTGTTCCAAGCACAATGACTCCACCTCATCCTCCACCATACTCGCCATAATAATGGTACAAATAAAATTAACCATGTTATAATTTTTAACTTATAAGACTGCAAAGTCTTTTAAATTGTAAATTTGTAAGTTTCCATAGACTCGATAACTCTAAACGTGATAATATCATTTTTTTCGATGAGCTGTTTGCTTGTATTATGTTTGATAATATCTAGATCAATTAAATGGTTATTAAAAAATTATGAAAACAAATGATTTACTCATTTATCATTCAAAAATAAAATCGTTAAATTTTTGGATTATAGTTTACTGCTTAAGCTAATTCAAATTCAAAATAGATGCTTATTTTTTATCATTAATTAAAAACTTTTTATCCATATTGATATTATTAATAATAGACGTTTATGAACGAATGACAATTTTTACCTTAATTTCAAATTTGGCGGTGGAAAAGTAATAATCGGCTGAAAGTAACCGGTTACTCTAATCTAAACCAGTAACCAGAAAGTCTTTCCAATGAGCTGCTAGTTCTACAAGGGAAAAGCTTTACTTTTTCCTCATTTCCGGGGGTAAAATTGAACAGCCACAGTGGTAATCTCTTTCACGTTTAACACGTCAGGTTTAATTTGAACAAAATTAAACCGAAATTCCCATTCAATTTAAATTTGCTCCTTTAATTTAAACTGCTGCTTTTTTCTATTTAAACCCTTGAAACATGATTCGGGTGTTGTTATTCTTGGGTTTACTTGTTACCTCTGTGTACACATCTTTAACACCTAACACCTTTTTGACCAGTGAAGACAAAGCACGTTTAAGTGATTTGTTTAAATTGGATGAGCCTTATAATGACATTCCTTTTAATAATTTATATTATTCGCTTGTTGGTTCAACGGTTTTATCAAATGATAAACTGTTCACTATCCTCAACACACAGCAAACTAAAAAAATCTGTGATTACATTCAAACTGGCTTGGCCGGTACCAGTCCAGTGTTGGAAACCATTTATTTCGCCTCGTCGACCGGTAAATTGTTAAATTGTCAGGTTTGTATTTCTTTATATTTTGTTCCCCACGCTCGATTCTGATACTCGTGGTGACTTGTACTTTTGTTACATTGTCGCTAAGTGAGAATCGTAAATTATCAATCGGTATATCCTTCCTATGTAGTTAAATTTGTCTATATCAGTGACTGGAAATACTGATCACATTTTTTTTCTCTTTAATTAGGTACAAGCTAATGCAAAAACAATTAGTTTTCTGGAAAACAAGATTGTCGCTGATGTTTCTGTCTCTGATCTCTACAAATCGGCTTTATCGTTAATCAATCTCGGTAAACCTGTAGATGCGCCCAAAATCAGCAAATTATTACAAGCTGGTTTGAAAAAAGATGACTCTCTTCTGAATGCCGGACATGCTTTCAGATTAGCTGCTCATCTTCAAGGTGCTGGAAATGCAGCTCCTTTCTACGAAAAAATTGGTGATGTTGTCATGCAGGCTGATGAAGTCGATGGACGTTTTCTTCAGGTTAGCTATTGACTATTTTCTAGAGCATTTTCGTTCATTTTAAGAATGTATATTTCTAAACATTCTTCACTCGATACTGTGTTGGAGATCCTCTTTAATAACTGGAGGAATCTCTGTCAAACATATCGAAGAGTAATGAGAGGATTTATATCCAGCTTTTGGAGAATTTTGTCTCTTAATTAGTCGGAAAAATCATCTAACAAATATTTTTCTTTTTCAGTTTGAAGGTGGACTTGGAGTAACTGCAAACATAATTTTAGGAATATATTCATTGGCTTCTTCGCTTAATAAACCTCCTGGTCTAACAAATGTAAGAAAAGCATGTGGTTTTCTCGTTAAACAAACTCTAATTGTAATTTATCATTATTTCAGGAGCAAGTTATCAAATTCACTAATTATTTCTTAAATCGCAAAACTGTTCAAACAGTGAAAGGTGCTGCTGACTTACTAGAAGTATTGAAAGTTTTATCGCAAAACAATTATCATATCCCGGTATGTGTAAGTCTTTATGGCAGCTCATCTATCAGTGAAGAGAACCCATTGGTTAGCGTTCATGTTACTAATGTCTTGGGTCAAAGCTTGGGCTCTGAATTGTCTGTTTCAAGTGAATCAACTCTATGGACTGGCAAGAAAGCTTTCAAGGCTGTCCAAGGCGACTCTACCATGTTTGCTTTCGATTTAATCGAGATTAAACCAAAACGTGGTCCTCATAGTCTCACTATTTCCGTCTCTACAAGCAAACCAGATTCCAAACTTATCGGCAATACCGGTGCTGAAATAAAAGTAATCATTCTTACCAAGGTTACTGTAGAAAATGCCGAAATCGGAATCGTTGACAGAGATCAAACTACGTCACTTAAAATGACTGCTTTGCAATATCCTGGGTATAATAAGAATACCCTGGAAGTTGACCAACAGCAGAAAATAGTCATGAAATTCGCATTAAAAGATTTAATTTCTGGTGAATACTTGACCCCTCATCAAGTATTCTTGCAAATCCTTAATGATGAAAACAAAAAAGAAAATATTTATGTAGCAGAAACAGAAAGTAACACAAATCTTTACAAATTCGATCTCAATATGGCTCAAAGAGCAAAAGATTTTGGTCATAATTCTGGATTGTACCATGTTTCTTTAATTGTTGGAGATCCTGCAATTGCTAACCCATTTGTTTGGAAGTTAGCCAGTCTAAAGATTTCATTTTCATCTGGTTCAACTCAACCAGTGAGAGATCAAGCCCCTTGGATGACGGCAACTTACAAATCTAAGCCAATTATTAATCATATTTTCCGTCAACAAGATAAGAGGCCACCGACCGTCGTATCTGATGCTTTTGCTTTGTTAGTCTTAGTTCCTGTCTTTATTCTGTTCGTGCTATGGATAAAGCTTGGAGTGAATCTCTCTGGTTTCTCATTTGGCCTGAGTGGATTAATCTTTCATCTTGGTTTGGGTTCAATATTCGCCTTATTTACTTATTTCTGGCTCGAACTGGACATGTTTTCAACTATCAAATATTTGTTGGGACTTGGTCTGGTCACATTTTTATCCGGTCACAGTCTCCTAAGCAGACTGGCAAATAAAAAGAGTGACAAATAGCTTTGTATTTAATTATATAATAGTCTTTTCCATTAAATATATTTATATTAATTATTACTTTAACAAGAAGGTCTTTTTTCCTTCACAAATGAAATATAAATAATCCATGATTTTACTTGAAAAACGGATTCATTATACACTCAATTCACATTAATCATTACAAACATCACTTGAAATATTGAATCATAGATTGTTCAATTTTTTTTCATCAGACACTGTCCGACTCTTCTACCGTCGAGTCCATATTCTTATGCCTTCTTCCTACTTCCTCAAGTCTATTTCCGAGTGAATTGATCAAAAATCTTATGCAAATCATACACAACCTTCTGAAGTATGCATCAATATTTTTGATATTTCAAATGTTAAATTCAAAAATCATAAAGCAAGTTGACTAACAAGAAGAACGGGAATCACTGGATGAATATTCACATATCCAATTTAAAAACGGATATTGCATTGAACAGAAGGTTATGAATATCATTGTATCGATATTAACGCTAGTGAGTTACATTAGTAACTAATGATTAGTTGATAAAAGTACGTTCAAATAGTGATTATTTCAGTGTGGTAAACTATGGTCGAATTACAGCAAAAATATTGATATAATTTAGGTTAGTTAAGTTTCGATAATTTAGCAAATGGCATTGTTATTCGTTCTGATTAAAGTGTTGTGTTTTTCGTTTGTTGCATATTATTCCCGAGACCGGGTATAGAAATGATTAATCGATATTGAAATTTCATTCCAATATTATCATCAATACTTTTATTGTTATCCAAATACAAACACATGAGATAGACATGGTAATTCTGACATCATTCTTTTTTAAGAGCTAATCTGACAGAGTGAATGAGTTGACTTGAGTGTGACATTCTTATATTTCCCTATTTCTACTTATTTGTTCACTGCCATCAACAACACACATCTACCTGCGTTATTTTTGATTTCTTCTACTCTTTGTTTTGGCGTAAAATCAATTCTATCTGGTTTGTTGACCTGTTTGTAATTGATTACTTGTTTGTTTCTTTTGCTGCTATAGACAACAATAAGTGATACTATTGAAATACCTTGGTTCCAGATTTGTTTCCACCGGAATAAAAATGTCATCAATGAGTGGAATTTATAAAGATCAACCTCAGAGGCGATTTCAACGTGACCGTGTTATGCTTCAACTTCCAAATGACTTCCTTCGATTGGATAGTGATTTACAAGAGCCCGAGACGCATATTAATCTTGATCAGGAAGCTGCTCTTGCCTTACAACATCAATATACTAACTATAACGGTTTTACTGACAACATTAAGGGAAAACTCGTGATTACTGTGGTTGAAGCTAAATTGGTTAAAAATTATGGTGTTACTCGAATGGATCCCTATGTGCGTTTAAGATTAGGCCATCAAATCTATGAAACTAGAACCTGTTATAATGGCGCAAAAACCCAAGATGGAACCGTATTTTTCAATGGTAATTTATTGAAATACTTTGAAATCATGTCTCTGAGAACTCATTTGATACTTTAGATTTATAGATTTATAGATTGAGATGTGTTAGTCAAAATATGTGCTTTGATTATTTTTCTCAATGATTCTTTTATTTGTTACACTCAAACTAACTTGTTTATGAGTTAAATTAATTTGTTTCCTATTTAATTATGCATCTTATTTACTTTCCGCAGTTCCCTGCCAAATGGTGTTGATACCATTCATATTGAGCTATATGATGAATGTGCATTCACAATGGATGAAAAAATAGCATGGGCTGAATATAAGATTCCAAGTCAGATATTTACTGGCGAAACAGTCGAGCATTGGATTCCATTAGATGGCAAACAAGGTGATGGTAAAGAAGGAACAATTTGTTTGATTCTTTCATTTGCAGTAAGTAACCCATTATATTCATAATTTTTTATCTAAATCAGTATTCAGCTCTGCAATCATCTAAAAAGATCTGTAAGAGCCAAGATTAATCCCGTTGATTGTGGAGATGACTTTCCAATATTTTCAACATTGTTTATTACTATTCACTTGTGTCAGGAAAAGCATTAGAGTTTGTCATGTTTACTAATTATATACAAGGCAAGCTATTCGAACGGAGTAAATAAATTTAATTATATGAATTTTATTTTTATTCTTATTTGCAGCCCATTTCTAGATTGATTGGCCAACAACCACGATTAGCTTATGTAAATTTTAACCAGCAGCCACAGATGGTCATGCCTGTTAATCAACAAATAGTTCAACAGCAACAACCGCCAGTACAAGTTACCATCACGGAGGAAGAAGTTGACCAAATTCAAGAAATGTTTCCAAATGTTGACAGAGAGGTTATTAAAAGCATTTTGGAAGACCAAAATGGAAACAAGGAAAGAACAATCAATGCATTGATTCTGGTCAACAGCGAATAATTGGATTGGAAGCATTCTATTTGTCAAAATAATCTTGATGGCTTGCCGATAAACACTTTTTTTACTTTCTCTCGTGCCATTTTTACCTTTTACCATCCAATGTAAAAATTAAGAAACAGACTCTGGTGAAGATCTCGAATTATTTCATGATTCATTAACTGACTGCACCTTTAAATGATTTTCATCAGTTTCTTTGATTGGTAACGGGCTTGGAGCATCTGACAATTCGCTGACAATTTCTGAATATCAACATACTCGGATACTCAGCTGATTTGTCGTAATGAAAAATTTTCAGATTTTACACAAATTTGAAATTTACACAACCACGTGTGCTTATTTGAATTGCTTCGATGTCTCTGAACTCTATAATGTTATTTGGAGTTAAATATACCATCGATTGTGATGCTCTTTTTTCGAGAATATCTAATGTGTCTTGAGATCTTCTTGTACCAAATATCATTGAATCCATCTCAATAAAAACTTTCCGATCGTTTTTTTATCATCTAGTTTAAAATTCGTGTCAATTTAACAGAGCAAAGATAAATACTAATTGTATGTAATATGATATTAAATGATTATTTTTGAATTTGCGTTAACTTATATTTTACAATGTTAGGGATTTATCAGATCAAACTTCAAATCAAATTGAACACAGAATTGTAAGATGTTCATCATAAATTAATCTTCAACCTTCTATGAGCATTTCAAATATTTAGTTATCGATACGAACAATTAAGATAAGATCAAGTTTCATTACAATTTAAACCATTTCAGTCCATCTAATTGATTCAAACAGTAGATAATTGTTCTTTTAGAATGAATATCTATTTCATAATTAAGTTAAATGAATGATTTTGTTGATAATTTTTTGGCAAAATATTAGTTAACATTTTACATAAAGATCGGGTAATTTTATTTAACAAATTGATTGATTTCGAGCAACGTCATCTAGTGATTTCAAGTAAAGTAAAAATGCTGATGCATCCTTCCAGTGCGCCATCTTGATTCTAACAGAGTGAATGTACAGCACTTGTTTTGAAATTTCTCAGGCGATTTCTCATGAGTGCTATTTAATAAATATTCTCATTTTTTACTTCAGTTTGAACCGATATGCGATTGATTTTTTTATCAGCTTTTATGTTGCATGCTTACAATTCTCGTTCCTTAGTTCAAGTCTTTTCCTCTGTGACAGTTTCCTAGTGAAATTATTCATTTGACGTGATATCCTGTGATTAGTTTCCACTGAGGTTCACACTGTTAAAACCATTTGATCTATTCCTTAATCTTATGCATATTTTGTCTCGCTTTCTCATCTTATTTTCCTTATTTGTCTTTCTATCTTGAACACATTTTCATCTTCTGGTGTGGCTGTTACCATTTTGGTCTGCTGTCTCATTGCCTTCATGGATTCCACAGAAGGTAAAGAATTTGTTGCTCGTTTTTTAAATCTTTTGGAAACTAACAAGAATGGAGTTAGTGAGAAAACTTTACAGTCCGTATCAGATTCTGTTAGTACCAAAATAAGAGCTGAATGTACCAATAAGCTATTGGCTGGTGGCAAAATTGAACTTTTGAAAAAAGGAGGACAACTAATTTACAAGTTGAAAAATGAAGATCAACGACTCGAAACTGATGAAGAAACTGTGATTTATAATATAATTGAAGAGGCTGGTAATATTGGAATATGGATGCGAGACATAAGATTAAAGTCCAAAATACCACAAATACAATTATCCAAACTTTGTAAATCCATGGAAAGCAAGAAACTGATCAAATCAGTAAAGTCCATCGCAGCTAATAAGAAAAAGGTTTATATGCTTTATAATGTGCAACCTGATGATTCAGTTACAGGTGGTACTTGGTACTCCAACAATGATTTCGAGTCTGAATTCGTTGAAATTTTGAATTCACAATGTTTTAAATATTTGTTAAGAAAGGCTGAAATCGCTCGGAGTTACTCAAGCCCGATAGAAAGAAAAAAATCTTCTTTCGTAAGTTCATACGAAGTTCTTGACTATATTAACGAAACGGGCATAAGCCGGGTCACGTTATCAAAAAAAGACATCGAAGCAATTCTCGAAACACTCGTATTTGACGGAAAAGTTGAAAGAACTGTTTCAAATGATTCTAGTTCAAGTGATACATCTGATAAAATGTATCGAGCAATTAACAGAACCACAACTACAACCAGTTTAATGAGAATGCCTTGTGGTGTATGTCCAGTTGCTAAAGATTGCCATCTAGATGGGGTCATTTCACCCATAAAATGTATTTATTTCAATGATTTTTTTGAAATATGATTTTTATAATAAATTCTTAGACTGTGATTAACTATCTGTGTCATCATTTACAGTCGTGTGTCATTCTTTCGCTTATTAGACCCTTACTCAACAAATCGTTGTCAATTTAACAAAACAAAGATATTATACAAACTACATAATAATTTATGTAAAATGATATAATTGGTGATGTTGTCATGCAGGCTGATGAAGTCGATGGACGTTTTCTTCAGGTTAGCTATTAACTATTTTCTAGATCATTTTCGTTCATTTTAAGAATGTATATTTCTAAACATTCTTCACTCGATACTGTGTTGGAGATCCTCTTTAATAACTGGAGGAATCTCTGTCAAACATATCGAAGAGTAATGAGAGGATTTATATCCAGCTTTTGGAGAATTTTGTCTCTTAATTAGTCGGAAAAATCATCTAACAAATATTTTTCTTTTTCAGTTTGAAGGCGGTCTTGGAGTAACTGCAAACATAATTTTAGGAATATATTCATTGGCTTCTTCGCTTAATGAACCTCATCTATCAGTGAAGAGAATCCATTGGTTAGTGTTCATGTTACTAATGTCTTGGGTCAAAGCATGGGCTCTGAATTGCCTGTTTCAAGTGAATCAACTCTATGGACTGGCAAGAAAGCTTTCAAGACTGTCCAAGGCGACTCTATCATGTTTGCTTTCGATTTAATCGAGATAAATTGTTTTAAATTGTATTTTAATCTTTTGTTTTTTCTTTTTATTTCAGTAATCGAAGTGTCCTGCACACTATTGGGCCGATAATCTGGGTCTCTTTATTCGGAAAACCGTCAACTACTGTCTCTCTTTTGGCTGCCTCCTCAACCCTACCATATTATAGCAAGCTCTCTCGTCTCTGGTAAGTTTTTATAACAAAAGCCAATTCTAACTATGAATAAATTGAAACAAAAAGTCCTTACTGAAAAAAGACCTCAAACAAAAGATAACATAAGACATTATTTCATCATCTTGTTATGAATATGCTGGTGGATGGCTGGATTTTCCCTGGAAATTTATAACATGATACAACCATTGAAAAAGCAATTGAAGAACAAATAGAACTCCTAAAAATGTCATAACCCTAATGTAAAATTGAACAAAATGTAATCTTCCCGTGTAATCCAAAATACCCAAACTGGGTCTTGTACTCAGACTGCTATCTCATCAGAAGTTTAAAGTTTAAACTTCTGGTGTTTGTGCGGGCTACAGAAGTCCTCTGTAGTGGGCATGCGTAATGTATGGTCTTTTTTTGTGAAGATTGAAATAAAATATTTACACGATTTTTAAGACTCGGTATTTTATACTGTTTTTGAATTATTTGTTATTATTATTGTATTAAAATCTTTCAACTGTTCAGTGTACCTTTTGTAGACGAGTACCCAAGTCTGTTGTCGACGGTATCCCCGATATTTGCGCCAACTGACTTCTAATTTAATCATGGATTCCACAAAAGGTAGAGAATCTGTTGAACCTTTTTTAACTCTTTTGGAAACTTACAAGAATGGAGTTAGTGAGGAAACTTTACAGTCCGTATCAGATTCTGTTAGTACCAAAATACGAGCTGAGTGCATCAATAATCTCCTGGCCAATGGCAAAATTGAACTTCTGAAACAAGGAGGACAACTAATTTACAAGTTGAAAAATGAAGATCAACGATTTGAAAGTGATGAAGAAATTGTTATTTATAATATAATCGAAGAGGCTGGTAATATTGGAATATGGATTAGAGACATAAGAACAAAGTCCAAAATACCAAGCACGCAATTATCCAAACTTTTTAAATCCATGGAAAGCAAGAAACTGATCAAATCAGTAAAGTCCTTCGCAGCTAATAAGAGAAAAGTTTATATGCTTTATAATGTGCAACCTGATGATTCAGTTACAGGTGGTACTTGGTACTCCAACAATGATTTCGAGTCTGAATTCGTTGAAATTTTGAATTCACAATGTTTTAAATATTTGTTAAGAAAGGCTGAAATCGCTCGGAGTTACTCAAGCCCGGTAGAAAGAATGAAATCTTCTTTCGTAAGTTCATCTGAAGTTCTTGACTATATTAACAAAACGGGCATAAGCCGGGTCACGTTATCAAAAAAAGACATCGAACCAATTCTCGAAACACTAGTATTTGACGGAAAAGTTGAAAGAACTGTTTCAAATGATTCTAGTGCAAGTGATACATCTGATAAAATGTATCGAGCACTAAAAGAACCACAACTACAACCAGTTTAATGAGAATGCCTTGTGGTGTATGTCCAGTTTCTAAAGATTGCCATCTAGATGTGGTCATTTCACCCATAAAATGTATTTATTTCAATGATTTTTTTGTAATATGATTTTTAAAATAAATTCTTAGACTGTGATTAACTATCTGTGTCATCATTTACAATCATGTGGCGTTTTTTCTCGCATTCGACCCTTACTCAACAAATCTTTTAGAATAAATATCTATTGTCAAAATTAAGTTATAATTTTAAGAGTTTGTTGATAATTTTTTTGGCAAAATATAAGTTTGCATTTAAATAAAGTATTTTAATATGAAAACCGGGTAAATTGATTGATTTCGAGCAACGTCATCTAGTGATTTCAAGTAAAGTAAAAATGCTGATGCATCCTTCCAGTGCGCCATCTTGATTCTAACAAAGTGAATGCCGCAGACTGATGTTGTTTCGCAAATGAGAAATGGTGTTTTAAAGATGGCTTAAGGTTTATCATGGATTGATTAATCTAGCCGATTATTAATTATTTCTTTCCATTTAATATCGGATCTTAAAGTAAGTACTTTTACTATTTACATTTTATCTTTTTTTTGACTTGTAATTGTTACTCTCATTAGATGAGGTGTATTGAAAGCTGTATGTGTTATAATCCAAATTTGGTTATACATCAACACCAACACGAAATTGTGCTTTCCTTAGTGAACCATCCTGTAATGGACTTCCTAAACTGTCTTTTCTTCTTTTTTTAAAGGTTAAACCATATTAGCTCAATCTTTGGTTAAGGTGATCTTTGTTTTGAAATTTCTCATTTTTTTACTCCAGTTTAAACCGATACGCCATTGATTTTTTTATCAGCTTTTATGTTACATGCTTTCAATGCTCGTCCCTTGGTTCAATGTGTGTTTGTTACTGCCCCCTTCTCTCAGGTCTTTTCCTCTGTGACAGTATCCTAGTGAAATTATTCATTTGACGTGATATCCTGTGATTAGTTTCCACTGAGGTTCACCTGTTTTAACCATTTGATCTATTCCTTAATCTTATGCATATTCTGTCTTGCTTTCTCATCCTTTTTGTTCACATTCCTTTGATCTTTTCTCTCCCTTTCAAGATAGTAACATTTATCTTTTTTGTCCTTATCTCAAATTTTAACTCTTTACCTTAAATCCTGATTTAAGTTATCAATTTAGGTTTGGTCATCTTATTTTCCTTATTTGTCTTTCTATCTTGAACACATTTTCATCTTCTGGTGTGGCTGTTACCATTTTGGTCTGCTGTCTCATTGCCTGGAAGAGTTCCTAATGAGATGCTGTTGGTTATCTCTGTCTCTTCCTCTGTCTCTCCTGCTCTTTATTTTTTCCCTTAGTTTTTCTCTTTTCGTCTCTATTTCATAAATTATATTCTTTATTCAAAAATTCTTGTTGAAAACTCGTGGCTCTCAATATCTTTTATGCAATCTCTAGCTCTCCAAATTTTCATAGATGACATTAAGTCATAGATTTCATCAACCTGCTTGTTCTTTTTTTCATTCATGCTTTTGTAGAAATGGAATTTCTTGACATAAGGGATGCTACTGATGCCGAGAAAAAAGAAATCGAGCGCATACTGGCGACCGGTTGCGCATCGGTCGAGTTCCCATTCGATCCACAAGCAGAAGATATTACAATAAATAACTTAATATGTAAAGATGACCACAGTGGCCTTCATAGTTTAGAGAACAACTCTGTTAATACAATAGATGTTAAACATGAATTGACCGTCGACAGTAATCTTGTCGATGGTGGTACTTACCTCGGTCATGATGGCTCCAACGGACCAATCGCAGCTATTTCACCTTTTGGCGGACCTTTCCTCGCTAATCACCTCGGAACCGGTGTACCCTCCTCTGCGCCTTATGCTGCCTTATACAGTCCGAAAGGAGGATCTCTCATCCAAGCTGAAAATGGTGAGATGCTATTCTATGGACCCACTTATGTTTCCATGGCCAATTCAAGTAAGTGTCATTTACGAATAAGTATACTTAGGTCTATTCTAAAATTGACTTTTTCACTAGCAGCAGGACCTTCTCCCTATGCACCGATCATCTCTAACATATCTACCGTACCTGTCGTCAGTCAGACTATGGTTGATTCTTCGAAGTCTCGTCCTGGTCAACCTTGTACATCGTCATCTAGTTCAAGCAACATTGTCGCAGTCCCTAATCCTGTCACGGCTGGAATTACAACTTTACCACCTTCAATGGCAGCCCTTGATGAAGCCAACGGGAACAGAATTCCGGTCTCAGCTCCTTCAGGGGCCCCATATCAAATGACTATTCATCCACCTCCTCCACCCGGACCTTATCTTTCTGCTGCTGCATTTAGACCACATAGTGGAACCTTTTTACCGGTACCTCAGCACATGTATTCATCTTGTTTTATCCCCCTACCCTTGACTCAGTACTATCACATCTCCCATCTCCCATCGAATGCAACCTCCCCTTCTACTGCAGCTGTTGTTGCTGCAGCCACGGCTATGACCAATACAACGATCGAGAACAATCAAGCTGTTCCAAGTGGTGGTAATATGATTACAAATTTAACCTCTCCTACACCGACTGCTTCTCAGGAATCAGAGGTAGTCGAATGTTATCAGAATAAAGACTCTGTTGTCTCTGATAATGAAAATGCTCAAGAACGTGTTACATCGCCGCCAAACATCAATTCGATGGAAGAAACTGCTATCGCTCAAAGAGCTGAGGTAGTGCAACTGCAGTCTGTAAATCAACCTCAACGAATTTTATCTCAAAATGACTGCAATGAAGATGAAACTTGTGATACTAGTGATAAATCAGTTAAAACCGAACTAACAAACTCTGTTGTTGAAAATAGTGTTGATCCTCATCATGGTGAAAGGGTTAATTTACTTGGAACCTCTAAATTGCCTGCCAAGGACAATAATTTAAAAAATAATGAAAATTGTTTAAATAACAATACTGATCATATTGTTGGTGATAATAATGTAAATAATGTTCCCAAGGAACGCAATGTTAAAAAGGAATCCCGACCCAATGGGTCTCTTAAAAAAGACTCAAATGTAGATGTTATCAATGAAGTGGACAATATTAGTGTTAACAAAAAGCACGAGAATAAGGAAGTCAAAGGGACTAAAGCCTTCAAGGAGGTGAAAGACAATAAAAAGACTACAAATAATAACTTTTTAACTAATCATAGCACTGATTCTTCAACTGATTCATCTACAAGCTCTTTGTCTCCCTCCATCAACAATAGTCTCAATCAATCATCAACATCTTCCAGCTCAGGAGTTTATACTTCTTCTTCATCATCAACTCGATCATGGGCTGATTTGTTCAAAGCTAGAAACTCTAATCATAATTCTTCAAATTATTCAAATGCCTTTATCACTTCATCTTCCCAAATTTGTAATGCAACACAAATATCTCCTCGGTCATTTGTTAATGAAGTTCAGTCAGAGGATAATGTAAATCAAACAATTAATAATTCTATTAATATCAAAAAACTGCATGAAGCTTCTTCAGGTTTCAAAGTATTTCAAGAAGATGCCTTAGCCAATAAATTAGGAAGTAAGTATATTAATTATTCATAGGTATCTGACTTTAATTGATCCATCTGTGTTTTCTTCTTCTTTAGAACGGTTAAAGGATATACATTTAAAGCATTCCTTACCTTACCTAATGCCAAGAGGTTTTATCAATAGAGGGAACTGGTGCTATATAAATGCAGTAAGTTTAACTAAAATATATCATTAACTTTGGCCCAAATTAATAATTGTTTCACTTTTATTTTCAGACTTTACAGGCTCTCCTTTACTGTCCACCGTTCTATAATCTTATGCGAGAAATCGGGGAAATACCAGGTCTCTTTCGAGATAAATCCTCAACCCCGATCATCGATAGCTTGTAAGTAATTTTTAATGTTTTTAGATAGCTTTGTTTGATTTGATTTTGATATGATGGAATTCTTATCTATGTTTTTTTTCTGTCATTCCAGTGCAAAGTTTTTCTCAAACTTTCTGCCTAGTGAGCCAATGATTAAACGAGCTAAATCTAGCGACTTTAATGGACAAGATATTGCCAAAGGGGAATCTTTTGAGCCTAAATGCATCTACGATACTCTAGGTCAAATCAAAATTGAATGCCTTAAAGGCAAACAAGAAGATGCTGAAGAGTTTCTTAGCTCTATTCTGAATGGTCTCCATGATGAAATGGTATCTCTTTTTAAATATAACGAAAAGACACCTAATGGTGAATCTAATCCAGTCACTGCTAATGGCCATGGTCCAGATGAAAATAACCACGATCAAAAATTAAATAACGATGATAATGACTCAAATCTATGGAATGTTGTTGGACCCAAACATAAAATCTTGCCAACTCGCTCTGTAAGTTATTTGAATGTTTATTTCTAGTTGGTAAAATTCATGAATTTATTTTCTTATTGCTGATTTTTTTTCTCTTACCTAACAGACAAAAGTAAATGAGTCTCCAATCATGGAAATATTTGGAGGTTCCATGATTTCAGTAAGAACTGCTGGAACTGACAAATGTGGTAACAGACAACCTTTCTTCACTTTACAGTTAGACATCCAAGTACGTATGATTTTGAATTTTTATCTCACATATTAACAATCAGTTTAAAATGCTAATTTCACTGATATTTTCCTTATTTACAGTCTGACAAGATAAGATCTGTCGAAGATGCTCTAAAATCTTTAACAATGAGAGAGTCTATACATGGTTACCAATGTCCTAAGACTAAACAAACAATCGACGCAAGCTATCAAACTTTTCTTGACCAACTTCCACCTATTTTAATTCTGCATCTTAAACTGTTCATTTACGATAAAGATGGTGGTTCGAAAAAATTAGTCAAGAAAATCGATTATCCAATAGACTTGGAGCTTCCAAGGGAGTGTCTTCACATGGACAGAGGAAGTGATAAGAACAAATATTCTAAATCTTATAAATTATTATCAGGTAAGAGACTTTTTCTAAAGAAATGCCGAGGGACTCGTAGTAATCTTTATCACTTTAAGCACTTAATCAAGAAACATTTAGATAAAATCTTGAGCTTTTCCTACATCTATCTCATTTGATCTCGTTAAAATTGAAACATGTGCTCTCAATTATCATTCATTAATTTGTAAAGTAATGAGTTGTTCTGTTTAATTCAATTCTAAAATCTATCTAGACTGCTAAAACTACAATTGAATAGAATTCAGGATTTTAGATAATCAATCAAAATGAATTGATTTTTTTGTTATTGATTCAATTATACACAATATGTATTGCTCAATCCTACAAGAAGCCATGTTTTTTTGTAACATGACTATTCAAGAAAAACTTGTTCACCATGCGATAAATGCAATCATTTGTTTCTCATAGATGGCGACAGACAAAATTGACGATTGAATTTAATTATTTTTTCTTATTTCTATTTTCATATTTAGTTGTTTATCACGATGGAAACGAGTCAGTTAAAGGTCACTACCTTACGGACCTATTTCATATTGGCAGCAGCAATTGGTTGAGATGCGATGATAATAATGTCAAAACTATTAGCGTATCACAATTATTGAATCCTCAACCACCTCGGGTTCCTTACCTATTATTTTATCGAAGATGTGACACACTAAGGAGCAGTAATTCAAGTCAACAACAGCGAGGATCCAACAATTCATCTTCTCATTAAGTTTTTCTTCAATTAGTCTACGTGCTTTCGAAAAATTTACAAAAAAAAGAGGAACTGAAGGAAGGGTTTTAATGTTGATATGTTCATCAATTTTCCTTCCCCGTTCTCTCTCCGATTGTTACTCAATGTAAATGTAGTCGTAGTTTCGCGCCAGTGTGGTGGTGAATATCCTTTCCCAGTTTTCCTTTAACCTCGCCCTCCCTTCCATCCTTTATTTACTGTCTTTCTCCATTTTGTCTTTTTTCTTGTTTTCAAGAAGGGTGAAGCTTAATTAATACTAAGAGCTGATCAAGATGGAAGGAAAGCTTAGAGAGGTGAAGGATGATATCATTTTCTCTTTGTAATCTTCATATTTCCTTCTTTTTTTTCTTTTTTCTCCTTTTACCTGGGCTTTTCTCTTCGCTTCACCTTTCACTTTCTTTAATCTAAAATTAGCACCCCTTCTACTTTTTCCTTTCCTTACCTTTTCTCCTCAATTCTATTTTTTCTTTATCTTTCTTTCTCTCCCTTCATCGTTATTATTGCCCAGTCTTTAACTGCTTACCATTTATTCGGAATGCTATCGTGTTTGCCCTTCTTGGTAGACTTTCCTCTCTACTCTTCCTCCTAGTGTCTCTGGTTGGAAGTCCATCCTTCATTTTGGTTCGATTGCTATGTTCATAACAATGGTGATAAAATAACTAACCGAATAACCATCTACTCATTACCAAGTTACATAATCAGAGACCTGAATGCCGTTAGCAGCCAAGCAAATTATAATAGATAAAGCTTTTTTAAAAAATCAACCTAAAATAATTGGTGAACAATTTGGAAATCCTGTTACTTCTAATTTGGTTCGCTTTAACTTGTTTGAAGACAAAAAATTCAATAAGATGATTATAAAAAAACTAGAAAGAGGGCCACAAAAAAAACACATGTTCTCTTAAATAACTTGAATAAAAATTTTATTCAATTTTTGATTCGGTAAAGTCCTAGAAGTGTCCATTTTTTCACTTACGGCCTACTTGAAAAAAAAAGAAATGTCAAATCTTATATAAACTTAATTAAACGATAAATCGAGTGTAACCATTAAGGGTTTAGTATTTTCATTAGATGAAAACAACAATCATTCATTGTTTAAATAGACTGATAATGATCATCAGTTTAAATAAATGAATCTTAGCGTAAATGATTTTGTGCTTAACTGTTTATTCATCAAGTAATGATGACTGGAAAAGGTTAGTTAAGGTAAATCAAGTTGAAAGCTGTCAATTGATTTGGCCCAATTCAGGATCTACCTTTAGTAACAAGTAATAGTAGGAGAAGAAAGGGAAAATAGAATGTTCATCTTTACTTTATAATTAAGGCTGTTTTTATAAGGTAAAAGTAGGAAAACAGTTCACCTAAATATAGCTACTATTTTTGATTCACATTATGATGATAAACTTAAATTGAAGTCAATGGTTGATTCAACAGACTGGTAACCGGTCTGCAAAAGTACTCAAACAACACACCAAACGGGACACTAACGGTTGTCTTCTTAAATTACTTTTACTTGTGGTAAGTTGAAAGCTTACAAACCACGATTATTAAACTACTGTACCAACATTTTAATCTTTGTGAATTAGTGTCGACTAATTTAATTTTTAATGTTTGTTAATTATTTCTAGTTTTTATCCAATTACATGGCTTGTGAATGTTGGTTTACATGATTTGGTGAAATCTGGTATTGTTTGGCAAAACTGTCGAGTTAACTTTACGCTGGTCATTATGAATATTTCACATTTATATCAACTTTTAATTTTCACCATTTTCTTACAATCAACATGTTCAATTATAATCACAAGTGTTTACGCTGGCCGAAAAAAGTTCAAAACATTTTCCTTCGATTTTCTTTTACCACCGATTGTCTTGGAAAAGGCAAATAAACTCGGTTTTTCATTTAATGGCCATTGGAGACTACAGAAGCCCAATTTTAAGATTAAATTCAATATGCCACTCAAGTTTCCTATCCACATGAATTACGCCAATAATTATGATGAGATTGATGAAAGTGGAGCACCACCAGCATCTGATTATAATGGACTAGGAATGCCTGATTCAAGTTCCTACGAAAACGATGGTTCACCAAGTGAAGCAAACGGTAATGGGGAATACAATCAACAATATCAATCAGCTGAAGCTGAAAATGGCAATGAAGGTAATGATAATGGTGACCGATTGCCGGAATATAATGATAAACCTAAAATGAAGGGGCCAATAATTACTTTACATGGTAAACTTCCTGAAGATATGAAAAACGAACCAATTTATCAATCTTCTAACAGTTTGCCGAGTGGAGCCGATAAAATACCTTATACTGGTAAAGCTCAAGTTAGCTCTTTCATTGACAACGGTCAATTTATCAATGCTCATCAAACCAATATAGTCATGAAAAATAATGAGCCTCCTAAAAATGGTGATGGTTTGGTTGATGAAGCTTTTGAAGATCAATTGGAAGGCGCTTATGGTAAAACAGGAGCTTCCTCACCATCAATTGTACCCAACGAACGTGAATCAGCATCCACCAAAGGGGACACTGGCAATCAATCAGATGAAGGTTCACGACGAGAAGACATTAGACGGTCAAAAATAGTTGGACCATTAATGGTTGCCAAAAAAGTTAAAATGTTGAAGATTCCTTTGTATGCTAAAAAATTAGCTCTCAATGATTATTCAAAGATTCACACAGTCAGATTGGGCTATAAAGGTGCTCCAGCTGAAAGTAGTTTCCTAACTCAATTCGAAGCCACTCCGGATGCTGTTCCATTATCGCTACCACGTTCCAAATATAGTAATTACTATTCATCACTTTCCTTTACTAATGGACTTCATGGAATCCCTTATGAACCTGTTGGTTTTGGTCCTCTTGGCACTCTTAAATGGATATCCAGAATGTTCAATAAACCAGGAATAGTGGTTCCACCAGTTCAATATAAATTACCATCAAAACACATAAGCTTGGGTTAATTCCTTTCCATTTGGTTGATTAGTCTGAAAGGTTGATTGTGAAAGTAACTCAATTAGACATTACACATTATTTTTTTCATAATTTTCAATTTTCACATGTCCTCATATTCATCTTTATCAATTCATTTAAGATCTTTATCCTTGATCTTTATCCCAAAACCACCGTCATAATACCAAGATATAGCCATATATTAATAAAAGTCAGTCTCTTATGAATAAATTGACTCATGAATTTTTGATCCGCTTAATAAAAGGCTTAAATTATATAAGTCTTAAAGTCTTGGTTAACATGGAGGTCATTGTTTTACCGTTTATTTTCAGCTCATTTTTCATCTTAATTTTTTATTGTCCATTCTATTGAACTTTTTCCCCCTTAATCCATTCAGACTGATGTCTGATTATTGAATATGAAGAGTAGCATTAATATTTTCGCCATCAATCAACATAATATTCATAACTATTGCCCGACACTGGGCGTAATATTTCAACAAAATTTTTTAGATTGACTATCTTTACTACTTCTGTAGATTAGATAGCCTAATACGATACTTAGCTGGACCGATGTTACGACAAGGAAATATGTAAAAGTTGCGAACCAGCTCCTGTTGCAGGGACAACAAAGATTCAACCTCATGCCTTTGGATGGGCGCAGGTAAAATTGGAGGAGGGCCACCTTGATGTCCAGTGATGTTGGTATAGGTGTATGGCAAATATATAAAAATCAGTTGTTATAATCAATTATAAATCACTATCATAATCCCGTTGATTCGTCCCTCTGTCATTGTCTTAAGTTTAAGCGATGCAGATTGAGTTAATACTGTTGTTGATGATTCATCTCTACCGGTTTTACCAACATTGAAAGGATTCAGAAAACCTGCTCCTTTACGGGATTTTTCGAAATGAAAAGTTTTTCTACTTTGAGCTTTTTGACGTTCTAGTCGATGTTTAGGTCTATCAATATCATTTTCAGTAGATTCCTGTCTATTTGCTTCTTGATCAGAGCTTTCAGATTTATCTCCAAGAATTTGAGTCTTTAAATATGGACTGAATTTATTGTATTCCATAATTTTTTACGATCAGTCATGATCGGGGATAAGACTCGTAAGATTTAAACAGCATTTATTATACCTGTGAGTTAGTGAGTTATATCAACCCTCATCTGTTGCTATAATCATCATTTCCTTCATCCATTATCACCATCACTATAATCAAAATCATCAACATTAACATTCAACCTATTGGAAATATAATATAAAAGGTAATGTGCTTTTCTCATTAAATATTTTCCAATAGTTCATTGATTGCTATTGACTTAATTGTAAGTCCACACCTAGTTAAACATTTGATTATGAAAACTCTAAAATAAAACAATCTAACAAGTAAGTGTTTAATTGTTAAACTTTAATCAAAAATACCTTCAATCTGTTTAACAGATTGTTGCTTCCTATTTTAACCTATGATCTAATCTACCACCTTTACATTTATTAACCGACAGAGAAGTAAAGTGAAACAGAGAAATAGAGAAATAGAGAAAAAAGAGAAAGAGGAAGATAGAGAGAGAGAGAGAAGGCAAGAAAAAAATTGAGAAGCTTTTAGTGTTCAATGTTCAATGTTGAATGCTTCGCTTGATGATTACAAACCATCATCAACTATTTTTAATTGTGTGCATCTTAATTTGCTATCGTTCTATGTTTAATCGTTTACTGTGTTAACACATTTCACCCAATGTTCTGGTAATAATCATCTCGCATTCAACATCTGATTAACTTCGCTGTCAAGTGATTTGTTTCTTCAACATCTTACTGAGCTAAGCTTATTTTTCTGTATTTTCCTCTCGATCTTAATTTTTGGTTTTCTCAGTAGATTCGAAGGATTGGAAAAGTAAGTTTAATTTATTGATTTAATGGTCATTATGGATTGATTTCTCAAGCCCAAGTCCATTTCTTATTCGATTTCCCTTCAATGTGTGTATATTACCATATGATACTCACACATCATAAAGTATTGCTACAAAATTATGCTTCATTCGTGTTAAACTTAATGTGATCCGACACAATTATCAATGATGATACTTTGATTGATTGTGGTAAACGTGTCATTCAGTCAAGTTTTATTGTACCTCCAAATGTTCCATAAAAAATATGAAAGATCATAATTGAAATCTATCAAATGCCTGGATCATCATCTGTTAAACATCCCTGTTTGTATTAACTGTGTAATAACTCATTAATTAGTGCTATGGCCAATAATTCTAGCTAATTTATTAGTAGTTAAAGAATCACCATCAAATCAATAGCTGGATTAGTGATAAAAAAGCTATTAAATGGTCCAAGCTTTACCTTGCATCCTGATTCTACTCCCCCTACATTATCAGGCACCTTTAACCTGAAAATCTAGGTCAAACCCTTTTTCTTGCTCATATTTATTCCTTGCTGTGTTGCCTTCCCTATCTTATTATCATCTCTCCATCATCTTTCTATCTCGCTTCTCTTGTTTAAGGTTAACTCGATTTGTGAACATTGAATGTCCAATAAGTGTACAGTCATATTTAACTAAACCAGAGAAGCCATTGTTAATAATATCAATAACAACACCAGTATCTAAATACTAGATTCAGGTTGATGGTTTAGTCTCTGTATTTTCATCTTTGTTTGCTAGACCTAGTTATTCACTGGAAATGATGAATTCAAGACACTTAATTGCAAACTAATAGTCTGGATGCAGCTATTCAAAGAAACGGAACGGTGATGATAAAACTTTAATTATTAATGGTTCCTTGTTAACTTAACAAACAATGAATCTTGTACGAAAGACCATCCTTTACATATCTTGTTGCTAAAAGGATTGAAAGTTAGATGAAAAAAGTAAAGGTAAAAGGTTTATATGATCTCAAAGGTTGATGTAAAGGTTTATATAAATGTGATGTAAAATGAATGTTTCTCGGAAATGAGCTGAACAGGTAAGATGAACTGAGCAAAATATAAAAATGATGATATTGAGGATCTATGTAGGTAATAATCATTAAATGCATATTAGTTGTAATAATTTTTTGTTGCGACTCTTGCGCTTCCTTAGATGAAGGTGATGGAAAAAATGAGTTAGATATTCATTTTTCATAATCAAGACCCAAAAGACCATTTTGATTGTTGTAAATCAATTGTTTCTAATTTTGACTTTTCTTTCTATTTATCTTTTCCTTTCTCATATAATAGTCATGGCTGGAGGACAAGATCAGAAATGGCAAAAGGATGCTGCTGATCAGAATTTCGATTATATGTTCAAAATTCTGATCATAGGTAATAGTAGTGTTGGTAAAACATCATTCCTATTTCGTTATGCTGATGATCAATTTACGTCAGCCTTTGTCAGCACTGTTGGCATAGATTTTAAAGTTAAAACCGTTTTCAGACAAGACAAACGTGTTAAGCTTCAAATTTGGGTTCGTAATCTTGTAAATTAATCACTCGAATAATCATTCTAATGAGCAATTTTCCATTTGTTTCCATCTTATTACAGGATACTGCAGGACAAGAGCGTTATCGTACAATCACGACTGCTTATTACAGAGGTGCAATGGGTTTTATTTTGATGTATGATGTTACGAATGAGGAATCATTTAACAGTGTCCATGATTGGTAAGCAGTTTAACAATTGGCAAAGGGAAGTTGATTCAGTTGACAGTCTAATTATCAATCCCATTTTAACCAAATGTTTACATATCACCGGGAAATGTAAATTATTTGATGAAACGGGAAAATCAACCTTTTCCATCCGGTTAATAACAGAAGTTACAATATGATGACAGTAAAAGACAGTTCAAGCTATTTATACTTGAGCATGTATAAAAGATTACAAATGTTTCATATTTCAAACTGAACAACGAATATTTCTAGATAATTGAATAGCCATTTGAATTTATATCTTTTAAACTGATTTGCAAATGAATTAAATTTAATTTGTATTTTGTATCTATCTTAGGGTAACTCAAATTCAACAATATTCATGGGATAACGCACAAGTCATTCTGGTGGGAAACAAATGTGACATGGAAGATGAGCGAGTTGTTTCAACGGAACGAGGAAAACAACTTGCCGACCAGTTAAGGTTGGAGTTTTTTGAATCATCAGCCAAAGAAAACATTAATGTTAAAGCCGTTTTTGAACGCCTTGTGGATATAATTTGTGACAAGATGTCCGAAAGCCTGGATTCCGATCCGACTATGGTTAATGCCTCCAAAGGAACTCGACTCACCAATAATCCAATGCAAAGCAACCCAAGCTGTGCTTGTTGAGCACAGTCGTTATTTAGAATACATCTTTCTCTTTCTTCTCTCTCTCTCTTCTCTCTTTCTCTCTTCCTCTTTTCATTCCTCCTGTAATTTGTCCATCACACTCGTTGTCTCCGACTCTATCTTAAACTCCTCATTTATCCACTTCTCTCACCTTTCAACTCAAAACTTTCAATTTTACTTGATCTTGAGCCCAGTATTGAAAGTAAAACTTAGTGAGAGAGTAAATCGCCAAGGAGATGGACGAGATATGAGATGATGAGATGATGGGCAACACAACAGAAGAGGTCAAAAAGATTCAGAGAAAGTGAGGTAAATGTTTATCATGACAATGATAAACATTTGAGATTCATTACAACATTCAATTCTGAACAAGCTGATGGTGTTTTAAAAGTGTTTTTCCTTCCCCTCATAATGTAATATTCAATCTTCCCTGTTTCTTCTTTTAGTTAGAAGAAGCTAATTCGCCGTTTTTTATTTCCCTTTCGTTTCTCTTTATTATCCATCACTCACTCACTCTCTCTGTCTCTCTTAATCATTCCATGTTATGAGTCTCGTTGTATCGTACTCCAATCAAAATGGTGCATAACGTTTTAACAAATTGCAATCCATTCTAGCACTATTGTGAACTGCATGTCTGGAAATTTGACTTGAAAAACATCTTTCAATGACACACACACATTGAAATTAAATGACTTGTTTTTTTTGTTATGATTAATCTGAAAGATGAACAAAGCTGAATACACTCAAGATACTCGGTTAACCGAAATTAGTTTCCCAGCTCAGTAAAGCCTACTGTTAGTCAAACAATTGTGAAAACGAGTGAAAAAATTTTCAGATCATCTTTTGATTTTATCATTACAATAATATTATAATTATTTTTTGATTTATTTGAGTTTCTCAATGACATTCCCGATTCAATTGAATCAGCTAACCTTTCCTAATAAATCCCAAAATTTTAGTCCAGTTTTCTAGGAAATTTATCTTGCCTAAAATATCATTTAAATTAATTTATATTTGTTACCTTTTATTTCATTGAAATCGCCATTACTTTTGGTTTTTATTCTTCTCCTGCCAATTCACTGTTAACATACAACCCTTTTGCCTGAGTGGTTCAATCTTTTGAAAACACACATCAACATCAACTCGTATTTTCCTCGTTAAAATCTATGGAACACCAAAGTAACAATTAATGAGGATTTAACTGAATAGAGAGAAAAGATGTGTGCATTGATGTTTTAAGTCCTCTTCATTAATCTGTACTAAAAAACTATTTGTCTGTATGTTTAATCCTTACCTTTCTTTACCATTAATCAGTTGCATCTGAATCACATTCCCAATCAAAAATCGATCACTAAAACTTACTAAATATATAATTTAACCTAAAAAGTGAGCCAAATTGTTTAATGTGAAACTAAACCTTAAATGCTATCAATAATATTCCAAGTAATATCCAAATTAGCAAGGATAGATGGGTTGATGAATTAGGATGAAAACCTTCAATTTTCAATTGATATATAAATTTATAGACTTGCTGCAAATAAAAATTAAAGTATGAAAAATATGAGAAAGAATAAAAAACATCTTAAATGAAAAACGATTGACTATTGTATATTCAAACCCTAAAAATGATAAATATATGGACTCAGTTTTTACGTCTCTACAAGCCAACAGAGTCTAAATTTGAAAGGAATTCATTTTTACCCGTTTTTTTCATTTGTTTCAAATTAGAATTAGAATTAATTGTAGTGAAAATTGGAATCGTGAAAACTTAAAAATTAATCGAGAATGGTTTTAATTATTTTGGTCGCACAATAATAATGATTCTGAACGTATTAAGGTATATATTTAATTAATACTTGTATTTCAGAAAATTATACATTCAGCTATTGATATTAAATTGAATTATGAACAGATAAATTACAGAAAGTAAGTTTGAAAAGTAACTCTGATCACAATGGCCATATAAATAAGTTAAATCAGTTTTGGAAACTCAAACGATGCCATTTGTTGGGCTTTTCAGCAGAATAATCAGATGAAAAGTTATTTAAAAACAATTCCTGACAAACATAAATTGCTAATGAAAAACGAAGCAACAAATTTAAGAAACAGGAAAACGAAAGTCTAGTTTTTGGATAAATTGGTAGCAAATAAATTACAAGTTTATCTACCGATCATATATGACTGAAATTAGATTAAACTGATTATTCCATCTGATATCATATTTATCCAGCCAGAGTGAATTAGTAAACGGTTAAATTATACCAATATGAAGTATAAAGTGATAAAAGAGCGTTTAATGATGCCATTTTCAAAAAACCATTTTAGGTTTAGTCTGATGGTGAGATGAAACATTTGACCCTGTTGAGGCTTTTTTATTTCCCATTGATGGTTTATTGTGGGATCCTGTGAATGATGATTTTTGTATTGCACCTTTACTTGTTTGATGCAGTTGGTGAGAGTTTGGACTTGAATGATTTGAAGTAATTGTGTCTGCATTTGGCGACATTGGTGGCGATGAACCAGAAGATGAGATAGCTGTAGGTGAAAAAGCCATGGCAGTGGCACGAGCAGCTTGTTGAATGGTAAAAACTGTTTTATCACTAAGCCGATCGTCTTCATGAGTATAGTAAACAGCTCCACCAGATTTGTACATAACAACGATAACAATGATGATAACAATAATGGAAACAATAATGATCAGTGCAAGAATTAGACCGATCCTGGGTTCAGATGTAGCCAGACGAAGTGATATGGTTGGATCTGGACACCATTCAAGATCAAATTCATTTGTATCTCTAACATGGCGTCCATAAAGATCACTAGGTGTTGAGCATCGGACACATGAAGCTGTTCCCTTTTGGCAGGTTGATTCATAAGGTATGGGTTGGCTGTTTAACCAGTCTTTCAACGGTGAAATGTGACATCGATAGCATGACCAATGAGACCCTTCAAGGTAAACACTTTTCAAGTGGTCAAGTGATGCCAATGTGGAAATGAATACTGGAGTTAAACCTCTCATCTTGTTGAATGAAAGGTTCAACACTTCTAGATTTACTAAAGGCGCAATAAGTGTCTCTGATATGTTGATTAATAAATTATAAGACAAATCAAGATAGACTAGGGTCACTGAAGATCCGAGAAACGTTTGAGTTGAAAATGAATCATCTAAATTGACTGAAGATAGGTACAGACGAGTCAATCGATTTAGAGGAGTAATTAAATTTTCAATTGATGTAGATCCGTCTACTAAATGTGAATTGTTTGCGACTCTTAAAATGGCCAAACTCTCCGATAATGGAGCTAACACTCGTGGTCCAAATACCGTGAACCTGTTGGTTGCCAAATCAAGAATGGTAACCGAACAGTTACAAAAGGCACAAGGTGAAAGGTTAACCATTCCATTGCGTGAAAGTGTCAATTTGTCCAACTGCAAGCCGTTAAAAGTATAGTCAGTTAGAGAGCTAATTTGATTACCATCAAGAAAAAGAGATCTCAGATTGGTCAGGAATTTAAATTCATTTGCTGCCAGTGAGTTGAATTGATTGTTACTGAGATCAAGAATTTTTAAACGATTACATCTTTCGTAAATTAATGAATGAATGCGCTTCAGTTGACAATCGGCCAAGTACAATCTTTTCAATTTAACCGCATCCTTAATATCATCAGGGTGAATTGCTACCAACGGATTTCCAGATAAATTGAGAGTTTCCAATTTTTTCAATTGAAAAAACATTCGAGGAACCAATGTTTTCAAGCGATTACGAGCAATTGAAAGGCTTGTTAGATTTGTTAAATGCTTAAAGGGCGCTGAAGGTGGTGTTGATATCCTATTGTCTGCTAAATTAAGTTCATCCAGTTGATCGAGGCCAATAAAATCAGTTTCCTGAATCGATTGAATCCTATTGTGAGACAAATCAATGACTCTGATTTTACCTCCAGGCCAAAAGGTTGCCTCTCCAATAGCAGGGATTTGACTGTGAGTAATGACGACTCGCTCTAGATCAAAAAATGAACCAAATATACGTCCAATTGACAAACTGTGTAATTTATTTTGGCTGCCTTTTATAGCTAAAACCTAAACACAAGTGAAAACAGAAACATTAAAAAATATTAATTAGTAATTCATTTGGAAATCAATAATTTGCTGGATTTTCATTGAAATTTTTACTCAACTCTGGGCTGTTCTAGGTTATTAAAATATTAATGTTTTGAAACAAAATTATGGAAAAAATATTTTTGATTGATAATAAAATTTCAAGGAAAAGAGGTGAAAACAAAGCATTTTTTAAATTAACTTGGGTGGAGTAAATAATTAGTTTGACCTGAGGTCAAGAAATGATTTAGTTATTGATTATTGTCTAGCAATATCATATTCAAAATCAGGTCAACACTAAAGTCCAGTAATCTAAATTCATCTACATTGTAATTATGATTATAACTAAATGCACATTTTGGGAATAATTTTGTCTTCTTTCGACTGATTCTTTTTTCTTTTAGTCTTTTTCATTTCTCATCAAGATGCCAACACTTTGAAGGATGAGGATGAAAGAGATGAGGAGGTGGAGGTGGTGGAGGAGGAAGAAGATGATGAACATTGGGTGTGAACCATGATAACCTGGTATAAGCTTTCTTACTGTCTTGAAATCTCAACATTAGTATCAAACCACTCCTTGTTTGACAAAACAACATGCACATAATCAACTAATAGTAATAATAATAACAATAACACTAATCACTAGTATATTTCATTGAAATCCTCTTTTTTCCATTTATTTTCACTCCTTAACTCAATCATTTGCAATATTCAACTCAGGAATTTTGCAAAAACAAATTTTTAAAGCATTGAGAATGTAACCATGATGAATACAATGAGATTTTTGCATGTAAAAATGTTGGTCATTTTTGACTGACTTGGTAATTTTTTTGAATATTTGCAGGTTTATGATGAATCCAGGCAAAAACTAATAAATTATCTGCATTCTGAAATTTTCCTACAAAAAGTAGAGTTCAATAGTTAACTTATATAATTTTCATGGTAATTTTTAGGTATTCTGGTTCAGGTTTACATCCTTGTATAAGGATTTACTATATTAGTCTATTGTTTCATTGTAAATCTATAGTTTGGAGACAATTTGGTTAGTGTGAGAGGAATCATTGGTTAAGATTAAGGTTATTGAGATTGGAAAATTGAATGTAAAATTTACTTGAATATTGGGATCCATTTGTTGAATTGGAATATAAGATAAAGTTTCTTTTGAACATAAAATTCGCTTCTTGCCAAATCCATCAATATCACAATGACATTGAGATGGACACTTTGAAGTCCAATTTGAATCAGGAGTGACGTTGTTTAAAACACTGGTGAAGTTGATATAAAATGTGATAACAAATAGAAGAAGATATAAAATGTTTACCTCAAGATGAGATACAATGTTCATCTCTTGGTTAAAGATGAACTGGTAATCAAATTGCAAAAAAATGTTTACTGGTTAACAAGTATTCAAATTGCACTAATGTATAAATATTGTTTATTTGGATGGTTAACATAAAAAGATAATCAATGAAAAAGTTGACTTTTTGGTATTCAATGGTGAAAATGGGTTGAAATTATGAGGCTGGTCAAACGTGAAGATGATGATGGATTTACTTGAAGATTTATTTGCTTCCATTGGTGAATATTTACCAATCATCTTTGGGTTTATCAATAACATTAACAATCAAAGTGGAAACTTTTTCAGTTGTTGATTAATCTATAAAAAAAGGTATAAACCATTGAGAATAATTTGTTACAATTATAAATGAAAGTAGAAAATAATTTCAGATAAAGTATCGAGTCGAAAGTTAGTCAAACAAACTATCATTTTGTGCCATTGTGATCGGTAGTCATGTTGATGGCGACAGCGATGATGAAGATGATTGTGGATGATGAACAAGATGAGCTTGGTGAGGATTGGAATGAAGATGATGAAGGTAAGAATGTGAATGAGAAAAGCAGAGGTGATAGTCAATAACTTACGAGTACAATAGTCTTGAAAAGAAATGTTTGTGGTTAAATCGATGGAAAGAAAAGGAAGACAAAAGATGAATAAAAAGGTAACAACCAGAAAGCAGGAGAATACGATCATCCTGGTGAACATGATGATAATAGGGATAATGATGACGATTATGATGACACGAAGATGTAAGAAAACGCCAACGCCCAAACATCGATATTATGTTGTTCATTTGTGTGAAAAAAGACAGGGAAAGAAGAGAGAAAAATGAAAATTTTTTCATTACATTTATCTTTTTTCTTCTTGGGTTCATCATGGATGTTATTATTCAACAAATTATCATCCATACTCTCAGAGATTACTCTATAGAGAAGCAAAAGGTTTACTAATTCAGAAAGAACGTGTTTTGATAAAGTTGATCACAAATCAAGAATCAAGTGAGACCAGAATAGTCAAAGTAGAAACTCAAATCTTTAAAATATCGATGAAATAATGGCTATGAGAGCTTGTATTTTAATCGAGACTAATTTTCTCATCTTTAAAGTAACCTTCTGATGAAATTAAATTGAATTACAATAATTGTCTGATAAAACATTAAACTTTATTTTATTCAATGTAATCAACTAAACTTGTATTACTGATCTTAAAGTTAAATACTCAAACTTGTTCCATATCAGTGCTATAAAGCTCAGAGAATAGATTTATTTTTTAACTGTTTGAAGTTTATTTCTACAATTAAACATATCATTCAATTTAAATAAGAAATAATTTTCAAAATAAAAAAGTGTTTCGTTTTGAAAGTCTCCAAATCATCCTCGATTTCAATGTTGGATTCTACTAATTTATGGATTGAACTACACACACCGAATTGGATGGAAACTCATCGTAAAGAAATGAGTTTGAGAATGAACAATGGGACATCTTTGTGTGAATCTTGCTCATTACTACCTGATCCCGAAGAAACCTCTACGGTTATTTCAGCTTCGTTAAGCTTGCTAAATACTCTTTGTATTGGAGATGATTTAACGCTGTATCTACTCCATGTCAAACAAGTCCAACTAGAGATGATTCCGATGAAAAAGCTCCTCCAATTCAATCAACACCAACCCAACCACCATCGAGACCGCCGCCTGCTTCTATTACCAAAGGTCTTGGAGGATCAAATAGCAGTAGCAAAAGTAGTTCAGTAGGTCCACCATCAAAACCACCACCACCAATGACTTCTAGCTCAAAAGCAAGACCGATTCCAGTTCGACGTCCATTGCCTCCATTCTGATGACGATCCGGATGAGTATGATAGAAACGAACCATCATTACCGCCACCTATCCGACCTCCAAGAGTAGATTCATTTGAAAAAATGATATTCTAGATGAACCTGTCTCCGTGACAAAAATTACCTCCTTTGCCACCTGTAGAGTGTATTCCAGATGCCTCTTGTTCCGGCAAGGCCTAAAAACTTACCTAATCTTTATCCCAAAACCACCGTCATAATACCAAGATATAGCCATATATTAATAAAAAACAGTCTCTTATGAATAAATTGACTCATGAATTTTTAATTCGCTTAATAGAATAAAAGGTTTAAATTATATAATTCTTGAAGTTTATTTACTCAATACTCTTTGCAAATTTTGCTCGTAATAGATAAATTGAATTTACCTATTTCAGTAATATTTTTGCTCCAATTATTTCGAGTCATCATTAATCAATGTTATAATGGTACAAGGTTTTCACGAGATAAAAAGTCAAAGAACAATTGGTTAACATGGAGATCATTGTTTTACCGTTTATTTTCATCACATTTTTCATCTTAATTGTTTATTGTCTCTTCTAGTGAACTTTTTCCCACTTATTCCATTCAGATTGATATCTGATTATTGAATATGAAGAGTAGCATAAATATCCATAACTATTGCCCGACACTGAGCGTAATATTTCAAACTGTAAGTCTTTCATAAAGCTTGATTATAAGGATGACGTTTGATTACTACTGCTGTTTATATGAGACTGTAAAACCACGGATTAAATCACTTGAGGCATGGGAAAAATTGTTTTAATTGTTTTAATTTAATTAGTGGAAAAAATATTCAATAAAATTTTTTAGATTGACTATCTTTACTACTTCTGTAGATTAGATAGCCTAATACGATACTTAGCTGGACCGATGTTACCACAAGGAAATATGTAAAAGTTAGGCAGTTATTAGTTGGACAACTGACAATGGGTTGTGGATTGCCATTTCCACCTGCTGCCATTACACGAGTACCTATTTGACTTAAATCCTTTCTTAAAACATTTATACTATCCCTTACATCAGTCAACATTTGCTGATTAATTGATTGCACAGAGTGTGGGGCAGCTTGGGCTGAGGCTGGTTGTGCTTGAGCATTTGCTTGTGCTAGAAGGGAACTCTTCATGTCTCGCGAATTGCGAACCAGCTCCTGTTGCAGGGACAACAAAGATTCAACCTCATGCCTTTGGATGGGCGCAGGTAAAATTGGAGGAGGGCCACCTTGATGTCCTGGACCGCCAGAAGCTCCTCCAGTTTGTATGGCACCTTGGAAAGAGCCAACCAAAGAAAGAGTTCGTTCTTGCCTGCCAATAATTTCATCTAGTTTCCTATTCAAATTCTTGAGGACATCAAATATTTGACTTTGACCAGTGAAAATTTGTTGTAGCTCTTTTTCGCCGAGACTTTCATATTCATGATCAGGGGACATATCTTCTTGTTCCCGCAATTTTTTAGCTTCATCGGGATGTTGTCGGAAGTAATCTTCCTTTTGTTTTTCTAGTTTCTCTTTGTAATGTTCGTATTCTTTTGAGACTTTCTCCTTTTCTTGGTCAGCAAGAGCTCCAGTTGCTTGTGGAATTGCTGGTTGACTCCCTGGCACATGCATTGAGTATGTGAGGAATTTAAGCACGTCATGATCATCAGCTAAGCCACCGGTTGCTGCTGAAACACCAAAGTAACCTCTTTGTGGGAGGAATACATTTTCAACTCGAGTACACAATTCATATTCATCCTCGTTATTACTATTACCCGAGTGGAACAGAATAGTAAGAACATTCTTATAATATTCAATCTTAGCCCGTACAGGGAAAGGTTTGTTACGGAAATCTCTTAAACAGCCTCCCATCTGTTGATTAAAACCATCAGATTGATGGTCATAGCTCTTGGAACCATCATTGACCATAGCCATAATGTAAGGATTATTACCTTTGCCATCATTGTCAAAAGAGTCAAAGAAGACACCTAAGCCTCTCCAATTATCAGCTGACCCATAGACTGGACCTTCTGGGTATTTCATATCTGTATACCAGAAAGCTAATCCATCAGCACCAAGTCTTCCACGACCATTGACACGGAACCACAATTCAACTTCCCAATAATCAAAAATGGTGGCTGTTTTTGTCCATATTGAACCTTTTTTTGATCTTAGAGATGGAGTTATCCTAACCATTTCTTCCGAGGCCATTGCAGATCCTTCATAAATCCAAAATGGCACTGTCCCATCTTTTTGTGCGAGATATGGACCTTTAAAAGAATATTTGTATTCGAATCGGCGATGTGGTGGATCAAATTGTTGATTAGATGCTGGAACTTGACCAAGACATCCACAATAGATGGTTAAAAAAAGAGTAACAAAAAGTCTTGAATGTGTTATCATTGATGTGATTTCTCTTAAAGCTGTGCAGAACAAAAATTATATAAACATTTAACTAATCATTAAAAATTATTTTAAAAAATGATTGAACAATTAATTAAACTAATTGTGTAAAAGTATAGTTAACCGGGTTTGAGATCGGCCAATGAAAAAAAGCCAACGCGTCGTTGACTGCCAACAGCTCAGAGAAACCCAAACAGCTCTTCACAGCTAACTTGGCCAAGCAGGCAAAATATGACGTAACAAGATTGTGATTAACCAACCGGTGAGCTCCTTTTTGTTTACCTGGTAATTCAAATTGTTTTACTTTTCCAAATAAATATTTAATATTTTTTTAATATTTATTGAATTAATAAATTTAATAAATTTTAATTTTAAATAGACAAAAAATCAAGTTTAGTAAAAAGATTTGCTTTTGTCAAGATTTTTACTGTTTAACTCATATAAATGCAGTCTGTGTTGCCTTTGTTAAATAAACACACAGGTAAATGAGTAAACAAATTGATCCTGATTGTTTATATTAATTGATTAGACATTTAGTTATTAAATTTGTGAATTTTTATTTAAAATTATCAAATTATCAAATGTTAGAGATGACAATACAATCCGTTTTCAAGTGAAAAAATGAAACCTAAGGTCAAATTGCTTGCTGGATAGTCACAGGGACGGTAATAATTTCTGGCAAAAAATGATGGTCCCGAGAAATTATATGATTTCATAGGTGTTAACTGAAACAATGGACATTGGATCGATTGGGACGGACAACGAGATTGAGATTCCAATTCGTCTTTACCATGAACATGGTCGTTAAGCACTTTTTATGGTGATGGTTAGATGATTAAAACGCACTTGTAATGGAAATTAAAATGAATTTCGGACGTGAAAGTTTTAAATTAAAAGATTCTCCATTAAGTGTGAGATCAGAGATTGTGTAAACAAAAATTGAAAAACTATTTTCAAGCAAATAAATATTGATACAAGTAAGTAAAAACAGGCATCACAGCTAAAATACCATAATTTACAAATAAAGATGAACTATGGTTACAAAGATGACCACGACAGAAACACATAAACAAAGGTTCTCTTTTATTTTCAAAAAATGTCTCCGAACATCTCTCTTCTTGATCTGTCGGTGGCCTCTGAAGACACATCCGTTCCGTGGCTACAATTGGATCGCCTTCTTTTCCTTCAATTGTTTTACCGCACCAACCTGATGGACATGGACTTGCTTCAACTCCTTTTAAATCTTTTACTGTGGTTTGATTCCACGGGAAAGGATCCCCACCTGTATCGAAAAATATCAAAATAGCTGTCAGTGGATAGTCAAAAACTCAAAGTTTCCCTCGTCCATTGATAAATAATAATCAAGGACAATCTGAAATCATGAGACTACAGAACCTTAAAATTATTTTCTCGAGAAAAGTAAATACTTACAGTCACCAAGCGATCCACGTGAACGGCAAACATAGCAATACTTGACCCTACTTTGAGATTCAATAGCAGAAAAAAGAGAAACTAAAATTATCACAGTTATAATCATGAGTATTATTTTATCACAGGTTATTAAATAGAATTAAGTAAATAGGAGAAGTAGAAAATGGAGTTAAGTAAGTTTTATTTAAGAATAAGGCCAATTCTTGTCAGGTTGATTAAGTTTGTTTTCCTTGTATTCATACTTGTTCCACCTTATTTTTGGATTGAGAATACCGATATCTACATCTAACTACTCGATACAAAGAGTAAGTACTTGAGAAGGAGCAGATACTGCAAGATACTGTAGGGGTAAGTCGGTAAGTCAGGCGAAAGGTCCGTAAAGTCTATTTTCCGAGCAAAGCCACTTACTCTGGTTCAGCTTAAGACTGGTGGCAGCTGCTTTAACTTAACTTATAATTTTAATTTTTAACAATTAACTTGATTTAAAGTCAAATTTAATTCGATTTACATTAAAACAGGAGCATTTAAGCACCATAATCAGCAAAATCAAGTCAATCGAACAATTCTGGATATTATGTAAAGCTGATTAAGCCAACGTA